CTCTGGCATCCCCGATATGTAATTTTCCTCAGCAAAAACATAACGAATTATTTTTTAAAAAGAAAAAAAAAAGAAAAGAAAAGGAAGAGGTGTGTGGGGGAGGGGAGGAAGCGTTTAGACGCAGGGCCCCCTGGCTCCTCCTTACCCTGTAATCCCGGGCTGCCCTCTCGACGTGGAAGATGGTGTGAGCGCGGTGCTCCTGGGACCGGTCGCAGTGGGCGCAGATGGGCGTCTGGTCCTCCTCGCAGAAGAACTGCAGCACGTCCTGGTGGATCTCGCACAGCCTCCCCCCGCTCCCGTCTCCAGCCCCTCCGAGGCCGACGGGCGCCCTTTTCCCGGTCGGGGAGGCGACGGGCAGAGGGGCCGGGGGCGGCGTGATAGGGGCGGCCGGGGACGGCGCGAGAGGGAGCAGCGGAGGGGTGGCCGGCGGCGGCGTCGGGCACGGAGGCGGCGGGGTGGCGGGCCTTGAGACGACGGGCGCCGGAGGGACGATCGTCGGGGCGGTCACCACCGCCGGTGGCGCTGCCGCTGGTGCTATCGCTGAGCTCGCCGGGGAGACTAGTGTGGCCGCCGCCGCCGCCGCTGCCGCTGCAGCCGCCGCCGCAGGTCCGGTGAAGGAGTCGAGCCTCTGCCGCTTGGGCCTCTCCACCACCAGGTTGGCCAGGAGCGGCGGCGGCTTGATGGGCCGGAGGTTCCTCTTGCGGGCGCTGGCGCCGCATTCCAGGCAGGAGATGTTGATCTTGGGCTCTCCCAGCCGCTGCCCGATGCAGGCGGTGCAGAAGTTGTGGCCGCAGGGAAGGCAAACCGGATCCGGGCAGTAGACGCGGCACAAGGAGCACCAGGTCTCGCTCGGGTAACGCGGGCCGGCGGGGATCTCGGCGGGCGTCGTGCCGGGAGGTGGAGAGTCTGGCGGCGAAGGAGGAGAGAGCAGGCATGGCGGGCCGGGCTGGAGCAGCGGAGGCGGGATCGGGCCTCCGACGCCCAGACTTGGGTGCTGCGTGCCTCGCAGGCGGCTCCGGAGAAGCCTCTGTTGCAAGAGCTGCTCCGCCGTCATCCCGCCCAGGCCTCCGCTCATGATGATGGTGGCTGCCTGCCTGCCTGCCCGCCCGCCCGCCGGCTGACCGCGCACGATGCCCGCTCTCTTTTCGCCAAGGCGAGGCGCGAGGCCCTTCCGGCGGGAGCCCCGATTGGCCGAGCGGCCTCGCGGAAGGGGCGCGGCCGAGGCGACGTCGAGGCAGTGAGCCGGCACGACGGGGGTGGGGGGGTGGGGAGAGAGACGTTAGCGCGGTAACGCTTCTCGCGCGCGCCGGAAGGGGCGGGCAGCAGGACGGGAAGTCCCCTCTTCGTTCTCTAATGGAGGTTGTCAGTCATCCGAGTCATGGTTGTCCCAAGGGTGCTTCCCCCCCGCCCCCGCCCCCCCACGTAGGAGGCAACTGTTTTTTTTTTCTTGGAAGATGTTTCGCTTCTCATCCAAGAAGCTTTTTTTAATTCAAATCTTTTATTGTCAGTGCACAACATAGGTGCAATGAGATTGGTTGAGCTCCCTCAGTGCACCCCCCCAAACACAATAAAGAAAGATTGCTGTACAATTTAATTTAATTTAAATTAATTTAATTTAAATTAAATTAATTTAAATTAATTTAAATTAATTTAATAAATTTATATGCCGCCCCTCTCCGAAGACTCAGGGCGTCTCAGGGCGGCAATAAAAAATGTGGAAGAAGGGCAGCTCTGAACCAACAAATATAAATATATTAGGAAAAAGAATGAATTGTTAAAAAATAAAAGAGGGCAAAATATGTACAACTAGCAAAGTTAGAATTCAGGGATAAATGAAGAAGGTGTTTATATATGCAAGTATAGAAACACTGAGGTATATTCAAAAAAAAAAGGAAAGGGGGGAAGACGATATTGATAAAAATTGTAATTGAGTAAAATGTATTTGAATTTGACTAATTGTATAAGATAAGAAACGACCAAAACTGTTCAAAAAACAAAAAAAGAAAGAAAGATGTGGGTGAAGGTGGGAGAGGAGAAAAGAAAAAAAACAATAAAACTTTTTTTTTAAAAAAAGAGATTGGTTGAGCTCCCTCAGTGCACCCCTCCCAAACACAAAACAACTCACAGTGAAGACAGAAAATCCCTAACCCAATAAATCAATATTAACAAAACACCCAGTCCTATTGCACCAGTGTGAACATGTTACACATTGTGCGGGCCCTGCAGTCCATCATACTACATATTTATTTATTTATTTATGCAGAAAAGGAAGGATCTTTATATTCCTTGCAGGTAGCTAGTCATTTGCATCCTTTTGGAGAGTTGTTGAGGCACTCAGAGGTTTGTTTGTGTCCTCAGGGTTGTCTGAGTAATGCAAATGTTTCTCTAGTCTGCAATTTTTTCCTCTGGAAATCCGTTCATACTTTTAGCCATGCACTTTGGGATGAACACCCTTCGAATGGCTTGGGAATATGAACGGATTTCCAGAGGAAAAAAATTGCAGACTGCAGGAACATTTGCACTACTCAGGTGACCCCGAGGACACAGATAAACCTCAGAGTGCCTCAACAACTCTCTAAAAGGAGGCAAATAACCAGCTATCTGCAAGGAATATAAATCCTTCTATTCCTCACCATCCAGTCCAAGCTTAAGAAGTTTCTTGGATGAGAAACGAAATGTGTTCAAAGAAAAAACAAGAAAAGTCCAGTTGCCTCCTGAAAAAGCACCTTTGGGTCCCCTCTTGTTGGAACTCATTTCCTATCACTTCAAGTAGCATTGGCTGGGGTGAAGGGAATCGCAATCCGGGCCACCAGAAATTGCGTTCCCCAAACTAACACCAAGGCTATTGTCCACTTATTTGAATTGCAAACAAACTAGTTTCAATAAAGGGGAATATTTGGAGCTCAGGATTGAAATGAGGGATCTTTGGTGTTCTCTCAGCTTGTTTGTTTTCTTGCAAACATTTCATTTAAAACAGTTAGGTTTTTAGTTTTCATGCATACGTTATAGGCTTAATTAATTAATGTTCTTGCTTGATCTTATATTTGAGGCCAATTTTAACCGTGTTATTGTAATGTAGGTACTGATGAGTCAATACAAAATGCTTGCATCTACCTCTGTTTGTCTTTTGACTGTATTGTTTAAACATTTCATTATCCAAACTTAGGTAATATCATCACTACTAATAGGAGTGGAGTTTGCTCTTTGTAATCCAGTGGCTTGCCCTGTCATAGTTTACTTTAGTGCATTGTGCACCATTAGAACGCAAATATTTTGAAAAATTTGGGTGACAGCTTGAAATTCAAATATAATTCAGTTTTATTTTATAAATCAAGAAGCATTGCTGTGGTGGAATATAAATGTAATTAAGCCAGATATGTAGCACTGAACCTAGCTCAACTTTTATTCATAAAGGATGATCCTGCTTCCTTGATGATTTTTCTGTGTACAGAGCCAACAAAATGAAAATAAATATTACAGATGTTTTGGATGTTCTTTTCAGGGCAAAATCCTGAAGTAGAAAGCTGGGTGGAACTTATAAATTTACTTTCAATCAATTCAAGGGCAGTAACTGGTACGGTCCTCATAACACCTAAACCATATTGTATTGACATATTGTAATTTCTGGTTTTGGCCCAGAGATATATGTGAGCCCAGCAAGTCAACTGTGACTTAAAACCCTCCTATGCAACCATACTAAAATGGAATGTTAAAATGTTTAATACAGGGATTAACAAATTTCATGGACTTCCTGAAATCTATCCATAGACTACAAAGCCCACCAGCCACACCACGCTCACCAAGCCATGCCCACAGAACTGGTAGTAAGAAAAATTGAATTTCACCACTGATTGATACCTCTGCAGAGTTTCCAGGGGACTTTCCGTAGCCATGGCTGGAGGGGGCAGGGAGGGAGGCAGGGATGCCAGCTGCACTGACCTCCTTCACCACATTTTTTTTTTTTTTTGCATGGGCTGCATTGGCTGTGAGACCGCTGAGAGTGCAGGGCTCCGCTCCTGCGCATAAGGCTCCCAGCGTCAGAGTGGACTTCTCCATGGGGCGTTGGAGAGTTGGAGAGTCTTGACCTGCACGCCGGGAAGCCTCTGGGAGAGGACTCAAGGGGAGGGGTTCCTTCCTTCCCCACTAGAAAAGACCAGATTCCAGAGAAGGGAAAGGGAAAGATGCCTGCCGGTCTATTGCAACTCCAAGAAGAAAACAGTATTTTTACACATGTGTACAGTAGAGAGGAAAAGGTGTATTCGTTCATAAGATTTTTAACATACCAAACCAACTCTGCAGAAACAAGGGAGAATATTTAGAGAACAGCAGCGCATTGCATCCAAAGTAGCTTGATGGCACGCTTTCATAAAATAATTGCTCATTCCTCAGTTCCCTCACCACAAACACATAAGTTATGAAGTACTGCCTCATTGTGGCTGGAGTAGGATGTGTTCCTGGGAGTGATGAGTGAAAAACTTGAGGAGTAGCTAAAAGTCTTTATCCTCAGTAGGGTGTGAAGCTCGTCCAAGCTACCCAGCTGAGGAAGCAGGTGGCTCTAACTGGGCAGCAGCACATAGATGACCACTAGCTGTGACAGTGACAAAGCCATCAATTCATGCAGTGTGAGAGAGAAGGCCATAGTAAACCATTCCTGTATTTTTGCCAAGAAAACCATAGACAGAAAATATTGTCATGGAGAAATCTGTATGGTCATTAGCATATGAAAATGACCAGATGGCACATAAACAATATAACATAGGTCACCATACATATTAACTGCCATTTTATGTAAAAAACTCTCTTTTCCAAATAGTTTTTTAAAACAAAGGTTTCATTTTTTGTTGCCTATATACATGTGTTTATATAGCCACATGTGTTTGCATGTTTGTAAATATGTTCTCTGCTAATGACACTACTCCAGTAATTGAAAATGCAAGTGATGTGTATGATTTTGTAGTGAAAGTCAAGGATCAGCAAAAAATTCACAAAGGAAGTCTTGCTTTGCCACAGAAAAGACATTTGTAGTTTATTCCTCCAAATTTGTCACAAACACAAAATCTCCTAATACAGGAGTACGAGTATTGAAGCACCTGCTTTTTTAATGTTTATTTTAACATATACGTAAAAGGACAATCATAAAACAAAAGAGATTAAATAAAAAAGAGATTTACAAGCCGTGTGAAACTGCACAAAAATTTTCAAATTAGTTTAGTACTAACATATATAAAGATAATCTTATATTGATGCTAACTTACTTAAAATCAAATCAGTAATTAGCAGAGGCAACTGTTATAAAAAAAGTCATCAATCAGAATAAACAACGTGAGTTTTTAGCATTAGAATCAGACAAAGTCAAGTATGTTGAAGCCTTATGTAAAGCACTTATTCCACTTGATTTAACTATTATTTTCACCTTCAGTCCATGGGGTCCAAAAACATCAGATAATGCTTATGCCATCTCCTTTGACAAAATGATAAAGACTTATTACAACAGATAAGGAACTGATGAAGGGACAAGACTACACAACTTTACAGGCTACCATATAATTAAAACCAGTTATTCTAATCCACTTCATAGATTACAATACAGACATCATCCACATTCGGTGTCATACACAATACCTCATCTCACTGATCTATACTAACTACATATGGAGAACCACTTCCACTTTTTAGTACTTGCAGCTATTAATGCAGACCAAAACTCGATTCAACATGCATAATTCTTCTTTTAAATTCCTCTTGAATTCAGACATAATATAATGCGGATGCATCTTCCTCAAAGGGAGCTCTTCAGCCATCCAGCGTCAGCTGAGCAAGCAACACCTTAAAAAAGGGGAAAATCCTCTCGCCAGCAAACAATGCTGAGGGAAAAAGGAAGATGGAATCTTTTGTGTCGGCATTGAAGAATTCTACTTGTCCCCTTTCATAGTCCAGAAACACTCTAATTCTCCTGGGAGTACAAAGGAGCGGCAGAGCAGTTACAGGTGAGGTGAGAGCCTGGTATTGGCCAAAATCTCCTTGCAAGGCCCAAATCCCTTCCTCTGGAGTGAGTTTAAGTTCTATCTTCCTCCTCACAGAGCCCCTGGCTACTCCTATCGCCCAGATGCCTCCATCTTCCACGTTGACTTCCCAATAATGTCTCCCAGATGTGAATCCTTCACAACCCAGCACACAGCAAGAGGACTTGAATCTCTTAGGATTATGTGGCACGTCAGTCCGAGTGACATCCCATCTTGCACTTTTTCGATCCTCAGAAATTATGACTTGTGGGTTTGCCGTGTCTTTGTCAAGGGTTATGTTAACTGCAGGGAGAAGGAGGGAAAAGGATGAATGAAATGAATGAATTTCAATGAACCATTGAAATGAAAGCACTTGTTTTATCAAAACAATAATAATGCAAATAATCCTGTTAGGTAACAGCAGCTAAACACCTGTGACTGGTCTTGGGTTCCCTGTATTGAAGGTAAACCTACATGACATCCTAGTTCATGCAATATTCACCTAGATAGAATGATGAGACTTAAAATCAAAAGTAAAAGCATGAAGTTTAATCTGCTGATTAAAGTAGCTAACATATCAAATCTTATAGAGTATGTAACCAACAGCTATCATTTCCTTGCAGAGCCAAAGAAGCATGAACAAACTTCATTTCAAATCTCACATACTTACCCCATTCAGTTCCTAGTTCTGAGGGCAGAGTGTCTAAAGAAAAGATAAAAAGGGCATTTCAGTTTGAAGAAGTTGTTAATTTTCAAAATGGTTAAAATGTTAGAATTTGAACACTAAGTCCCATATGCTTCCAATGAATGACTGAAGGTATTTCATTTTGGTGGTATTGAAGAGCAATTTTTTCAGGAAAAAAGCTTGTTGTTTATACTGTTTTATTGAATTAGAACTTAGTTGACTTTGGCTGATCTTTAAACAGGGCAGTATGTCATCAGAAGACTATCAGAAATCCCAGGTTATAGACTGGAAGTTGAATAAAATATCCTAGAAAAAGAGAGTGCTAAACCACTTCCATATTTCTGCCAAGAAATACATCATTCTGAGATGAGCTTTATTTCAGAGAGACTATATGTATTCAAAAGAATACTGTTCGGAGATTTGGATACTTTGTGATAATTGTAGTATTTATTTATTTTTTAAAATGTTAATTTTCCAGTTGATTTAACTGTTATATCTATTTTGCAAATGATAATATTGATTTAACATTAGACATATTTATAATAGTTATTGAAATTAAAATCACAGATTTAAAGTGCTTTTAGAGAACTAATTTCCAGGATGATAAGTAAAAAGAAAAAAAAATGTAAATTACTGTAGAAACCTAAAAGTTTTATAAATAGAAATTACACATACAAGGTCATTTCTAACCAGAAAGAAATTGACAGTAATATCAGAAAAATGCATGGAAAGAAATTAATAAAATCCAAACATGTCATAGATTCGTATTATCATTCACCAGGAAGCTCTAGAGAAAAATAAACATACTGATGCATTTGAGCACTTTGTAATACTTTTAAAGTACTTTTAAGCTAGATCCCCTCCCCAATTGGTTTTCTGTCCAATAGAAACTACATAATACAGCTATTGAGCACTAACTAGATTGTAGCCAGGATATGACTGGAGAAAAAGAGGTGTCAGCCACTTCAAGGAACCTCCAAGGTTTCAAGAAATATAGTACAGTATTAGAACAACCCAGTGAGGTCACAGCATGAACAGAGAACCCAGAACGCCTACTACATATAGTCCTTGACCTATGACCACATTTGAGTCCAAAATTTCTGTTGCTAAAGGAGACAGTTAAGTGAGATTTGCCTCATGTTATGATCTTTCTTGTAACAGTTAAGTGAATCAGGGCAGTTGTTAAGTTAGTAACACGGTTGTTAATTGAATCTGGCTTCTCCACTGACTTTGCTTGTCAGAAGGTCGCAAAAGGTGATTGTATGACACTGTAACTGTCATAAATATGAACCAGTTGCCAAGTAGCGCAATGGTTAGAATGCAGTATTGCAGGCTGACTCTGCTCACTGACGGCAGTTCAATCTTGAGAGGCTCAAGGTTAACTCAGCCTTTCATCCTTCTGAGGTTGGTAAAATGAGGACCCAGTTGATTGGGGGCAATATGCTGACTCTATAAACTGCTTAGAGAGGGCTGTAAAGCACTACAAAGCGGTATATAAATCAAAGCGCTATTGCTACCCAAATTTTGTTCACGTTACCATGGGGATGCTGCAATGGTTGTAAGTGTGAAAAACGGTTATAAGTCACTTTTTTTCAGTGCTGTTGTAACTTCATATGGTAAACGAATGGTTATAAATCGAGCATTAACTGTATCTATCTGAAGGTAACAAAGGAAAAGGCAGAAAAACTGGAGGGAACTTCATACAGAATTCTAAAAAAAAATATAGCTAGCTGGTTGGGGGAATCCTACATTGTTTTGTTGCTGAGTATAATCATAATTCATACAGATTTATTTATTTTTTTGGTACCTTTGAGATTCTTCAGCATTTCTGCAAGCACCGTATTTTTCTCCGAGAACTCTTCTAGTCTCTTTTCCATCTTGATTGGCATCCCCTCAGGGACTTGGAAGGGCTCCTTATCAAACCTAGAAAGAGAAGGATCAGATCATTTTCCCCTCATGGTGCTGATGTCTGAGGAGATTATGGTTAATATTGTCAGTAAAGGTTGCATGACTCTTGTTTAGAAAAAGAGAACTTTTTCTGAAGGGAGTCGAGCTGCTTTACTAGCAGTATTATTAATATTCTAATATTCTAATAATGCTCTTTTCTTTGGCAAGCCTACAGGATCTGCAAACCTGTGAATCGAGTGATACTAGATGAACTGCCCCACCTTATTAACAGATGCGGTCCATCACTTAACATCATTGATACTTTTGTTTAGGATGACCAGCAGTCTATATCCAAGGAATTGGATTAACTATACGTTAAACTGATGCCCATAACAATGTACTGTTTGTTGTCTTTTTTTTTTTTTTACTGCCCTATCACTGGTTTGGATCCAAAGTATTTAAAGACTTACATGATACCTTTTCAAGCAGTTTTCTCCCTCCCCCAAATTTTTGACACACTGATTTGGTGTGGTGAGTTAGTCATAGTTAATGTGAATCCCAGAAATGGTGGTGCATTTATTTATTTATTGAATTTGTTAAGGCACTATTACAGGTAGTCCACAACTTACAACCATAATTAAGCCTGGAATTATGGTCATAGGTTGTTGCGGTTGTAAGTTAAGGCATCATGTAATTGGGTCTGATTTTTGTGTGTGTCATTAAGCAAATACTATGGTCATTAAGCAAATCTCTTTTACCCAACAGGCATTATTTCCCAGAAACCGGAAGTAAACACCAGAAACTGGCAAAAAAAGTAAAAAACCACAGTCACATGACTACAGGATGCTACAAAGACCAATAAAGATGAGCCTAGTAGCAAACACCCAATGCAATCACATGACTGCAGGGGATGGGGTATGCAGCCATTGTAACTTCAAAGTCGGGTCATAAATAGCTTTGGGGGGGGGTGTCTGTCATACCTTTTTACAGTTGTTAAGCAACTGGTTGTAAATAGAGGACTACCTGTAAATCTAGATTCAATGCATTATTGAAACTGGCTTTACAATAGTACAAAAGTAGAATTTTGAGATCAGGGTAAATTGTTGTTGGAGTTGGGTGTTATTTGTAATTTTTATCAATTAGCCGAGCTCTTTTTTCTCATTTCTTTATTCACTAGGACAAATTATGTCCATTGCTTTTTTTAAAAAATCCAAAATCTGGCAACGACTTTTCAGACCAGTACTATTTATTAAAAGGCATAAACTTTCATGAACGAAATTCACTTCATCAGTTGCATGGAGTGGCTAAACCAGTGTTTCTAAACCTTAGCAACTTTAAGATGTGTGAAAAATTCTGGGAGTTGCAGTCCATACATCTTAAAATTGCTGAGGTTGAGAAACACTGGGATAAACTAAATTAAGAAGAGGGAAGAGAGGAGAAGACGGTGTTGTTATGCAGATGCAGATTAAAAAGATAAAGGTAAAGGTCAGAGGTGATTTCAGCAGATTCTGACCAGTTCTGGAGAACTGGTAGCGGAAATTTTGAGTAGTTTGGAGAACCGGTAAACACCACTTCTGACTGGCCCCACCTCCATCTATTCTCTGCCTTCTGAGTCCCAGCTGATTCCTGGGAGGAAATGGGGATTTTGCAGTAACCTTCCCCTGGAGTGAGGAGGGAATGGAGATTTTACAGTATCCTGGAATGGGGTGGGAATGGAGATTTTACAGTATCCTTCCCCTGCCATACCCACCAAGCCATGCCACACCCACCAAGCTGCACCCACAGAACCAGTAGTAAAAAATTTTGATTCCCACCACCGGGAATCGCACATATGCTAGTCGTTCCCATCTAGGGGGTGGTGCTCATTATTGACTATTGCAAAGGGTTAAACATTTATTGTATATGTGTATATGTGACCCACAGTCTCCTACTCAATGCTGGTAGAGTTTGTTTCAGAACAGTTCCTGGGAGGTTAAAATGAATTATTACTATTTTGAACTGGTTTATACACCAGAGTCAAACATGCATTTTATTCACTCTTCTGCACCAAGTCTGGACTGTTTTGTTCTACATAGAATCAAAGAGGAACATTACTCAAAGATAATACTTATCAAATTGAAAGAAGATGTGACGGTACCCCTAATCCTGTTTTTCAAGTTATTTGGGGCTTGTGATGGTGCTGTTGATATAGATATGGGTGCAGAGTAGGTTTTTGGGTCTAGTTCCCATGTTAATGCCATTTTTTTGCTATTTCTATTTGCCTGTGAATTCAGACAGAGTAGTAAAGCAGGTATGGACTGCCATCCAAGGCCATAGAAAGTGTTATGTCCTTGTCCAATGTGGGCTATAGATTAATTATTTATTTACTTTATTTATTTACTAGATTTTTATCCCATTTTTATTACTTTTTATAAGTAACTGAAGGCAGAGGACATATATCATACTTTTCCCTTATTTTCCCCACAACAAAATCCCTGTGTGGAGATTTGAGCTGAAACTGACTGACCCAAAGTCACCCAGCTAACTTTTATGCCTAAGGTGGGACTAGAACTCCCAGTCTCCTGGTTTCTAGACTGACATTTTAACCACTGCACCAAAAAAAGGGAACAGTAAATAATTTCTATGCCTTTCAACTGGGAACTTCCTATCTTATGCTATACTGTTCTTCTATATTTTGGTGCAAAGTAGAAACTGACACTACTGTATTTTTTTTTTTAATTTGATTTATATGCTGCCCTTCTCCAGAGACTCAGGACAGCTTACAATGTGTTAAGCAATAGCCTTCATACTTTTGTATATTTATACAAAGTCAGCTTATTGCCCCCACAAACTGGGTCCTCATTTAACCTACCTTAGAAAGGATGGAAGGCTGAGTCGACCTTGAGCCTGGTAAGATTTGAACCGGCAGTAATTGCAGGCAGCTGTGTTAATAACAGGGTGCTTTAAACCACTGTACTACCAAGGCTCTTTTGAAAGAGGCAGACTTTCTCCCCGTATTGCTAGCACTAAAAAAAAAAAATTTATTCCCAACAATAGAGCGTCTTCTACCTGATTATCCATCATAGTGGCATTTATAGTTGTTGTGGGTAGAATTGGGTTTTTTCTCAAGTAATCTGCATAAAATGCCCATTTTTCATGTCTCTTTTCATCTACGTGGCATTGTATTGTTTCTTCCTGCCTCAGTGCATCATTTTGTACCTAGAAAATTTATTAATGAATATGTGGACAACATGTGATCCTCACTTGTTTCCTGTGCATCCTACAATGCTTTGGGAAGGTGACTGGTTACACGCTTTTACTAGCTGTCCAAATGGCAGCCTGCTCACTGCACCGACCCTCTGGAATGCTTTACCCACTGAGCTCCGAACGGCTCCCGATCTCCGCTTCTTCCACAAGGACCTAAAGACGTGGCTTTTTAAACAACTCATCTGATCTGCGGGGTGTTTTTAATTGGTTTTAATATGGGTTTTAAATTGTGGGATTTTAATTATGCTAAATTAATTATATTTTTATTGTTCTTCGGTTTTTAACCTTTTGTGAGCCGGCCCGAGTCCTTCAGGAGAAGGGCGGCATATAAATTTAACTAAATAACTAAATAAATAAATATTAGCTATGAAATAGAATTGTAATCTTAATTACAATTATTAGGACATTGATTAGAACTGTGCGGACATGCTCTCAAAATGACCCTCCAAACCTCCCTTTCTCCAAAGTTTGCCCATCTGTGTCTAAGTGCTGCATAGCAACTAGAAATGTCTGACAAGAATTTTGTGAAATGCCTTCCTGTAGAGGAAATGGTTATCTACCTCTCAGTTTCTAGTTATCTCCCCCCACCCCACCGCCCAATATTATTTTAATAAAAAGCTTCTTCTTGTGCAGCATGAGGAGCTTAGAGACGTTCTTCAATGGAGTTAGCAGACCTGGGTGAACTACAGAAAAAAAGCAAAATAGGAAAGCCATACCAACTTCAAAAGTGAGGGAGGGGGTGGAGAGATAGAACTTTTGTTTTGAAAGCTCAAACCCCCAGGTTATTTTGGACTCTGCTCTTAAAACACTAGTAGCTGATCAAGATAATCTCTGCTAGTTGCAGTAGTCAGAACTGAGAAGGAGGAACCATCTTTATGTCGCTGCATCAAGATGCTTTGCTAACTCTTTTTTCGGAACATTTCCTCATTGCTGCCTTCATCTTATCTCAGTCCACCATGAAGGCAGCTCATATCCTATTTAATTGTTCTCATTTTAGTTTTCCTTTTGCTATAATAATAGTCTTGCTATAGACTATAGACTTGCTATAGTAATAGTCTCCAAGGCTTCACTGATTATGTTGGTAGTGGTAGACTCATGAGCTGGGGTCTGCCTAGCTCCTCTTGGCCTTTCTAGGCTGCTGCAGACATACCCTCTGGCCACTGATCTTCATAGACATTTGGGCCACAGTGTGGAAGAGGGCAGAAGCCACAGAGGCATCTGCTCCAGGGGTGGGCTGCTCGGGTTTGGGAGAACCTCTAGCTAAGATTCTGTGCAGTTTGGAGAACCCCCAAATCCCACTCCTGGCTGGCCTTGCCCCGCCCATCCCTCCCAGGAGTCCCCACACAGCCCGTCTTGGATGAAGGTAAGTGCAAGGCATGTGCGGAGGGTTGGGGAGGGCAAAAAATGGGCCTACCGGAAGTTCAGGAAAGCCGGAAATGGGCCCATTTCCAGCCTCCAAAGAGCCTCCGGAGCCTGGGGATGCTGTTTTCGCTCTCCCAGAAGCTTGAGGAAAGCCTCCAGAGCCCGGGAAGGGCAAACCTCCCCACACCATGGCCACACCCACCCAGCAACCAGGCAGAGAACCCCTTGCTAAAATTTTTGAAGCCCACCTCTGATCTGCTCCCTTACTGTTTGACTGGGCTTTACAGAGCCTTCTTATGTTATAATACTGTGTTCTCCTGGAAGAGTTCTAGTCCCTGTTTTAAAGACTATTGATATTTTGCAAGTGTGTTAGAGTTGCGTTTTAAAAAATGGATTACCCTATTGGTTAATTTAAAGGAAAAGGGTAGGTTTCTGCCAACAGTTTGATGCTGGTTTTGTCCCAAATGAATGTGATACAGGTTTTCTGCTACTACTGCTGACAAGGGATTGCATGCAGCCATACGTTTATAGTTTAATGTATGTGTGGCACGGGTAGCTCCATGGCCTAGAGGGCTAACAGCAGGGGTGAAATCCAGCAGGTTCTAGCAGGATCTGGAGAACTGGTACCGGAAATTTTGAGCAATTCAGAGAACTGGCAAATACCACCTCTCGCTGGCCCCAGAATGGGGTGGGAATGGAGATTTTGCAATATCCTTCCCCCAGGAGAGGAGGGAATGGAGATTTTGCAGTATCCTCCCCCTGGAGTGGGTTGGGAATGGAGATTTTGCAATATCCTTCCGCTGCCAGCCCACCAAGCCATGCCCACAGAACTGGTAGGGAAAAAATTTGGATTTCACCCCTGGCTGATAGTACACAGTCTCTTTATGCCAATACTACACTATCTTGTGGCACTTATTAACTTGGGACATTGGTAGGAGTGGGGGCAAAATTGTCAAAGATTTCTGCCTTCAGCTTGAGTGACAGGTCACAGACGCTGCTGGTCATAGACAGGTACCAACCGCCCTTTCCTTTGCACGTCTTACTGATTGCACCTTCCTACTTCGCCTGGCAGACAGGCTGCATGTACAGCACACGGCATGGATCAAAGCAAAAGTCTGCTTTCTTGATGCTCCTCACATCCCTCTGTTTGGCCCATGACCTGTTAGTGGGTTACCGTATTTTTTGGAGTATAAGACATACTTTCCCACCCACCCCAGAAGAGGGTGAAAATTTGGGTGCGTCTTATACACTGAAAGTAGCCCTGCCCGCTCGCTGGTCCCCACCCTTTGGCCTCTGCCTCCCAGCAATTTACCTCCTTGCAGCAAACAGCCCGTTTCAGCTTCAGCACAGCCTGATTAGCACAAGCAGTTGATTGCCGGTTGGATCGGCCTCCTGACCCTCAGATGTTTCAGGCTGCAGGGATTACCATTGCCTATTGCTGCGCGGGCCTCTGCTGTTTGCTGCAAGGAAGCAAATTGCTGGGAGGCAATTTTTTTTTCTTGTGCTAATCAGACTGTGTTGAAAATGAAACTAAAGCATGCTGTTTGCTGTTTGCTGCAAGGTGGCAAATTGCTGGAAGGCAGAGACAGATTTTTTTTCCTTGTTTTCCTCCCCCAAAATAAGTAGGTATGTCTTATAGTCCGGAGCGTCTTATATTCTGCAAAATATGGTACTTCTGAATATGGGGCTGGTGCTCTTCTGGAAGATAGTTAAGCCTTTATCCAAGCAATAGCCCGGGTACCAGGTCATGTAGAAAGGGGAGAGGTTTGGGACAAAATGGAAATTCACGCTTAATGCCCATTCCCCTGCAGTGCATGTGCAACCTATCAGACAGATAATTTGGAATAGAATAGAATAACAGAGTTGGAAGGGACCTTGGAGGTGTCCAAGTCCAACCCACTGCTTAAGCAGGAAACCCTAGACCATTTCAGACAAATGGTTGTCCAATCTCTTCTTAAAAACATCCAGTGTTGGAGAATTCACAACTTCTGGAGGCAAGTTGTTCCACTGGTTAATTGTTTTAACTGTCAGGAAATTTCTCCTTAGTTCTAGGTTGCTTCTCTCCTTGATTAGTTTCCACCCATTACTTCTTGTCCTGCCCTCAGGTGCTTTGGAGAATTTTTGGGACACCAGTGCTCTACCAGAAATAGCTGAAAGTGATGGGATGCATACATAAAGAAAATCTACTGCAATGGATTATCAATCAGGAAGCTTGAAAAGCTGCTGAATCTTCTATCCCAGGAATCTATCCAAGCCCACTCATCATATGTTAAGGATGTGGTGGCTGATTTTCCTGCTGGCTAAGGACACTCCATGGGAGGGGAAATAAAACCAGGACAATTCACCAATCACTTCCCCTTAAATTGTCCCACATGAAAACTCTTTAAGGGCAGCAACAGCCACCAACCACATCACTGAGACTTTTTTTGGGGGGGGGGGCAGGATAGATTTCTGCTGGTCAAGGACCACAGGAATGCCTATGTCCATGCCTGAAAAGAAAAGCCATTGCATAGGTCAGTGTCTAATGCAGAAGCCAAACGCTTTCAAAGGCAAACTATCTGCCCCAAAATAAGCAAGGCCACTTTTGAGGAAAATGTGCCTCTAGTTGCGAGTGTGGAGCCACATACCTGCACAATGTGCTTCTGATATCCTAGAGAAAGAGAAGTGTGGGTGGGGAGAGAAAGACAGGAACTCTGCATGACAATGAATATAACAGTTCGATTCTCATTAGAGCCACTATATCTGAAGAACAGAGAAAGTATATTTGAGAAACTGTGGTGCAACTGTTTTTAGGTTGCTCTCTAATCATTATAAGGAAAAGGACCCCCCATGGAAAAATGAATGAATCGGAATGAAAGCAGACCACAATACACAGATCTAAACTTGATGATCATGAAGAGACTTGCAGAGCAAATTTTAGCAAAAAATATAATCTAACAATATTGTTTGCTATTTCTATAGTATGTTCTCAGGTGGTATGAAATGTTAAATGCATATGGTTTTGATCTCCCAACAACACATCAGTACAAAATATTGTACTGCTTTGCTGGTCAGAAAGGAAGGGTGAGGTGAAATATCAAAAGTTAGTCTCAACAACAGTCATGTTCTAGCTTTTTTCATTCAACATTATTGATTTTACACATTTAAATATCCAAGCTGCATGCATGCTAGCCAGGTTTCGCCACAGAGTATCTCCAATGGATTAACATTGATTGTCAATAGAAATGGGGGAAATTTTGAAATCAAAACAATTCCTAGTTCCATTTCTGATCTGTAATACTACTAGCAATGAACTACACAACAGGGTTTCTGTAATTTATTCTCTCCAAGAACATAGATATACTACTAATAAAAAAACACAAAGAATTAAAAGCTTTTGCTGTGGGGTAATTAGCAGATTTTTTTTTTGTAAAAATTGCTTTATGAGGATTTGGGGTAAACAAAACACTGCATACCAAATGGCAATCAAGACAGAGAGAGATTTGATTTCTGTTGCTTAGGGATTTGGGTGGGTTAGGTAGGAGACAGGATAGTCATGCAAATGCCTATTTCTGTCTATGTTTTTAGAATACAGATTTTTTAAAAAAAATTTTCCAGAAGTATTTCTCTTTGTGGACTTTTCTGTAGGAACCGAGAAATAACCTCTTTAAATAGAATTATAACCTATATCAACACCATTCCTTCAAGTGGAATTCTCTTATTTACTTCTTTATATAATAGAATCATAGAATATATAGCTTGAAAGGGAGCTTGAGGTCATCTAGTCAAACCCCGATCCCAGTGCAGGCATCTGCAATTACAGCATCTCTTGACAGATGGCTGTCTTGCCTGTTTAAACACCTCCAGTGTAGAGGGTCCTCCCCATCACCCAGGGCAGCTATGTAAGGCTTCATCACAATGTATTTGGCACACCTTCTTTTCAAGGTTCCCTTCTGAAGCCACTCCTCTCACCTGAAGGAATTCACTGTCTGGCTGCTCGAGCTTCTCTTCTATTTCATCAATCAGGATAGTAAGAGCAACAATTTCATCAGAAACCTTCGTGTCATATATTTTCTGATGCTTGACAATCTCCCTTTCCATCTCCTTCAGCTGAGCCAGCAGAAGCTTCTCCTGTTCATCCAAAAAGTGATGCATTTGCTCAAATTCCATCACCACTTTTTGTCTTTCAGTGTCTGTTTGATTCTGTAATACAATAGGGAGATGAACTTGAAAAAAGGGCGGGGCAAGGCTTTTGGAAGATAAGCAGTCACTGAATGTCTGGATGCAATTTCCTAAAATAAGAGCCTTGGTAGTACAGTGGTCTAAGGCACCCTGTTATTAAGCTGGTTATTAAGACCAGCTGCCTGCAATTACTGCAGGTTCGAATCTCGCCAAGGCTCAAAGTTGACTCAACCTTCCATCCTTTCTAAAGTAGGTAAATTGAGGACCCAGTTGTGGGGGCAATAAGCTGACTTTATATAAATATACAAAAGGATGAAGGCTATTGCTTAGTGCATTGTAAGCCACCCTGAGTCTCTGGAGAAGGGCGGCATATAAGTCAAATTAAAAAAAAAAAAAAGAGTCAAGGATCTGAATTTTTGGATCTTAAAACCAGCTTTCCAAGATATGCAAAGTAGATGGTCAGGCCAGGTCACAGTCAGGATGGAAGACAGCCCAAAACCCCCATTACCTGCACTGTTTCCTTTTTAAATGTTTTGTTAAGTTTCATTATATGATAAAAATATATAGAAGAAACAAAAGGTAGAAAAACAAGAAAGAGAAAGAGAAAAGTACAAAAAGAGAAGTAAAAGACAATGACTTCCAATTTTCTTTGGTGCAGGAAATTACAAAAATATGCAACTTCAACTTTTGCTTTATATTTCACAGCATTTCAAACCATTGCTATAATTACAAAATCATTCTAATCATCAAAATCTAAAATCAAAGTTTCATGTTTTTACAGTGTCAAGCAAAAAGTCCAAAAGTGGTTACCAAACAGAAACAAAATTAGGTACATTGTTTTCTTTAATTAAAACAGTCAATTTCTCCATCTCTGCTAACTCCATCCACTCTTCCATTGTGGGAATTACTGTCTTTCCATCAAAACTCTTAAAAAATATAAAGAATTCAAGGGAAAAGAAATGTGGTGTTACAAGAACAGAACAACAAGCTTCTGGAGCGGGAAAGAGAGAAACAGAATAGAGAAAAGACATTTGGGGAGGGGGAATGGGAGAATTTAAGCACCCAGGTAGCCACTGAAATCTGTCAACAGAGTCTATAGTATACTAACCAGAGATTCCTGATGTCTAACCTCTCCAGCCAGTTTTAGTCGTAGAAGTTTCTCTAGTTCTTCCTTCAGTTTTTGCAGACGGCATTCAATTTCTTTCTAAAGAAAGAGAATCTAAGTTTGAAATATTTTGTTATAATTAATTGTCCCCATCCCTCCATAGATTTCTACCTAGCAGTACCTGGCTGAAAATACTATGCAATATAGAACTTGGTTAATAGATGGCTCAGAAACCACCAGATAATCACTCCTGATGGGGTTGAAATCGTGCATCACATCAGGAATTAGGTAGTAGAGCATGGGAAAGATATCTACAACTTCGAGAGGCTGCTTGAAAGAAATCGCAAGGGCGAAAAAGTGGGGTTATCTGAAAAAGCAACATTGGACAATATTTGACCATTGCGCTGAATCAAATGGGGTTACCACACATCTTTCTTTGTATGGGAAATCTAAAATGCCAGCCTGCTAATGGATGGGAAAAAAGGGTTTAAAGTCGAGGTCTACCTGTAATTTCTCATCTATAATTATCAAATGCAGTAGTATTTTTCACTGGAAGCAGTAAACCTATCTGTGAAAATATTACATGAGTTGCAATATTACAAAAGTTGTTCTACATACGCTTCGGATTGAGTCAGGATGCAGACAGGAGAAAGCGGGGCAGCCTTCAGATGAAGATTTTGCCCTCCCTCCTTCCGGGGATTTTAATCCTGATTTGGGAGTTGCCCGGAAGGAGAGCCAGGCGCGCGTAAACCTGTGCGGGGCAGAGGGCGAGAGCGCCTCCCGATACCTTATAATCCTGGGCGGCTTCTTCGATGGGGAAGACCGTGTGGCTCCGGTGAGCCCGCGCCTCCCTGCAGATACAACAGATGAGGCTTTCTTCTTCGCTGCAAAAGAGCTTCAGCGCCTCCTGATGCTTTTCGCACAGCGGCCTCCCTTCTCCTTCTTCTTGCCCTGCGGCCCCTTGCAAGGCGTGCAAGCTCAGCCGCCTGGTGATTTCCACCACGTTTCCCAGCTCCCGGTTAGGTCTGAAATTCCTCTGCAGGGCGATTTCCCGGCATTGCGGACAGGAGAAATTGGTGCTCTGGTCCTTCCAGCACTGGGTGATGCAGGCGCGGCAAAAGCTGTGGCCGCAAGCAATGGAAACCGGGTCTCGGAAATACTCCAGGCACACGGAGCAAGTGGCTTCCTTGTGCAGGCTTTCCACCGGGTTCTCCATGGTGACCGAGAGCTCCCCTCTCCTTGTCCCGGATCGACTGTACCGCGGATAGCGCTGGCGGATGAGCAGAACTACGGAAAGAATGGCTCTGATCTGCGCGCTCCGCCCGCTGGAGAAACGTCACCCTCTCCGTGCTGCCGCCGAAGGGGGCTCGATCAGTCCGTCTATTTACCCTGATTTCCAAAATCGGGGTGATTTGGGGCGGGAGAGACACCAGGTGGCAGAAGCCGTAAGCCGCTGCAATCGCCCCCCCTTGAGTTCAGTCAGGCGCGTCTGGAACAAGGCCCGAAGCCTGCAAAGCATCATTTTGCGGAAACTCGCAGCGCGCCCGCCTCGGTTTCCCGCGGCCGGTGTGAGGGGTTCGCAGGGCCAATGAAGCAGCCGCGCTGCGGAGGCCTGGGGTGCGCTGACTCTCTGTCCGAGCCCCCCGGAGGAAGAGCTTGATCGACGTCAAGCCGCTACCCAGTTAGGCGGCTGCGCGTTCCTGTCCTCCATCCCGTCTGAGTGCTAGAAAATGGGGATGTAGAGGTGGTGGGGAAGAGACTGGCAAATCGCATTCAGACCGGAATAATAAGAGTTGGAAGGGACCTTGGAGGTCTTCTAGCCCAACCCCTAGCCCAACCCCTTGCACAAGCATGAGATCCTATACCAGTGATGGCTAACTTTTTTGCCATCGCGTGCCAAAAGTGGAGGGGAGCGCAGGGTGGTTGCACGCGCGCGCGTGCCCGCACCCATAATTCAACGCATTCCGCCTCCCATGCATGTGTGTGCGACCCCCCCCGCGCTCCCCCCGCTATTGGCACACGACGGCATGGTGGGACCGGAAGGCCCATTTTTTCACCCTCCCCAGGCTCCAGAGCCTTTCTAGGAGCCTGGGAAGGGCAAAAACAGCCTTCCCCAGCCACCCCCAGAGACCCTCCTGAGGCCGGAAATGGCCCATTTCCCAACTTCCAGTGGGACCGGAAGGCCCATTTTTCACTCTCCCCAGGCTCCAGAGGCTTTCTAGGAGCCTGGGGAGGGCAAAAATGGCCTCCCCCCCCCAGAGGCCAGAAACAGCCCGTTTCTCAACGTCCGGTGGGCCCGGAAGGCTGGAATATCAGGTGGCTGGCACATGCATGCGCACTGGAGCTGAGCTAGGGCAACGGCTCGTGTGCCCGAAGATATGGCTTCGTGTGCCACCTGTGGTACATGTGCCATAGGTTCGCCATCACGGTCCTATACTATTCCAGACAATTGGCAGTCCAGTCTGTTCCTAAAAGCCTCCAGTGGTGGTGGAGCACCCACAACTTCTGAAGGCAAGCCTTCCACTCAGTGGTGGATTAAGGCTCGGTGGTGCCCTAAGCACTGACAAATCTTGGTGCCCCAAGATTCAATTTTTATCTTTTTTTTTTAGAAATCTTCATTGTTGTTTTTTTTCCTTTCTCAACTTTGTGGTGCCCCCTTTGGGCCTCAGGCCCTAAGCATGTGCTTAGTCTGCTTAATATTTAATACATCACTGCTTCCACTGGTTAATTGTTCTCACTATTAGGAAATTTCTCCTTAGTTCTAGGTTCCTTCATTCCTTCCTCAGATGTGGGAGGGGAGACTTGGGGAGACCTCTTTCAGCAGTGCCAATAGGGGGGCAAGAAGAGAGGTCTGTAGTTGTTGGAGAAAAATCTTCAGGGGCCATTTGCAATTTACAGGTTTTCTCTCCCTTCTTACGTTGGGGTCCATTTTGGCTACTTAAGCAAGACTCTTCTTCAGTTTCCCAACATTTCATGACTTGGTCTACCAGTTTAGTGTAGTGGTAACATGCTGGCCTAGAACCAGGAAACTGTGAGTTCTAGTCCTGCCTTCAAAACAAATTGGGTGATTTTGAGCCAGTAAGTTACTCTTTTCTCTCAACCCAATCTACCTCACAGGGTTGTGGGGAAAATAGGAAGCAGAAAGAGTGTTAGGTATTTTTGCTGCCTTGAGTTATTTATAAATAAAGGCTTTGCAAAGACAGATCAAGCACATTGATACGTTCAAGCAATTACTCCATGGGCAAGATACACAGGAAGCAGTGTATTTATAGCCAAGCTTCAAGAATATACAAAATTATTAATGTGATTGGTTACAGATTAATTATAAAAAGACTATGTTTTAAAATAGACCCAAGTTGCTGTGCTTATACCTCCTAAGCTCTGACCAACTTTATCTTGAAGTGTGAACAGAATATTGAAAGTATTCTTTTTTTTGTAAAAAGTTTTATTTTAATTAAAAATAAAAAAACAACATAAAAATATCATCCTTAAAAACAATTACAGACAGCATCTCAATCGGTTAAAATCATTTTGTGCTTACAATTTTCCAAATCTCATCCTACAACAATTATTCTTTACTCGAACAGAAAATAGGTATTTAAACATTTCATCGAAATTTCTTTTCATATATACTATCTCATCTCCATACTTTATTGTCAAACCATTGATAAAATATCTCCCATATCAAATAATATTGTTTATCTTTTTTTTTTAACTTCTATACTGCCCTTCTCCCAAAGGACTCGGCAGTGTACAGCCATATTAAAACACATATAAACCACAAAATTTAAGAACAATTTAAAAAACAAATATATAAAATTTGGCCCACAAAATTAAAAACTAACAAACACCCAATTTAAAATTCCTATTAGGCCAGCCCGGCTTGTTGGAATAAAAGAGTCTTCAGGGTGCAGCGAAAGGTACGCAGGTCGGGGATCATACGAACCTCTAGGGGCAGCTCATTCCAGAGGGCTGGTGCCCCCACAGAGAAGGCTCTCCCCCTGGATGTCACCAGTCGACATTGTTTGGCCGACGGCACCCTGAGGAGCCCCTCTCTATGGGAGCGTATTGGCCGGTGGGAGGCTATCGGCGGCAGAAGGCAATTTCGTATATACCCCGGTCCTAAGCCATGGAGCACTTTAAAGGTGGTAAGCAACACCTTGAATCACACCCGGAAGACCACCGGGAGCCAGTGCAGCTTGCGCAGGGGAGGTGTTACATGGATGTGCCATGTCGTCCCCATAATCACCCGCGCGGCCTCATTCTGGACCAGTTGGAGCTTCCGAGTGCTCTTCAAGGGGAGCCCCATGTAGAGAGTGTTACAGTAGTCCAGACGGGACGTGATGAGGGCATGAGTGACCGTGCGCAGGGCATCCCGGTCCAGAAAGGGACGCAACTGGCGTATCAGGCGAACCTGATAAAAAAGCTCCCCTGGCCACGGCCATCATATGATCTTCCAAAGACAGCCGTGCATCCAGGAGAATACCCAAGTTGCGAGCCCGCTCTGAGGAGGCCAAGATCTCGCCCCCAATAGTCAGCGATGGAACCCGCTGACTATACTGGGACGCCAGGAGCCACAGCCACTCGGTCTTGGAAGGGTTGAGTCTGAGCTTGTTTCTCCCCATCCTGTTCTCTTATTTCAAATGTCAATCTACTCATTTCAGCACAGTCCAACATTTTCTTAATAATTTCTTCATCGGTGATTATCTTCTCTCCTTTCCAATTTTTTGCAAATACAATTCTAGCTGCTATTAAAATGTTCACAATTAAATATTGTAGTTCTTTATTAAATGTCTCTGGTAAGATCCCTAATAAAAATATCTCTGGTTTAAAGTCAATATGTCTCTGTTATTTTTTCCAACCATATGTGTATCTTAGTCCAAAATCTCCTTGCTTCCACGCATGTCCACCACATATGGTAATAAGATCCTGGAGTCTGATGACACTTCCAACATTTCTCCGATTTGTTCTTGAACATTCTGGCTATCCTCATCGGGGGTAGATGCCACCTGTAAAACATCTTATACAAATTCTCTTTATATGCTGTAGACATTGTCATTTTATAATTATGTGACCACAATTTTTGCCATTTCTCTAAATCAATACCATAACCAAAATTTTCCCCCATGCTATCATTGATTCTTTAACTTGTTCTTCTTCCAATTTTACTTCAAGCAAATATCCATATAACTTTTTAATTACATGGTCATCAAAACCCATTAATATCTTATCTAAACTAGTCAAAGCACTATAAAAACCTTCTTGTTTGAGATCTTCTCGATATCTGGAAAGTATTTGCATATATGAAAACCAATTCATCTTAAACCCCTGATCTTCTAAATCTTGTTTCAGTTTAAGTTCACCCTTTTCATCCAATAATTCACTACATCTAACAATTTGTTTCCCCTTAAATACCACTAGATAAGAGAAAGCTTCAATTGTAGATACCCAGACTGGAATCTTCAAATAATGGTATTTTTTAATCCTCTCCCATGTCAAAAACAAAGCTTCATGTATCTGATGTCTTCTAAATAATCCTGAATTTTGGTACCTTTATACCATAAGAAAACATGCCACCCCATCAACAAATCATGCCCCTCCAAATTCAATAATCTAATGTTTTTCAATGTTACCCATTCTTTAATTCACATTAAACAAACCGCTTGGTAATATAATTCAAAATTCGGTAAACCAAAACCACCCCTCATCTTAGCATCTTGTAACAACTTAAGTTTTATTCTTGCCTTCTTTCCCTGCCAAATGTATTTCATTTTATTTAAATCTGCAAAGAATTCCTTACCCAGCTTTATTGGAATCGTCTGAAAAAGGTATAAAATTCTAGGTAAAATATTCATCTTAATGGTTGCAATTCTACCAATCAAAGATAACTGCAAATTTCCCCATTTCACCAAGTCTTGTCCTCTCTGTTGCTTAAGGTTATTATAATTATTTTCTTTAAGAGAACTACATCTTGTTGTCAATTGAATCCCCAAATATTTTACCTTATTTGTGACCTGCGTCTTTGAAATCTCCATTAGTTCTTCTTTTTGTTTTTTTTAATATATTTTTAGTCATTATCTTCGTCTTTTCTTTATTAATTTTCAGACCAGCAACTTCCCCAAATTCTCCTATTTTTTCTGTCAGTTTATTTATTGATATTAATGGTTCTTCAAGAATAAAGACCAGGTCATCAGCAAAAGCTTGTAATTTATATTCTTCTTTTCTAATTTTCATTCCTTTTATCTCTTTTTCTTCACTGACATTTCTATTCAGCACTTCCAAAGTCAATATAAACAACAATGGGGATAATGGGCATCCTTGTTGAGTACCTTTTTCTATTTCAATAGAGTCAGTCAATTCTCCATTAATCATTACCTTTGCCAGAATATTGAAAGTATTCTAATGTGTCTATTTGCTTCTAGTCTTGCTAAATATTTACATAAAACCCTCATTACTAGAGGAGTGGTTTAACTCCTTTTATATTTCCTCTTTAGCCAGGAATCTGGAGTTCTGCCAATCAGCCCAAACAAAACCTCTTACAGATAGGGCTGGGGCCACTCTGACTTCTGATACATGAATCATCATTTCCAGCACTTCCTGTTACTTCTGTTCAATGATTTCTTTTCAGGATCTTGTTCGAGCCCAAAACACATGGCTCTGCACTTTCCATGTCAGATTTTAATTATTTAACTACTTTTCTCTCTCTTTTCTTCCCATGTGAAACTTTAAAGTCCAGAAGTTTCATCAATCTTGTTATTGTTTGTGTAAATCTTGCGGACATTTTTTTTTAGTGAAAGCAGTGAGAACAAAGCACTGTTTCCTCAGCGGGATATCTAGCAACAGCGGCAGAAAGAAACTGTTTAGCACAGACAGCCATCATGTCCACAGAGGAATTGACAAGAAGACTTAAAGAAGAACTGATCTGCTCCATTTGCTTGGACTGTTTCCATGATCCAGTCTCCATACATTGTGGGCACACCTTCTGCCAAGCTTGCATTACCAAACACTGGGTTTTCATTAACAAAAAATATTTCCACTGTCCTAAGTGTAGAGCAACCAGCCGGAAAAGAATCCTAAAGCCCAACCGAGAGCTGGGAAACATTGCCAGAATTGTCCCAAAGCTGGACGAAACAAACCAACAAAAAGAAAAGACAAAAGAGGAGGTATGCCAGACGCACCAGGAACCACTGAAGCTTTTCTGTAAAAATGATCAAATGGCGATCTGTGTGGTGTGTGACAAATCGAAAGAGCACAAGGAGCATACGGTGTTTCCTGTGGAGGTAAGATCAAACAATGTTAGGTGGCATATTTGTTGCTGTGAGGGCTAAAATGTAGGCCACTTTTTCATGTATTCTTCATTTGCTGTTTGAGACTGACATGTTTGGTATACTAGCTTCGTGGCTTTCTGCAGATTGGGAAAAAAATAGAGGTTGGTTGGTTGGTTGGCAGTTAGTAAATGAAGAATCAGTATATTTATTATTTATCACCATTCTACACTACTAATCTCACTTGTGACTGGGCAGTTTATAAATAAACATAATATTTATTAGGTTACATAATAAGTTAGTACAAATTAATATGCTGCTCATGGGGATAATTTGGTGAGGGGAGCAGTGGTGAAATCTAAAATTTGTTACTACTGGTTCTGTGAGCGTGGCTTGGTGGGGGGGTAATGTGACTGGGTGGGCATGGCCAATTTTTTTTTTAACTTTTAAAACCATTTTCTCTACAACCTCTTCACAAAGAGGTTGTAAAAAGATGCTTTCAAAAGGCTCTGACGATCCCAGCTGAGTTGCCTGATCGTCAGAGGCTTTTTTTCTTTTAAATGCCTCTGATGATCAGGCAACTCAACTTGGATCGTCAGAGGTTCCAACCTGAGTTGCCTGATTATCAGAGGCTTTTTTTCTTTTAAATGCCTCTGGCGATCCAAGCTGAGTTGCCTGATCAGCAGAGGCTTTTTTAAAAAGCTTCTGCCAATCAGGCAACTCAGTTTGGATCGTCAGAGGCATTTAAAAGAAAAAAAGCCTCTGATGATTGCGCGGCTCAGCTGGGCATGGGGGGGGGCAGGGTTTTTGCTACCGGTTCTCCGAACCACCCGCCTCCATCGCTACCGGATCAGGCGAACCGGGAGCATTTCACCCCTGGAGGGGAGGACTCCAAACAGCCCTTCTTTGTGAGGAAGTTGATAGACAGGAACTGTCTTGCCATGTTATATAATTGCCAGATTACAGATTGCTAAACAGTTGTGTAATGATACTTTGGGTGCTTGGCAGCCCACCTGCACTTATGACCACAGTGGTGACTAACTCCCTCTACCCGCTTATCTCTTACCCATCGCTGCACTTTTGGCCACCCTGCACAGTGATACTCCTTGGAGGTGGTGGCAGCACTGGAATCAAAGGCCCAGGCTCTTCAGCAATCTCAGCCAGCTGCCACACCTGTTCCTCAGGGCATCTACTTTAGCTCTACTGCCAGAGCCAACCTCTGCTGCTCTGCTCTCTGCCAGTCCCATCATGCCAGCTGATTTTCACCATCCTCTTCCTCCTGCTGACAGAATTTAGAACAGAATAGAATAACAGAGTTGGAATGGACCTTGGAGGTCTTCCTTCCTGCTTAGGCAGGAAACCCTACACCACTTCAGACAAATGGTTAATTTGTTGCTTGGAAAAGATGCTGTGAGCAACTTGGGATTGCATGATGAAGACATTTATCCATGGCAAAAGTTGTGTTGACAGGAGAAGGAGAATATTACTTTCAAATTGGAATAGCTGAGGATGATGTTAATGCTGCCTTAGCTCTGTTTTGGAGACCAGACAAATGCCACAACATATGAACGTGGCAGGAAAAGCAAGAAAAAGCACCTATTTTTTCAGGGACATATATGGTACCCTAAGAAAGGGGCACATCAGGGGTGAAATGCTCCCGGTTCGGACTGGATCACCCGATCTGGTAGTGATGGAGGCGGGTGGTTCGGAGAACCGGTAGCAAAAATCCCTGCCCCCACCCCCATGCCCAGCTGAGCTGCACAATCTTCAGAGGCTTTTTTTTTTTACTTTTAAAAGCATTTTTTCTACAACCTCTTCGGCCGAAAAAATGCTTTTAAAAGTAAAAACAAAAAAACCAAAAAACCTCTGATGATCGCGCGGCTCAGCTGAGATCATCAAAGGCTTTTAAAAGAAAAAAAGGGTCTTTTTCTTTTAAATGCCTCTAACGATCAGTCAACTCAGCTTGGATCGTCAGAGGCATTTAAAAGAAAAAGACCCTTTTTTTCTTTTAAATGCCTCTGACGATCCAAGCTGAGTTCGCCGAAGAGGTTATAGAAAAAATGGTTTTAAAAGTTTTTTTTTTAAAGATTGGCCACGCCCACCCAGTCACATTACTCTCCCCACCAAGCCACGCCCACAGAACCAGTAGTAACAAATTTTAGATTTCACCACTGGGGCATATGACTGTTAAATAGAGTTCTGCTCTGTTTTTCTTCTTTACATCTTCTTTGTATCTAACTAGAGACCTCAGTGCTGTGTTTTTTTTTCACACATGGAACACCTAAAAAAATTAGCCAAGAGTGTCTGTTTAATGCCATATGAAAACACTCTTCAAAAGGCCAAAGCAAGCAACTACAGCCTATGCTTGTGATCTGCAGCAAACAGGGCAGGCCCTTTTTTGTTTTATCATTTTTGCTGCCAAAAGCTTCTTCAAATGATCTTGGGGATTCTAGTTTTGAGATAAGGTAGATCAAATTTTCCCGCAGTCGCTCTTGGTCTTCGATAATCTCCCAGGTGTTGGCAATCTTGGCTGGTGGATTTCAAGAACTGAACTTTAGAATAGGCTTGATTGTTCATAGTTAAAGTTAATGATTTATGCCTTAGCGGGTTTATAGTTTCCATGTTATTCTTGAAAGTTGGACATTGAGAGTGTTTAAGTCTGGAGTGCAGATATATTGCAATAGTGACTGGTTTAATCTTAAATGTGCTAGAATAGATGGAAGACTCAGCTCAGGAATAATTAGCTGGATTAAGATGCTCCACGTAGGGAGGGTAAGGGTTGTTAAAGATTCATTTTGTAGGTATCTAAGACGGGTGGGTTCTAAATTTTTTTACTACCAGTTCTGTGGGCGTGGCTTATTTTGTGGGTGTGGCTTAGAGGTCATGTGACTGGGTGGGCATGGCTAGCTGGTCATGTGACCGGGTGGGCGTGGCTATGTGTATAGGGACTACTCAGAGGGCTGAAATGAGTCATTTCTGGAAGGTCCTCGCACTTACGACCAGTCCTCGCACTTACAACCTGACTCATTTGTATGCTTTTAACACTGATCAGCTGTAGGGCGGCCCTTTGAAGCAAGAGTTTAAACAGTTTTTTCCCCTCTAGCCATCAGCTGGGACTCAGGAGGTAGTAATAGATTGGGGGTGGGACCAAATAAAAGGTAAGAATAACATGGGGGGTGGGGGGTGGGAGGGCAGGGGGGGAACCGATTCGGTGACGGCATATCGTCACTGCTACCGGCTCCGCCGAACCGGACCAAACCGGGAGGAACTCATCACTGATCTAAGACTACAAGGTCAGGGGTGGGTTCTACTTACCTTTACTACTGGTTCGTATTGCGCCCGCATGCGCAGATCACCTATGACTGTGATGGCAAACCTATGGCACGCGTGAGCCATATCTGTGGGCACGCGAGCATTGCCCTAGCTCAGCTCCAGCACACATGCATGTGCTGGACAACTAATTTTCTGGCCTTCCGGGCCCACTGGAAGTCGGGAAACGGGCCGTTTCCAGCCTCTGGAGGGCCTCCGGGGGGTGGGGAGGCCATTTTCGCCCTCCCCAGGCTCCAAGAAAGCCTCTGGAGCCTGGGGAGGGTAAAAAACAGGCCTACTGGGCCCACCGTGCCATTGCATGCCAAAAGTGTGGGTCGCGCGTGGGGTGGGGCACATTGAATTATGGGTGTAGGCACGCTTGCGCGTGACCCTCCTGCTTTCCCCCACTTTTGGCACGTGATGGCAAAAAGGTTAGCCATCACTGACCTATGATGATGTCCAGGTCAGTGGGCGGAGCCTCCCACCGTTTTTACTACCAGTTCTTGTGAACCGGTCCAAACCGGGGGCAACCCACCACTGCACAAGGTATAATAAATAAATCAAATACTGTTCTTCTTTATTTAGCAAGAATTCCAGGACCAACTGATATTTTTGAAGACAAAAAGAGGAGAACTTGTTAAATTTCAGGCAATGAATACTGCGAGGAACGAAGAAGCCCTGGTAGGTTCTTCAATTTATCTACTGGCAAACTGGAATTTGTCCTCAGTCTGTCTTTTAGAGCAGTAACCATGTTTCCCTGCTGGAATTTATTGCAGAATACAATCGGTGCTGGGATTCAGAAAACGTCGTTGGCCTTTAAGCAGATTTATCAATCCCTTGAGGAACAGAGGCAGCTGCTGCTGGCCCAGTGGCACTCACTCCAGACAGCAGTTAAGGAACATAATGCCACAATTTCAGAGGAAATTTTTTGCCTGGATAGCCTTATCACTATGGCAGAAGAGAGATGGCCAACAGTAGAGGTTGAGTTTTTACAGGTTAGAAAGTTGACATTATTTTCTTCCGGGGTAAATAAGGGTTATCTTACTGAAGATGTGGTGGGACAATAGCTCTAGGGTACCATATTTTTCGGAGTATAAGACGCACCTTTTTCCCCCCTAAAAAATTGGGGTGAAAATTTAGGTGCGTCTTATACACCGAATGTAGCCCCGCCCGTCCACTGGCTCCCACCCTTTGGCCTCTGCCTCCCAGCAGTTACCTCCTTGCACCAAGAAGAAACAGCTCCTTTCAGCTTCAGCACAGCCTAATTAGCACAAGTTGATTGGATCTGCCTCCCGACTCTCAGCTGTTTTGCCTGGGCCTCTGCTGCTTGTTGCAAAGAGGTAAATTGCTAGAGCAGATTTTTTTTTTCTTGTGCTAATCAAGCTATGCTGAAAACAAAAATGAAAGTAAAGCAAAAATGAAAGTGGCTGTTTGCTGCAACGAAGCAAAATTGCTGGGAGGCAGAGGCAGATTTCTTTTTCTTGTTTTCCTCACCAAAAAAGATAGGTGAGTCTTATAGTCCAGTGCGTCTTATACTCTGAAAAATACGATAGTTCTTGAGATTTAGGGAACAAGAAACAGACAGTCCTCTTTTTATGGTACATCTCTTTCCCAAACTAGTCCCACTAGATGTATTGGTTTTGCATATTCCTAGCAGCATGACCAGGAAGGTGGCTTGGGGGGGAGGCAAAATTAGATAAAAGTAGCTTAACAAAGTCATTGCTTCCCATGTGGGATACCTGTGAGAGAGGCTCATAAAGTGATATATGTCAGGAACAACTCAAAGAAGTAGTGCAAGATCAGAAGATGTGGAAAGACCAGGCCCATAGAATTGTCAAAAGTCAGATGCAACTAAATAGATAACATCATCATCATATGGTAGAAAAAAATTGGCTTCCTCTCCCATATTTCTGATGCGAGGCTGGATTCACACATTGTTTTGACTAATGATTGTGGTTTTTAGTTTATGATTGACAATGTTATGGCTTGTTCTATAAACTATGGTTAAAACCAGACAGTTAATGTGCTATGTGCTAATGAAAATAGACACTGATCTTTGAAATGGCATCATCTACATAAAAGAATGTATCAGAAAGGCTTATGGCAGTGTTTCTCAGCCCTGGCAATTTTAAGATGGGTGGGCCTCAACTCTTAGAATTCCCAAGCAAGCATTGAACAGTTGTAGTCCATCCATCTTAAAGCTGCCAAATTTGAAAGCATTGGCTTTGGGGAATGTGAGAACAAAATCAAAGGAGGCTTTGCAGGCTCAATAGTCACTGCATGCTGAAGGTCTGTTAAAAGATAAACGAGAAACCACATCCTGGGGAAAAATGGAATGTCTTGGAAGAGAGCTAGAGACTCCAAATCACATGGCAATATTTTGTTGTAGACTCTGTATTACGTAATGCTAAAATACTTCTTATCTTTCCTTTCCCAGGAGATGCAGACTGCATCAATGAGGTATTTGACTTTTTTGTCTTCTGATTTGTGCTGAATGATCTAAGAAATGCAAGAGTATAAATCCACGGGTAAAAATTGTGTAGCCCGATAAACTTTCCCTAAAACCCAGCTCCTCATCTGTATTTGGCCTGACCTAGTATTCAGCCTTCTCCAAATACTTTATAATATCTTTGACCAAGCAGCAAGTTTACCCCTTGATCAGTGGTCGGGTTCAAATTTTTTTACTACCGGTTCTGTGGGCGTGGCTTGGTGAGCGTGACATGGCTTGGTGGGCGTGGCTTGGTGGGCAAGGCAGGGGAAGGTTACTGCAAAATCCCCATTTCTTCCTGAACAGCTGGGACTCGGGAGGCAGAGAATAGATGGGGGCGGGGCCAGTCAGAAATTTTACTACTAGTTCTCCGAACTACTCAAAAATCCCTCTACCGGTTCTCTAGAACTGGTCAGAACCCGCTGAAACCCACCTCTGCCCTTGATGCTTTATGACTTCAGGGCAAAAATGATACCAATAGTCTGTATAGGCCTCTTTCACCTTAAAATCGTCCACCTGATCTTCATATACAAATGTTTTCTTCGTATTTTAGGTTAAATCAAAAGAAGTTTCAAGGGTTAGATGATTTTCTTCCTGAAATGGAAAAATGGCTTGCTTCTCAAACAAGACACAATGAGGTTGTCACACATACTTTGTGGAAATTCAAAGGTATGAGCTTAGCTGATATTTAAATTTAAATTTAGGACCAAGTTTTTAAACTGAGAGATACAGTCCATGCAGTTGGAACAGAAAGGAACCTTACATGCATGCTCCTAAAAGTATTGATTTGTTTTGCTATACTCTAGTTCCTGTTTCTGAAGATAGCATATATGTTTTGAAAGATGTGAGTCCTGCCTTCCTATCACAAGAACCTTCAAAGCAGCCTGAAACACTACATTAAAACAGGAGCTAGGGCAAAAGAGAGAATGAGAAACAGAAGGGGAATAACAGCAGTCCAAGCAATACAAGAAGTTTCTATTGAGGCTGTTCTTAATTAGAGCAGAAAATATTGACAAGATGCATGAGTGATTGATCTGAAGCTTGGGTCTATACATTGCTTTGAGCCGCAATGTAGTTTAACACATGAGAACCCAGCCAATAATGATTGTTAAGGTCTAATGGTTAAAGCACCAGACTAGAAACCAAGAAACCTTAGGTATGAAAGCCGACTATGTGACTTTGGGCCAGTCTCCCTTCTACACAGGATTGTTGTTGTGGAGAAAATAGGAGGACGAAGGTGTATTAGGTATGTTTGCCATCTTGAGTTATTTATACAAATAACTTTTGTATAAATACGATTGCTAACAGGGTGGTGTGTTTTGCTCTTTTTGTTTCCTTTTTGTTTTTTTGAGTTGTCTCTTGAATGGTATGTAGATGTTGTCTGTTTCTATGTGCCTATTGATAGCTGATTTGTCTGAGTGCCAGGCTTCTAGGAATTCTCTAGGCTTTTGAGATTTGGCTTGGTGTATTATATATATATATTATAGATATATTAACCCCCTGCCCCTGTTTACTCTTGGATTTTTTTTGTTTCCACCAGATGATCTAACACCTGTTAGGAAGAAGGAAGATTCGAGCTCTCTTATTGCAAAAAAGAGGAAATCGGAAGACCAAACAGCCAGTGATGCTTTTGATTGTAGCCAGGAGAGCAGAATGCATTCCTCATCATCTCCGCAGCCTGATAAAAGAGCACCAGTAGGAGATAGTAAGTGCAGGACAATGGTTTCTCTCTGTATTTTGTCCAACTTTCTCAGTTTTCATTAAAAAAAACACAACACACACAAACGTACCTTTGATATAAAAAAGGGGCACAAAGGCTAAGTTTCCCATTTTTGTTATGTCCCCTTCCCTCTTCAGCTTAGTGTGATTGTGTATGGTAATTATATCTTCAGACATTAGCAGCTGATACTATTACCGTGTTTCCCCGAAATAAGTGCTTGGCCTTATTTTTGGGGATGTCTTATTAGTTTGGGGCGCGTGGAGCAAGATGGGGCTCTTCTTGCCGTCTTACCTGACTTCCAGCTCTGTCTCCCTAATCCTAACCAGAGGAAATGGCGGGGACCGGCTGTGCATGCGTTTAAATATTTTCGGGGAGAGCTTATTTTCAGGGGGATGCTTATTTTAGTGCATGCGCTCAAAAACCTGATTGGGCTTATTATCAGGGGATGTCTTATTTTAGGGGAAACAGGTTATTGAAAGCTGGTATGAAGGAAATATTTTTATCTCATTAAATATTGGGACCAGAGTTTACAGGAAAAAAAAGTCATAATAATTAGCTTTCAGCGGGGCTTTGGGTGCTGCAAAATAAATCCATAAGTTTCTACCTACTTTCTAATGCTCTTTTGTCTCTTTTTTGACTAGTTAACATGAAGAAACATCAAAAACCATCTCAGTGTCCACTATCCTAGCTGGAATTATGTACAAATTTTTGTAGCGAGTTTTCAGCAGAAGCAACACATCCACTGTACTAGCTTCTATAATCAGATGATGTCAAAAAAGCCCAGTGATCAGTTGATATTGCTGATAGTTCTCTTTGATGTATCCTTGCAAAGTGTCCATGGAGATTCTCAGTCAGGGTTGTCCCAAAAGTGCTTTTTCAAGAGGCAACTGGACTTTCTGGTTTTTCTTTGAAGACATTTCACTTCCCATCCAAGAGGATTCTTCAGCTCTGACTGGATGGTGAGGAAGTCTCTTTGCAGACAGCTAGTCATTTGCCTCCTTTTAGCCTTCTTTCATTGAGGAATTGGAGCTGTGCTTTCTGAAGGTTGTTTTCCGCTGAGTCCCTTCACTGTTGAAGACAAGCGCAGCCTGTTGGGGGATGAGTCTATCCTGTCTGCGTCTCAGACTGAAGTGAAAATATTTCCTGTAATCTGCAATTTTTCTGGAAATCCATTCATATTCCCTCACCATTTGAAGGGGGAATCATCCCAAAGCATATCGCTAAATATCTATGGAGATTCTCAGTCATCCAGGTCATGACAGGTGGGGACCAAAGAAACGTCTTCAAAGAAAAACCAGAAAGTCCAGTTGCCTCTTGAAAAAGCAACTTTGGGATATCCGTGCAAAGCCAAACAACATGCTTGGACTAAATTCAGTAATTGTTAAAACTCACTTGCTGTCCTAAACCAGCTTACTTTAAGAAAAGTGAGTCTGATCATGTGGTGACCTGCTTTACAACCATCATCAAAACTTACAACTCTAATAGGCAGGCTTCATTACACTTGAAAGTCAAGGACTACCTGTACATCAGAAGAACAGGCTGGTTTGGTTTTTATGAGCAGCTTAATAAGAACTATGAATCCATGTAAAAATGTGTATTTGTATACAGTCCATTATAGACACAGAGATACACTAGCAAGCAAACGAAATGTACACACCAAAACAAAGAATACTATTCTCCTTTATCAGATGCATGAACAGCAGCAATGTGTGGAAAGGATGGAATCGGAATTAAAGGAGAAAAGGAAGTCATGTTTATGTAGTTAGATTTGACCTGGATTAATGGAAGGGGTAAGGAACTGCAGAGGACAGAGGTGGGAGGTGTAGAGAAAGCGAGAGTTATATACATATATGAGATATAGGTGGATGGATGAATGGGTGGATGGATAGATGACAGATAGACAGACAGGCAGACAAACAGATACCATATGTATGCATATTGCATCAGTTCTAGAAGAGAGTAGGCTTTACTGTTTACTTATATAGCTTGTCTTGTCAATGTTGGTGGAAGTGTTCTTGATAGTTCCTTGATTAGGCAGTTGTTTACTGGTAGCTTGTTTGTCTAAATTAGTACTTTCTTGATTGGGGTATTGTTGATTTCTTGATTGTTGGTGGAGTGTTAATATTGGTGTTAATCTCTGGTCATCTGGTGTTGATTGCTAACAGGGTGGTGTGTTTTGCTCTTTTTGTTTCCTTTTTGGTTTTTTTATTGTCTCTTTCAAATGTTACGTAGATGTTGTCTATCTCTATGTGCCTATTGATAGCTGATTTGTCTGAGTGCCAGGCTTCTAGGAATTCTCTAGGCTTTTGAGATTTGGCTTGGTGTATTATATATATATGATATAGATATATTAACCCCCTGCTCCTGTTTACTGTTGGATTTTTTTTGTTTCCACCAGATGTTCTAACACCTGTTAGGAAGAAGGAAGATTTGAGCTCTCTTATTGAAAAAAAGAGGAAATCAGAAGACGAAATAGCCAATGATGCTTTTGATTATAGCCCAGAGAGCAGAATGCATTCCTCATCATCTCAGCAGCCTGATAAAAGAGCACCAGTAGGAGATAGTAAGTGTATGACAATGGTTTCTCTCTGTATTTTGTCCAACTTTCTCAGTTTTCATTTTTTTAAAAAAAGAAAAAAAATCTTACAAATGTTCCTTTGATATAAACAAGGGGTACAAAGGCTAAATTCCCCATTTTTGTTATGCCCTCATCCCTCTTCACCTTAGTGTGATTGCCTATGGTAATTATATCTGCAGACATTAGCAGCTGATACTATTATTGAAAGCTGGTATGAAGGAAATATTTTTAATCTCCTTAAGTATTGGGACCAGAGTCTACAGGGAAAAAAAAACATAATAATCAGCTTTCAGCGGGGCTTCAGGTGCTGCAAAAGAAATCCACAAGTTTCTGCCTACTTTGTAATGCTCTTTTGTCTCTTTTTTGATTAGTTAACATGAAGAAACGTCAAAAATCATCTCAGTGTCCACTATCCTAGGTGGAATTATGTACAAATTATTGTAGCGATTTTTCAGCAGAAGCAACACATCCACTGTACTAGCTTCTATAATCAGATGATGTCCAAAAAGCCGAGTGATCAGTTGATATTGATGATAGTTCTCTTTGATGTATCCTTGCAAAGTGTCCATGGAGATTCTCAGTCATGCAGATCATGGTTGTCCCAAAAGTGCTTTTTCAAGAGGCAACTGGATTTTCTGGTTTTTCTTTGAAGATGTTTTGCTTCTCATCCAAGACTTATCTCCTCAGCTGGCACACCTCCAGTCATTTGCAATGGGCCACCGGCCCCTGCGTCTCACACCCCTCAACACGGCCCATTCGCAGAAAGAGGGTCCTGGGTGTTCTGCCGCCCCCCCCCCCACCCAGTGACAGTTAGCCCCCAACCAATCGGCTAGAGGGGGTGTAATAGAAATCTAGTGAAAGGAGAGAGGTGTAAAAGAATTTGCCAAAATGCCTTCCTCCCTGCTCTCCCCCCTCCTCTCCCCCCCCCATTCAGGGAGGAACAGTTGGTTTACTCAGAAGTAAGTCTCACTAAATTCAATGCTAGGATTGCAGTGTGAAATATTTGAATTTGAAATCACTTAGTATTTCAAATGGAACAGTTTGTTTACTTGGCGCAGTGGTTAGGGTGCATTACTGCAGCTACTTTAGCTGACTGCTAGTTCAGTGGATCAAATCTCACTGGTCAGGGTTGACTCAGCCTTCCATCCTTCCGAGGTGGGTAAAATGAGGACCCAGATTGTTAGGGGGCAATATGCTATTTAGTATACTGTCTTTGGTGTAAGCCGCCCAGAGTCCTTGGAGAGTGGGCGGCATAGAAATATGACTAATAAAATAAAATAAAATAAAATAAAATAAAACTCTTTAGAGGACAATTAATAGAAATTCAGCTAAAGGGGAGAGGTGTAAAAATTTGCCAAAATGCCTTCCTACCTCCCTCTCTCTTCTCCGCCCCCAGCCTTCTCCCCCCCACCCCTCAATAGAGGGCCCGGTGCTCCTTCTTCACAGGCATAAAGGAATTTGCCAAAATGCCTTCCTCCCCACCCCACCCCCGGCCATCCTTGAAAGTATATTTAGAATCCTTGGATGCCTCGGGAAAGGTTACACTTGGGAGGAAAGGGATGAAGAATTTCCTTCAATTAGATTTTGACCTGCCCAGGCAGGTTCTGTCTTGGACATATGGCATTTTAGCAACTTTACCTGGCTGGATGTCTTTTTAAGAGTCACAAAAGAGTTCAGACAGGGACGCTGTTATTGAGCGGGTGTAACTCAGTTTTTTCAGTGCTGTTTTAACTTAAAACCGTCACTAAATGAACTGTTGTAAATTGGGGATCACCTGTATTATGCAACTCTCCCCAAACAGGTCAGCTCTTATCCAAGCTACTTTTGAGCATAGGTTTAGCATTACTTTGAAATAACACCAAAACTGCGTATAAAAGTGACTTTAGTTTGTTTTGTGCAGTCACTTGGACTGAGTTTAGTGGCGTTTCAGAATACTGCTAATCCAGTATAACACTTTCCCACAGTAGCGCTCAACCAGTATCTCAATGAAAGTTTGTTTTTATATACCGGTAGTCGGTGAAAAATCATAACAAATTTGACCATTGCAAAAACAAAAGTAGAAACAAGGGCTCCTGTTCAAAATGAGAGTCTATTCTATAGAGTAGAATAAGAAAAAAAGCATTAAAAACATTTAAATATTGTTTCTTTATAGATTATTTTTCTTAAAAGTACTGCAGTCAATACAATTCTTTAATTACGGCTCACCTTCTTTTCTTCAATAAAGATTACCTATTACGAATTTTGGGGAATTTGTCTTATTCATTCATGTCCTACTTATCAGATGATCTCAAAAAAAGCCCAGTGATCAGTTGATATTCCTGATAGTTCTCTTTGATGTATCCATTCAAAGCCAAACAACATGTTTGGACTAAATTCAGTAATCGTTAAAAGTCACCTGCTGTCCTAAGTCAATTTACCTTAAGAAAAGTGATTGAGGGTTGTTTTCCTGCTAGCTGCCGAGATGGGTTAGTAAAGGTGAGAGATGTCATAGGAATCTACCTGCCATTGATATGCAATGTTCTCTAGAACAGAGGTTCCCTGACCCCCGAGCTGCAGAATCGTACCAGTCCGCAGCCTGTTAGGAACCAGGCCGCGCAAGTGAGCAAAGCTTCATCTGCACATGTGTGAGATCTGGGTAAAGTGCAAAAAAACTCGCGCCCCCCCTCCCCCCCACCTCCAGTCCATGGAAAGATTGCCTTCCGTGAAACTAGGCCTTGGTGTCAGAAAAGGTTATTCTTATATCCATTCTGATGATGGATATAAAAACAGAAGACAATAAGAAGGGGTTTAATATAGAATAGAAGGGAAAATTGGAATCTGGTTAAAATTAGAGATGAAAATGAAGGGTAAAATTGGTAAAAAAAATAGATGAAAATGAACACTATGGCAAAAAGGAGGTATAGAAACGGTAATTTTAGTTGTAAAGATTAAAAATTGTTTACATTTGTTAACCGGCCAAATACTCTGATCAGCAAAAATACATTGTATGTTTCTGTGTGTGTATGTGTAAAAAATAAAGAAAAACTTTTTACAAAAAAAAAAAAAGAACTCTGTTAGGAGAGAAAGCAAGAAATTCCTAGACTGGATAATTCAGAAATGGTGTTAAAAGGCATTGCAGTATTTTTGTGGAGAAAACCAGAAATCAAATCTAATGTTACCTTGTTGCACAACTGATAAAAATTCACAAGTCACGTCTGCTTTTGCATTTGGTTCCTTAATGCATCTGCTCTGATATTTTTCTTCTGTTAACAATGAACATCCATATTCACTGCTTGCATTTAGGCCTCATTTGGCTGTTCAGGATAATTTATCTTAAACTCTTTGTGCTTTAGCAAACTTTGCAGTTCTTCCAGGCCTCCTGATATATCATCTTGTGGGATAGGTACTGTTATTTGTGTGTATACATTCTTAGACATTGATTGCCATTACTATGTTGGAATTAAAAAATTGCATTTCTAATTCCACATTTTTAGAGAAGCTCTTAAGCAGGAATCTGTTTACTATTCCTGAAGAGTAATGCCCTTGACATAAATTTATATCTCAGTTTTAACTATATTAAGCCAATGTTATCTGTCTTCAGTTGCAAAAAGTTAGCTAAGCTGGGGTTTTGTATATTCCTCAAATGCAAAGTCTTCTTTCAGTTGTGGCAGTCCCAAATCTGAGCAGTTAAAAAGGATCTTCTAAGGGACGTCATAGGTCTATAGGCTATAGCATGGGTGTCAAACTCGCCGCATCACATTGCCGTCACATGACGTTTTGTGACATTTTCCATTTCCAGAGCTGGGGTGGGTGTGGCCTGTGTGTGACGCATCCAGCCCACAGGCCACCAGTTTGAGACCTCTGGGCTGTAACATATGATATGGTACCAATTCAAGTCTACATAAATTTGGGGTATAGTCTAAAGTGTTAATGTCGAGCCGGCTGAGAATTAAGTTTTGTTCCACCTTTTCATATTACTTTGTACAATAAAAGTATTGGTGAAAAACCAAAAATACACAACATTCTATATCAGGATCACTGCCCCAAAGCAAAGGACCCACTGATGAGTTAAATAAATAAAGTCAAGAAGTTGGTCATTCTGCTTTCAGCAAAGTTAGCCCTCCTGCAGCGCCATGCCCACAAGCCAGCTGGGTTACATTTCTGGGCCTAACTCAAAATTACAAGCTTGAATTCCTTCTTGCCACAAAATGTGTGTTTGGAATCAGTTCAACTTCTTTTTCATAGCCTGCAGGGGCTTAATTTTTTCAAGCATGCTCTGGAGATGCCTTTCTAATGAACCCCCGAGAATGGAAGAAAATGACACATCCAGGCAGAAAGAGAAATTGCAGATTCTCCCATAGAAAGAAGCAAGAAAACAAGTCTTCTGAGACAGCGGAGTAACCAGGTTTTGTCTTCCCTGCCAGGAAAGTTTCAAAAACCCTATTTTATTTATGAAATTCATATGCTGCCCATCTTACTGTCAGAATGACTAATCCATCCACCGTGGACATAATTTCTATCAAATTTGCATTGTCTAGTGCAAGTAGCCCTTGTTTAATGACTGCCTTATTTAGCAGCCTTTTGAAGTTATAATGGTGATGGACAAATAAATAAATAAACTTTATTGTCATTGTATGTGTATATATGGTATACACATACAACGAAATTTACTTGACACCAGGTCCCACACACATAATCCCCAAACATACTCCCACCCACCACAATTCCCCACCCCTAAACTACCCAAACATCCACACAACAGACCAAGTAATGCTGTCCAACAGCTCACTGATGGTGGCCCTTTAGTTCATTGTTGAGTGCAATTATAGCTCTGGGATAAAAACTATTCAGAAAACGTGTGGTCCGAGTTTTAATTGTTCTGTATCTTCTGCCAGGAGGCAACAGTCCAAAAAGATTGTAAGCAGGATGGGAAGAGTCTCTGAGAATGTTATGCAACTTTACAACCAATCCTCACATTTATGACTTCTGCAGATCTGTCTGAAGATCATAAGCGCAGTTGTGTCTGTGTCATAAATATACATGTGGGTATAAGCCTGTAGAGATTCTCAATCATCCAGGTCATGGTTGTCCCAACTGGATGATGGTTTTTCTTCTTCTCCTTCTCCTTCTCCTTCTCCTTCTCCCTCTCCCTCTCCCTCTCCTTCTCCTTCTCCTTCTCCTCCTCTTCCTCCTCCTCCTCTTCCTCCCTCTTCCTCTTCCTCCTCCTCCTCTTCCTCCTCCCTCTTCCTCCTCCTTCTCTCTCTCTCTCTCAACGAAATTTAATTTTAATGCCGATCACTGACAAGAAAATTATTCTAAGTTGTCCAGTTGCCCACCGCGCACCGTCTCTCTGACATCCTTCAAATAGGGGCTAATATTTAGCACACGCTTTCCGTGCCGTTCACACACACACACACACCCCAGAGGGACCCATCCACCAATCAGACGCGAGAGGCTCGGGAAACAGATTCCTCCCATCGCCCAGGTTGGTTGCAGAGGAAAACGAAAGTTATCTAGGAAATTTTGGGCGTTTTGAATGCGAAACGCTGCTCTTGGACCCATCCACCGCCGTTTTCGACCTCCGGAGGGTTGCAGTTGGAGCTGGTTGGAGGCGGAGGCCCCTGCCCAGGTGTTGTTGCTCGTCCAGAGCATGGGGGATCTGGGGAGACCCTGCTCCGGGGGTCAGAACAGCCCTGAAAAACGAACCTCCGAGTCCAGGACGTCGGAAGGGCTGCATCTGCAAGCAATCGAAGGGTTGTGGGGAGAAGCCCTCTGTGAAAAACATGGGGAGCCCCTCAAGGTTTTCTGCAGGGAGGACTGCGCCTTCATCTGCTTGGTATGCGACAAATCCAAGAAGCACCGAGGCCACCTGGTACTTCCCGTCGAGGAGGCAGCTCAAGATTACAGGGTAACAAACAAATTCACTTTTGCTGGCCTAGATGGGGCGGACGCTGCCACTCTTCCCTGTTTTGAGGTGGTGGACTTCTGCCCTGCTTGAGAGCCCTCCTTCTGAACTTGTGCGTTGATTGGATACTTCTAAAAATCTGGCATTGCACAATACGCTTAATTCTTGAGCAACACTATTACTGTATATGTGCTGTACAACCCAACCATCATATTATGGCTTAATGCGATGGTGATGGCAGCAGCTGGATTTCCCAGGACTGACTGTATTCCAGAGTATGTCTAGGGTACTTTGCAAACCCAGCTTAATTATTCTAGCTTTTCCCCCCTGAAGAAATCTAGATTGATGCCCTTTTTTACTTACTTTTTTCATGTATTCAAATTATGTTTATACTTTTACCTGTTATCTTATATATGCTTGACAAATAAACTTATGATTATGATTCGAATTGGTGCCCTAGAATTGGTTCCTTCAGTCCCCCAATAAAATCAGCTTCCCAAGTGATTTAGCATTTCAATAATTGTTGGGGAATAATCCTAACAGATTTTGTTTGTTCAGAAAGAGATCCAGATCAAGCTACAGAAACTGAAGCTGGGGAGAACGGCTGCTGAAGGATCAAAGCAGACTCAGGAGAAGCAAATGGCTGTGTATTTGGTAGGTAATTTGTTCATATACAGTACTAAGGAAAACTGTAGCAGTTTCTCTTCACTGAAATACATTCCCCACTTTGTTGTACATTTCGTAAAATAAAAGAGTTTTATTTTGAGTGTCTGAAAAATAATCATGAGCAATTTTTGTCCACTAAATACAGAATGCAGGTTTGTAGCCTATAGTTGCATTATTTTATTTTATTTTTATTTATTATTTTACATTATTATTATTATTATTATTATTATTATTATTATTATTATTATTATTATTATTATTATTATTATATTTTGCATTTGTGGCATCATGGCTTAGCAGTTAAAGACACTGAATTTGACAGCTGGAAAGCTGACAGCCCAGGTTCAAGACCTCAGCACTGCAACTGGGTGAGCTCCCGTTCCCTGCCTCAGTTCTTGCCCACCTAGCAGTTTGAAAACACATGAATGCAAGTAGATGAAGAGTTACCACTTTGGTGGGAAGATAACAGCATTCTGTGTGCCTTTGGTGCATAGCCGAGCTCTCTACATGACCACGGAAAATATATTTGGACAATGATGGCTTCCTCAGCCAAGAAACGGAGGTCAGTTCTGCACCCTAGAGTTGGATAGGACTGGACAGGGAAACCTTTATCTTTTCTTTTCTTTCCATTTTACATCTTGTCTTTCCATTAGGAAAGGTGGTTTGCTTGAGTTTTCATCCTGTGAAGTAGGTGAGGCTCTAGTGACTGATTCACCCAAATGAGTTTTGTAAATGTGTAGGAACTTGACCCTGAGTCCCTGGTATCGCATTCTAACCAAGGGGTGCTTGTCTTTCCATTCAATGTAATTGTAATATGTGTCTCTCTCCCCATAGGGAGAACAGAAATCTGCTTAAATCATCCCCCTCCCCCCATGCATTCAGGCACATAGAGGTAGTCCTTGTTTAACAATCAGTCATTTTACGACCATTTGACTTTTCAACAGCCATAGGTCAGGTGCTTTATGGCTTATGATGCCCCTCCACCCTGCGTTCATGTGACTGCTTGTTTGGCAGGCCAGCATTACAACTGTTCAGAGAACATTCTGCAGTAACATAACTGATTTGTAATGTTTTTTGCTGATCTCTGGCAATAAACATTCATTCAAATGAATGACTTCGCTTAATAGCCATAGCGTTCACTTAACAACTATTGTGAAAAGGGCTGGAAAAATTACTTTTGGTCACATGGGTGCCTCGATTTACAACCACAAAGTCTTACAACCTAATTCTGGGCTCAGTTATGGTTGTAAGCTGAGGGCTATCTGTAATGATAGGCATTAGCAATATATTGACCAATTTAGTATTATTTAATAATAGCAAATTATTAAATATTGAATTTAATATTTTTCATATTTAATAATATTTGAGCAGCGGCTCAGTGGCTAAGACGCTGAGCCCTGTCGATCGAAAGGTCGGCATTCAGCAGTTCGAATCCTTAGTGTCGCGTAATGGGTTGAACTCCCATTACTTGTCCCAGCTTCTGCCAACCTAGCAGTTCGAAAGCATGTAAAAAATGCAAGTAGAAAAATAGGGACCAACTTTGGTGGGAAGGTGACATTGTTCCTTGCGCCTTTGGCATTTAGTCATGCACATGACCATGGAGATGTCTTCAGACAGTGCTGGCTCTTTGGCTTTGAAATGGAGGTGAGCACTGCCCCCTAGAGTCGGGAACGACTAGCACATATGTACGAGGGGAACCTTTACTTTCACTTTTAATAATAGCAATATTGTGATATGGTGGCAATGCTCCCCAACATGACATAATATGCTGGTGCTGAAGTATATGGTTAATTATACAGAAACAACCTTTGTCTTGTTGACTTTTTATTTTCTTTCTCTGTCGACCGCAGGAAGACATCAAAGCAGAGAGAAGAAAGGTTGTGCAGGCGTTCCAGGAACTCCGCTTGTTTCTAGAAGAGCAGGAAAGTGGCCTCTTGGCTCGGTTGAGTGACCTGGAGAAGCAACAAGATGAAAGTAGCACCAGACTTTCAAACAACATTTCTTTTCTCAGTGACCTAATCTGTGAGCTAGAGAAGCACTGTCAGAGGCCTGCGGGTGAATTTTTACAGGTGGACATTCTAAGGTGGTTTTTTTTTTAAACATAGATTGTTGAGGCTGTTTCTCCCTGAACCTAAGCATCTATGCAAATTCACAGGCAGATTATCATCTTTGCAAAGATGCTTAGGTAGCAAAACAATGATGATAATCTGCGTTGTGAATTCAGTCATAATTTCAGTAGGAATTTGTGACACTGGATTTTCCCAGAATCCTCCTGACAGATGTTCTTTCTTTACAAAATAAATCCAGGGAGGTAGAGCTTCAAACCAGACCTCTTTCTCCTCAGTGGAATATTTCTAGGCATTTTAGGAGGAATTTTGCTTTTAGGAACCCCTTCTTGCTTCAGATTATCTCCTTTAGGTCCCTTGGTTATATGCTATTTTTTTTTTCTTAAAAAAAAAGAAAAGAAACTTGTAAAATCCTCCTGAACAAAGTTGTTCTCTGATAATTTTTTTCTTCTTTACAAAGTAACTCAAATGTCTCTGGTTTCTCTAGGATCTCAAGGAAACTTTAAGCAGGTATGTGATTTATAATTTTTTGGGGCTAATAATGAATTTGAATGGTTACAGATCTTTTTTTTAAAAAAAAATCTTTATGCTCCTCTGTGAGCTCTGTCTAGCAGAGAGGAAATCCCTATTCTTTCTTTTAAAAAGGCCAGAATAATTTGGAGACAGTCTGCCTGTTCTTCTGATTTTTCTCTTACCAGATGCTTGGAGGCAGCCAGACATCAAGGGAAGCCACAGAACTAAAATAGTTTGGGATTTCTCTGATCTCCTAGGTGTGAAAAGGGTGAGCTTCTTTGCTTCCAAGAGAAACCTGTTAACCCGGAAAAAGATCTCAGGGCCATCTCTCAACAAAGTGGTCTATTAATGGAAAACTTCGAGAAATTTAGAGGTACGGAAGCTATTTAAGAAATACACATTTCTGTAATTGTAGGGTAAACCTTGTTCATATGAAATGTTCTCCTCCAAATAGGGAAAAAGTAGAGAGGGTGGAAAGAAGGAATAGGTTAATTCTTAGGGCTTGCTCTAGATTCGATGAGAATTTCTACTTCCATGAATACTGAAAGAAGTTATGGAGGAATAACAGAAGTATTTACATTGAAATGTCCATCTCACATCGTCCCAAAGTATTATGGTAATGTTGAGGGCAGTGTTTCTCAACCTTGGCAACTTTAAGATGTGTGGACTTCAGCTCCCAGCCAACAAGATAGCTGGGAAATTCTGGGAGTTGAAGTCTACAGTTCTTAAAATTCCCAAGGTTGAGAAACATTGGTTGAGGGTATTATGGAAAATTTAAATGGCAACTCCTGATGTTGACTTACCATTACCCAAGACGTTTTGCAAAAGGTCCATTTTATGGATGGATCTGCTGTTTTGACTGTGAAAATGCTGTTTTAAGATTTCAGTACTGTTCTTAGCCTACAAGAAAGAGTTTTGACGCTTGTTTTATACTCAGAATATATTCAAGAAAAATATTTTGCTCAACCTGAGAACTAACCCCTTGAAAAAGATGATTGGAACAGCAATTACAAGAAAAAGAGAAATTCTAAAAGAGGAGTGGGTCCACGATAGCCATCTCCTTGAAGATGATTTATGAGGTCTTGTTATACTTGGGGAAACAGGAGATTGTACACGTCTTACTAATGATCTTGTGGCAAGCATGTGGGAAGATGTTATGCAAACAAATCTCAATTTTCAATTTTCCTTTTCTGGAGCAGAGACAGAAAAAATTAAAGCCAATCCACATGTTGCTGAATTAAACTTCCCAGCAGCATTACCCAGCATGGCCAGTGATGGGGAATGCTGGGAGTCACAGGTATCCCCACTTCAGCTCTGGAGCATGGTGTGTGGGATTGTGTTATCTTTAAACAAGAAGTTTAAAGACATGCGCGGGGCTCCCGATGCCACATTTGATTCTTAATTCCATTCCCCAAACAGCTAACAATATCTTCTGAAGAACTGTGGAAATTTTTTGAGCAGAAATTCTCTGAATCTTTCTAATTTTTAGATTCTTTCTAGGCCTCTATAAGGGGACGTGGTGGCTCAGTGGCTAAGACGCTGAGCTTGTCAATCGAAAGGTCGGCAGTTCAGCGGTTCAAATCCCTAGTGTCGCATGACAGGGTGAGCTCCCGTTACTTGTCCCAGCTTCTGCCAACCTAGCAGTTCGAAAGCATGTTAAAAAATGCAAGTAGAAGAATAGGGACCACCTTTGGCGGGAAGCACACTCTGTGCGCCTTTGGCGTTTAGTCATGCCAGCCACATGACCACGGAGACGTCTTCAGACATCGCTGGCTCTTCGGCTTTGAAACAGGGATGAGCAGCGCCCCCTAGAGTCAGGAATGACTAACACATATGTGCGAGGGGAACCTTTACCTTTACCTTTTAGGCCTCTATGGGGATAGATTTTTAAACTCTTCCCACTGGGAATGATGGATGGATTGATGGATGGATGGACAGACAGACAAACAGGTGTGTGTGTGTGTGTGTGTGTGTGCAAAAAATGCAAATTCTCCAGTGTGCTCTTGATAGGAGGACCAAATCTTCACCCTTCTCTCTTGTCTAGAATCACTGATGGACGAATTGCCGAAAAGCAAGATCCAAAGGCTTAATGCTGTCCTCCTGAGTCAGACTGATCAGCCCGATCAGCCCCAGACTCTCTGGCCAGGATTGCATAACGATGGCCTGAGAGCAGACAAGAAAGGTGATGCTGCTGTCTTTTCTTAATTTGGTTTTTTTTCCCCCCCTTCACTCTTGCATACCTTTGGAACTTGCAACTTGGGTAGGATTAAAAGTTTGCTGCTTCTAAATTTTGGAGAATCTTCATGTTGTAGAGATGCTCCCTGCAATGCTGCTTTTCGGTAACATGGCCAGTGGTGGGATTCAAAGTTTTTTACTACCGGTTCTGTGGGTGTGGCTTGGTGGGCGTGGCAGGGGAAGGATACTGTAAAATCTTCATTCCCACCAAACTCCAGGGAAAGGTTACTGCAAAATCCTCATTTTCTCTTGATCAGGTGGGACTTGGGAGGCAGAGAATAGATGGGGGCGGAGTCAGTGGTGGGATTCAAGTAATTTAACAACCGGTTTTCTGCCCTAATGATTTCTTCCAACAACCAGTTCACCAAACTGCTCAGAAAGTTAACAACCGGTTCTCCCGAAGTGGTGCGAACTGGCTGAATCCCACTACTGGGCGGAGCCAGTCAGAGGTGGTATTTACCGGTTCTCCGAACTACTCAAAATTTCCGCTACTGGTTCTCCAGAACTGGTCAGAACCTGCTGAAACCCACCTCTGAACATGCCCCTCCCCCTCCCGGCAATGAGACCCTACCTTTGAATGATGCAGTGGCATGAAGTCAACTGACTGGATGGGCTCCTTGCAAAGAGGAGGCTAGGCGTGCTTTGAGTATTAACTAAAAGACGCTGTTTCTTGCAGAGCTAAATACATTTCTTTACAGGTAAATGAGCACACACTGTGCCTGGCCCCAAGGCAGGCTTCATTGGGAACTGCCAGATCTGGAACTTGATGTAGAAAGCCTCTGATAGCTTAAGGCCATGCTTAATATACCTTTGGGAGGAGCTGGAAATGACCCGGCTTGCATCACACTTTGAGTCAGCTTTTCTAGGGAAAGTTTAAGGTAGTTAAGAAACAGAAGGATGAAGTTACTGTTTTTTTTTGTTGTTAAGTTTATTTCTGTGTTGTGCTTAACACTATGAAGCTGCAGGAGTGATTTGTATGTATTTCCTACTTTAAAGGGTAAGCAGTTTAAAAAGTAGGCCTATTTAACAGTGGTGAAATCCTATTTTTTTTACTACCGGTTCTGTGGGCATGGCTTGGTGGCATGATGTGGCTTGGTAGTCATGGCAGGGGAAGGATACTGTAAAATCCCCATTCCCTCCCCACTCCTGGGGGAAGGATATTGCAAAATCTCCATTCCCACCCCACTCTGGGGCCAGCCAGGGGTGATATTTGCCGGTTCTCCCAACTACTCAAAATTTCCGCTACCAGTTCTCCAGAACCTGTCAGAACCTGCTGGATTTCACCCCTGCTATTTAGTCAAGGGGTTAAGGCACCAGGCTAAAAATAGGGAGACTGTGAGTTCTAGTCCTGCCTTAGACACTTGGGTAGCCTTGGGTCTCTCACTCTCTCAGCCCAACTCACCTCACACAGTGATCGTTGTGGGGAAAATAAGAGGAGGAAAGAGTATTAGGTGTATTTACCGCTTTTCAGATAGTCCTCGACTTTCAACCATTCAGTTAGTGACCATTTGAAGTTAAACACACCCTGAAAAAGAGAGTTGCAACCCTGATTCAAAGTTCTGACATCTGTCCTTACATATCACATCACCATATTTTGGACACTCAGCAACTGGCTTCCATCTATGGCCATTTGCAGCCACATGTTTGTGATTTACGACGTTTTAACCGACATTTGCTTCCAGTATCCAACAAAAATGCCCCATAACGAAAAATAGGTTCATTTAATGACTATGGCATTTGCTTAACAACTGCTGCACTTGTTTAATGATCATGCAAAAATTGTAAAATTGGGTGCGGTCACAAGATATGACCCACTTTACAACTGAAATTGCAGGCTCAATAACGGCTGTAAGTCAACGACTATATCTGTTTATAAAAATAATAAAGGCGGGATAAAAAAAAATCTTTAAAAATCACATGGTTTATTTTTCACAGAATAGAATAGAAATAGAAAGAATGGAATGGAATAGAATAGAATAGAATAGAATAGAATAGAATAGAATAGAATAGAATAGAATAGAATAGAATAGAATAGAATAGAATAGAATAGAATAGAATAGAATAGAATAATGGATTGGAATAGGAATGGAATAGGAATGGAATGGAACGGAACAGAACAGAACAGAATAGAAAACTTTATTGTCACTTTAAATATACCCTAATCAGTATACATTAAAATGAAATTTCATTGCATACAGCTCTCATAGGCTCACCACCTCCAATATACACTACATAAACATGACTAAAATAAATAAATACAAAATTATGCATATACCCACATATATTATTTGACTTGCAGAAGGGTTGCAGGAGCCTCACCCTGCTTAAGAGATGATTGAGAGAAAGATTAGAAGATGCAGAGGTCAGTAGGTGATATCCAAAATAACAACCGCATGTCAAGATTGTGCGGTCGATACTGAGGCTAAGCTGTTGGGCAAATGAACAGTCACTGTTGCGTGTGAGCATTTGCATGGCTTTCCTGGCAGGAAACAGCAGTTTGGATTAATTGGATAATTGAGAAGTCAGGTTGGAGCCGAGAACACCATTACCCTTTCTCTCTTTCTCTCAGTCTCCCCAGTCAGCGTGACCTTAGATCCACATACGGCCAATCCCCATCTCTTCCTCTCCTTGGATCAGAAGACAGTCACGCACCTGGATCAAGCACAGGCCTCGCTGGACAATCCTGAGAGATTTGATGCCGAGTTCTTTGTGCTGGGCTGCGAAAGCTTCTGCTCTGGGAAGCACTCCTGGGTGGTGAACGTCGAGCAGGGGCAGAACTGGGCCATTGGCATCGCCCAGGAATCTGTGAGGAGGAAGGGGAGCCTCAGCCTCAACCCACAGCAAGGCATTTGGGCAGTACAGCAGTGCTGGGGCCAGATGCAAGCCCTGACTTCTCGCTGGACTACCCTGTTTCTGCTCAGGAAGCCCAAAAGGATCAGAGTACATCTGGATTACGAGGGAGGGTGGGTGGCCTTTTTCGACGCAGAGCTGGATGCTCCCATTTTTACTTTTCCACCTACCTCGTTCAAGCAAGAGAGGATTCACCCTTGGTTCTGGGTGGCATCTGGATCTCAGCTCACTTTATGCCCCTGAGATTATTCCAGGCATTTGGGATTTCAGTAATTTGAGTAATCTTGTAGAATATTCAGTGTTGGGTTGCTCCCGGTTCAGTCCGGTTCTTGCGAACCGGTAGTAATGGCGGTGGGAGGCTCCGCCCACCTGCCCTGATGTCATCACTGATGATCTGCGCATGCACAGAACCCGTTGCGAACCGATAGTGAAGTGGAACCCACCCCTGATAATATGGGACATAAAGCAGCAATGTGACAATGGAACTACTTTGGTTAACTGTGTCAGCAGACAAATGATTACTTTTTGAATTTTTAGTGAAGCATTAAAAGTCACTGAAAGCGCCACTCAGGGATATATTTTAATGGAAGGAGTTGCAATTGTATAAAAGGGCTTTTGACTAGCAGAAAGCTCTGATGGAAGGGGAAAAAAATAGCGATTTGAAAATTCTTACATAGTTGGACACACTTATCTCCCAGGAGAGATAATACCACTCTGTAGCAGAGTGCCATACCACTCTGTAGCAGAGTGCAAAATAAAATAAATGTGCTGGAGTGGATGCCTAGTCAAAATACAAAACATATGTTTCTAGTCCTCATGGCTGCGCTTTGGAAAAATTGTGAGATGACAGTTTTAATTAAGAATTTAGAATCAAACTGATGGCTACCTGTCTTTTTGGCAAATCTGAAGTCAAAGCCTTCAACAGAAATTTCTGGGACATTGTAGATAATTTATATACCCATCTCCCTTTCCTCATGTATTGGGGGCAGAAGAGCTTTGTGTCTTGAAACTCCTACATCCTTTCCCTCCACTCATTTTCTTCTGCTGTAGAGGCTTCCTATATCTATTCCAATGCTGAGATTTCTGTGTGAAGTAAATTGCATCTCAACTACTAGCAGAATTTGCTTTGTTTTTTTCCACCTATTTCTAGGAAGTTATCTCCACACTGAGTTGGAAATAACATGTAAATTTTAAAAACGAATCATGTAAACAAATACAATCATATATCCATTTATGTAAGGCTATTCCATTGCACAATGCATATATTCGGGCTGTACTGCCATACAGCTGATGGGAGTTTTCTGGTTGCAAAGTTTAACATTTTTTGTAAACTAATCTGGCACACAGACATACTTACTTTAAAACAAAAATCCATGTCACTACTGTGAATAACACCAAATTGCTTCAAAACAGCTACTTGTGCTTCATTTTGCAGTGTTGATTCACTATTATTTGAATGACTATTTTTGTATTGCCTTGATCTAAAAACATGGAACAGAAAATGGAGGAGGAAGGGAAGAAATATTGTGTACTGCAGTTTATATATTGCAACATCTCTTTCTAAAGAGGGTCTTCTATAAGACCAATAAAAATTCAGATGCATCGTCACTGGTTTCATACATCAAGTAATGAGTAAGAAAGGCTGATCTATCTTAAGTGCAAAATACAGTGCAATAGAGTAAGTTTTGGATTTTGCAACAGATAATTTAATCCATGAGGTAAAATCATAAACATATATTCAAAACAGCATTCTCCTTGTATGTGTGGTTATTTTAATGCATTGTAAAGGCTCTCCAGTCTTGACTATTGTCAAGAAAAACACCATTTAACTAAAACTCTGATCCAATGGATACTTAATTGGGCCTAGCCATCTTTTGCAGTTTAAAGACTAACATATTTATTGCAGCATATACTCATTATTTCAGATATCTACTTTATCAAGAACAAGAAGCAGTCATGGAAGTGTATGTAGTAAAAACTTCTGCTGGCAAAATGAAGTCAAGATTAAGAAACAAAACAGCTCTCAGTTGTCACAGAGCAAAAATAATTATGGAACTCTAATAAAAAGATTGAAGTCAACCAGTACTTAAGACTAAATGGCAAGAACTTTTGAGTAAACTAGGACCCTGGAATAAGTCTACAATTTTAAACCCATGTAGCCTGTATTTCCACAGTGGTGGTGAGGTTTACAAGTTCAAAAGGCAAAATTGATGACTGAAGCCATGGAGGTCTTTGAGATATGTATGTTTCACACATGAAAATTCAGATGCCACAATTTTTAAGTAAGCCATCCAGAATGTAGTGCAGCCATCCGGATTTATTCATGGGAATTATTCATAACTGATCAACTTCTGTAATAATTACTACATCTCATAGAAGTAAGTAGCAATGAATTCAGCCACTGTATTTGATAAAGGAGTAACAAAAATCAGGGCACTCATACATTTAGTTAAAAATACAATAACTTTCCTTTAAGACTATTTTTCAGCTTTAAAGTTTTATTAAGACGAGGGGAATGTGGTAAATGGAATGTTGTTATTAAAAGCCAGCTGGAGTTCTATTTCTTTTGAAAGTAGATAGCTGATAGTACATTTGTATGTGATCTATAGAAAATAGGTGGATATCAGTTCAAATTATTTCTCTGTACCTTTGGTAGGCAAAAAACAATTAAAGCTCTTCTTTCCCACTTCAAGGAAAGTATGTTGTCTTTAAACTTTAGCTTCACCTGTAGATTTTAGCAGCTCAAGAATATAACTTGATTAAACAGCAACAATATCACAAGTTTATAAATTCTCATTGTTGCAATAAGCTTAAAAATGTGCTTCATAAGACAAATAGAAGTCAGAAGAGGGCTAAACAATAGCCAGATAATAGTATCTTGGTCTTGCAGCTGTTTTTGCTCTTTCTACAAAAACAGCTCCAATTACATCAACTAATGTATACCTTAACTTCCATTAGACATCCTGGCCATGTAACCTATTGTCATTTAATGAATCATTTGAAATCTCTTGGAGCGGAATTTTCTTTTGTTTTCATGCGTGGCGTAAAAACCTGCAACAGTCTTACAGGTTTATTACCTGTAATCAATGAAGTCCCAAAGGATGGGATGAGATTTTACTCTCCTGTAAGAAGCACAAAATCGCAGCCTTCATAATGTAGACCAGGAGTCTCCAAACTTGACAACTTTTAAGACTTGTGGACTTCAACTCCCAGAATTCTCCATACTGGCTGGGGAATTCTGGGATTTGAAGTCCACAAGTCTTAAAGTTGCCAAGTTTGGAGACCTCTGATGTAGATTTTCAACAAAGAAATATTGCAAAAGAGTTCATCGGGAAGACACTATTTGTTGTCCCCTTGGAGCAGGGACATCTGTGTCAGGATTCTTTGCAGCGCTTTTCATGTGGACTCTCCGATGGCTAACCAGGTGGGAGCTTTGGTTAAATCTCTTCCCACACTCTGGACACTCATAGGGTTTCTCCCCTGTGTGGATCCTCTGGTGTTTGTTCAAGTCTGAATTCCGGACAAAACTCCTCCCACACTCCAGGCAGTTGAATGGCCGGTCCCCGGTGTGCATCCTCTGATGTGCCAAGAGGGCTGAGCTGTAGCTAAAAGTCTTCCCACACAGGAGGCATTTGTACCGCCTCTCTTCCTGGTGGGACTTGCGATGGACCAGAAGCTGATGGAGCATGCGGAAGGTTGCTGGGCAGTCAGAGCAAGCGTGCAGCTTCTCGGTGTGCGTCTTCTGATGGGAGACGAGATGCGACTTGTGACCAAACCGTCGATCGCACTCAGGACAGATGTATGGTTTTTCCCCCGTGTGGGTCCGCTGATGGGCCGAGAGGTTAGAGCTGGTGCTGAAGCATTTCCCACAGTCCTGGCACTCGTAAGGTTTTTCCCCCGTGTGAGTCCGCTCGTGGGCCCGCAGCTGGGAGCTCTGCCGGAAGCCCCTTCCGCAAATGGCACATTTGTATGGCTTCTCCCCGGTATGGATCCGCCAGTGCTTGATGAGCACTGAACCTTCGCTGAAACACCTCCCACAGTCTGAGCAGATGTAGGACTTCTCTCCGGTGTGGGTCCGGCGGTGCACAATCAGCGCTGAGCTGGTGTTGAAGCTCTTCCCGCAGTCAGTGCACTTATATGGTTTCTCCCCAGTATGCAGCCTTCGGTGGGTTAACAGGCTGGAACTGTGGCGGAAGCTTTTCTCGCACACGTCACACTTAAACAGCCGGTCATTTGGATATATCTTCCGAGGGCTGTTCTCATAGTCAAAACAAATGTCTTCTGTGAAAGGATTCTGATGCATGTCCAGATCCTTCTTCAGAGTTTTCAGTGGTTTAGATTCCAGGAAATCTTCACTTTGCTCAGATAATTTTTTTGTTGGCTGTTCCACATCAACCAGAAGGGCATCCCTCGGGGACTGGCGAGACCCTTCATTACCTTCTCTCTTGATCCAGTCTTCACCTGCTAAAAGGAAGAATAGCTGCCCATCGGTCATTTATTCTCTACCGTGAGGTCAAATGGAATCTGGGATTTTGATCCCAGAGGAACAAATAGGAACAATGTGAAAAGAAGAGGGGAACTTAAATCTCTCCCTGCCCTCAAGGCTTTGTATGTCTTATTCCTGATGGAGATAGTCTTATGTTTGTTAAAATTATATCAAAAGAAACATCACCGCCCTGAAGGCAGTTACGAAGTCTAGCTCCAGCATACGTATTCTATTTCTTTTCTCGTTCCTTTAATACCAAACTGCAAGGTTGAGACAACTGTTGGACTGCTGGTTCTGGGTGTTCAAAGGGGAAATAAAAGCCATTTATTGTACATGTACTAAATCCCATTCTGGAGGTAGGCAGTGATTCATGTAAACTCTCAGACAGGATGGAAGGGAAAGAGCTGGCCATGCAGTGTATAACACAGACTAAAAGACATATAGCTATGGTAAAAAGAGTGTGCGTATATATTGTTCTTTTTTTTTAACATTTGTCTTACTTGATTTCAGGGTCTACTTGCCTAATTCACATGGCAAAGCCATGAATGCATAATGAGAAAAGGGCCTGTTCTTTAGCCACTGTGTTGCAAAGCTTGATGCTGTTTAGACCTGAGAGTGACTGGCCTATACTCACCCAAATGGTTTCTATGCTTGAGGGAGGTTTAGAATCTGGATTTCCCTATTCTTGATGGGGCGTTTTGCCTAGCAGTCAAGTAGTGAGGCTTATCGACTGGAAGTTTGAGACCTGAGCACCATGCGATGGGGTGAGCTCCCATTACTTGCCCCAGCTCCTGCCCACCTAGCAGTTTGAAACATGCAAATGCGAGTAGATAAATAGGTACCACTTCAGTGGGAAGATAACAAGAGTTCCATGCGCCTCGGCATATAATCATGCTATCCACAAAACCATGGAAGCATCTTTGGGCAACGTAGGCTCCCTTGAAACAGAAAAAGATGAGTACTGCTCCATAGAGTCGGACATGACTGGGCAAGGAAAACCTTTACTTTCCCCCCCTATTTTTAGTCTAGCATCTTAACCACACCTTGCGTATGTGTATGTGATTGGCTTTGCCTATGCATGTATTATTTATTTATTTGGTTATTATTAAGCCTATTTGTTCTTGTTGTGTTAGATAACAGAAAGTACTATATACCTTGCTAGGTACTCCCAATGTGTTAAACCAAAACAACCAAATACACAAGCTTAGTGCAATGCAGGAATTTAATGCAATTGTGATTCAAAGTTATCTGTGAGAAACTACTGTTATCAACTCATGATTTAGAAGAAATATTGGATTGAGTTTACATATCATGTGACGTATTTGTTTTCAGCATGTTGTAAGAATCTCTGTGGGTCTACTATACTTTATGATGAGGGTAGCCAGCCCACTGTTCTACAATTGTATAATAATTGTTCATGTTGCCAAAATTCAGTGGCAAAATTGCTGACTCTCAAGAGGGATGAATTTTGGCAGAAAAAGTCCAAAATAACATTGGAAAATCTATGACAAAACATACTTGTTTCTACACTTTAAGTCCCCAAACAACTTTGAAAATGGTCTATGATGTTGAAATGTAGTGAGAAAACGGCACATTGCAACTTTATTTCTGGAATGAAAATATTGCAATATTGCTGGAAATGGATTCACCAAATCTCTGGGAAGCAAATCACTCATCTCCAAATTCAATCCCCATCTAATTGTATCAAAAATACGGGATTGATTGCCCAACCTATGGGGATTTCACTGAATCACAGGTGACCTTTGGCAGATCACTGTTTGAACCATTATGGTGGCTTGACATTTAGAAATATCTTAAATGGTTCTTTCAACAGGCTTGGGGTCCCAGGGAAGTAGGGAGCTCCCAAGGCAGCTATCTGTGTACAGCTGTAGGTCCATAATCCCGCAGTCTTATTTATACCTGTGTTTTAAATGCCTTAAATTTTTTAATGGTTATATTATTTACTTGATTGCGTTTATTGTATGACGCTGAGGGTCAGGTATGTGAGATAAACGGCTATATAAATTTAATAATCTTTTCTGTACACTGAGAGCGTATGCACCAAGACAAATTCCTTGTGTGTCCAATCATGCTTGGCCAATAAAAAATCTATTCTATTCTATTCTATTCTATTTTATTCTAATTCTAATTCTAATTCTAATTCTAATTCTAATTCTAATTAATTCTAATTCTAATTCTAATTCTAATTCTAATTCTATCCCTATCCCTATCCCTATCCCTATCCCTATCCCTATCCCTATCCCTATCCCTATTCTATTCTATTCTATTCTATTCTATTCTAAACAAAGGATGATTTCATCCCAATTAAAAATTAAAGGAGCAAAACACTCTTGCAAGGGGAAAGAAACCAACTCCGATTCTATTTTTCCTGAAATGGAAAAGCGAGCATACATGTCACAAAGAAAAGGCTCTCCCGGCTAGGTTTTTCACACTCTTTCCCCCAGGTTTTCAACCTTTTCTGCCTTCGTGCACACAGCCTAGAAGCCACCCCGAATCAATAAGGCAACGGCCAGCGCAATGCTCCATAATCGTCTCTTTCTGGGCATCCCATTCCTCGGGAGGCACCCGGAAAGTTGTCCAGGCCCCTGCTTTCCTCTAGCCCCATCGCAGGAACTTACCGGGCTCCATGCCCAAGCGAGGCGCGCCGCTTTAGCAGACTTTCAATCCCGAGGCGGCTTTAAGCCGCAGCGCCGGAGCGCCGATGCCCATCTCGGAGTCACTTTCCGTCCAAATTCTTGCGGCCTTTTGTGTTGCCCCGATAAGCATGGTGGGAAGTGTAGTCTGGAAAGCGAAAAAAAAACGGGATGCCGCGAAAAGGCCCTCTGGGTAGTGTAGTTCTGCGTTGCCCAATTAACTAAGCAAGGGTACCAATACAACATTGCACTTTGCAGAGATGGGATACCTTAGTATTAGGGATCCTATTAGGGGAAGATGATGGTGGTAATGATAGTGAAACGAGGGACTTGGGGACAAAGACCCATCTCAGCAAGCCGGTCTCCCCAAAAGCTGCAAAACTCGCTTGTCAGATCTCTCCCCCACAAAAAAGCCACTTTATAACTTAGAGAACCTTCCTTGCAGTCATTTAGAAAATTCCTTTTCTAACCTTTTCAGCATCAGCAAACAACAATTTGCCTTTTTTTAAAAACGAGGAATGCCAATGACTTTAAAAAAAAAAAAAGGAATAGAAGACAGTGTGGGGAAAGAATATTGAAATGAAAGCATATTTAATGATGTCAATTTTCTTTTCTTTAGGTATATTTTATGTATATTCAGGGTGTATCAAAAGTGAAGCCCTATGAACAATGTTCCACAGTATATAAAGTACAGTACATGAAATTCATCACATTTCTATATTGCCCTTGTCACCCAAGTGACTTACAATAGCTTACAATAAAAACGTGTCAGAATAGAAAAGCATAACTCAGAACAAAAACATAATTAAACGGTAGGTTACAGCAGATGTTCAAATTGTTTGGCATTTTCTTCTAAACACTGCCTTATTGGTTGGATGCATTGTTACTTATTTGTAACTTACTTATTTGTAACATGCATGACCTTGAAATATTCCTAACTACAGAACAGTAACATTTCCTCTGAAAAAAATAATAAAATATATTGTGATTAGATCTCCCCCTCCCTCCCTCACACACACACATACGCTCTCTCTCTCTCTCTCTCTCTCTCTCACACACACACACACATTGTGTGTCATTCGGTTGTTTTTGACTCCTAGCAACCACATACTCCCAGTAGATAAGATTTTCTCCATAATCTAAACCTAACCTGGTGCGCTCACTATCATGTTTATCCCTTGTTGCTGGTCATCTTTTTCTCTTTCTTTCCACCTTTTCCAGCATCGGAACCTTCTCCTAAAAGTTGGATCTTGACATAATGTGTCCAGTGTGTGTGCACGTGTGCAGATGTGTGTCAGTGTGGTGTGCTTATACTGTATATATAAATTGATTGCAATGGGCTGTATGAATTTGCATATGGGTTTTGCAGCCTCTGAAGGGAATCTTGTGAAAGAAAAAAAGTTTCAGCACTGAGTTCTAGTAGCCTGAGGTGTAAAAAAATTCACTTTCAAAAACAGGACAAAGCACGAAAAGAAATAAGATGCGATCTTAAATACCTTTTTCCTCTCAAAGTTCATCTGCTGTGAGAGCTTATGCTAAATGTCTTCTAGTGATTATTTTCGTCATTTTGGAATGTGACATCCAAGGAAAAATCTACAAACATACATTGATAAGGTGATTTATTTGGTTAGCAAAATGGAATAGATCCAAAACCTGTAGGATCCAGTTTTAAGGAAAATGACTCTAAGCAGTGTTTCTCAACCTTGGTAGCTTGAAGATGGGTGGACTTCAACTCCCAGAATCCCCCAGCCAGCAGCGCTGGCTGGGGGATTCTGGGAGTTGAAGTCCACCCATCTTCAAGCTACCAAGGTTGAGAAACACTGCTCTAGAGCTCTCTACCTCAACTTGATGTGAGCCATTTATAATAAGATCGTTGTGTATCTGCGGTGGAAAAGCAGGAAGTAATGTTGCATGATCTGCTCTCGTCCCATGTGCACAGATTTCGAGCATTATGGGTGTTATATTCCAGAACTGAGGCTTGCACAATTTTTTAAAAAAATTCTTGAAAAACGATGAAGCAAGATTAAGTGCGGAGTCTAATGAGGTGTACTCAGGGCAGAATGGAAAAGTGAAGAAAAACAAAATATAGTAAAGAAAACACTCCTATAACGATCTCCTCGTCTCCTTTATTCCCACCGTTGTTGCCTGAGCTGCAAATGATCGAACTAGCTAGCCCTTTGGAAAAATAAAGAACGACAGTATTCATTTATGGTATTTTGCTTCTAAAAAGTAAAAACGAAAAAAAAAAAAATAATACACTGCGCCCAACGTGGGGCTCGAACCCACGACCCTGAGATTAAGAGTCTCATGCTCTACCGACTGAGCTAGCCGGGCTGTTGGGAAAGTTGTTTTCCAAAACTTTACTTAACATAAAATGTATTAATTCTGTATTTCTGAGTTCGTTCTGTTATACTGTACTTGTACTATACTTTACTATTGTACTACTACTGTCTCGGTAGATGATGTGAATCTTGACCAATATTGCCTTCTTTGGAAAATTGCTTCGAAGTTTAGGATGCAGCGTAAAATCAGCAAAAGACTATTGGAGCATTTTGTTCTGAATTACCATGAATCATTATAAACATTATGGGAAAGAAGATTTTCCATTAAAGTATAGACATCCGAACTATTGTGTTTTAAGTTTATGTAAAAATGAAAGAAAAGAACATAGCTGTTTCTGCCCGGTTTCGAACCGGGGACCTTTCGCGTGTGAGGCGAACGTGATAACCACTACACTACAGAAACCCGCTGCTTCCTGCCCTTCCCCTATAACCTACAACACTTTAGTGCTGGAACTAAGCCCTTCGCAAAATGTTTTTTGTTTTCTTGTAGTTATGGTCAGCTCCCAGAGCGAATCGATAGATACTTTTAAAAGTATCCTGCAAACCAATTCTGGGAAGCAACCAGCCAAGATGGAATATAGAGGCTATAATCATCTTTATTAAGTCTCCAATAAAATCTGCAGGTACCCACAAGTACTATATCAAATATAAACAAGCTATTGCTCTTCTCTGGCAACATGCCTATTTCTGTAGGATCAGGGTGTTCAGTTCCATTTTATTTTTTTATTCTATTTACAGGCTTTATTGGGCACTGATATATTTCTAATACAATAAATGCAGTAGAATAGAGTAGAGTAGAGTAGAGTAGAGTAGAATAGAATAGAATAGAATAGAATAGAGTAGAATAGAGTAGAATAGAATTTTTTTATTGGCCAAGTGTGATTGGACACACAAGGAATAATTAATATTGTGATATTCAAGTCTAAAATACATGTGAATGTAGGAAGTTAGCACCCACCCCTTCCCTGGAAGAATGAAATATTTTAGGAAATATTAAAAAGGCAGAATATTATGTTCCCCTGGTTGAGAAATGGAGAAACATGTTTTAAATACAAAGCAAGCCCCATCTTCCTGCCTCCCCCCACTTTGTTAATGGACCAGAGGCAGAAACTCAATCTTTGACAATAGGACCCATCTGCAACACAATAGCAACAGAGACTAACACAATGGGACTCATCTAGGACAGAAACTCACCACATGGCACATGGGAAGATTACATCAGCCAGCAAGGCTAGCTAAGACCCCAACCCTCTGGGAGTCTGACAACCAATCAGGATACTCTTTCGGGGCCCCAGAGAAAGCATAAAACCCGGGGACTCGCTGTATCTCGTCCCTTTTCTGTTCAGGAACTCAAGCCATGTGATCCTGTCCACCATTAAACCATCTTTTCAAGCAGTCTCCATGTTTCCAGTGTCTTTTTCCCCACTTGGAGCCAAACCCAGAAGGATATTTCTTCCTACATGAAAAAATAGGTTAAAATAGGCAGCATTAGTAGAACAGTGATTTATAAAGAGTTTTTCATAAATTGACCGGATCCACTGGGCTTACGATACATAAGGGAGGGGGAATAATTAATTAATAATAAAATTAACATGCCTTTTTTCCTCCTGAAATTGCCAAAAAATATGTTAAATTTTCAAAGCACATACAAATAGTCCTTGACATACAATTTATTTAGTGATCATTCAAAGTTACAACAGAAATGAAAAAAAATGACTTATGGCTGTTTTTCACACTTACTACGGTACTGTTGCAGCATCCTGTCACATGATCAAAATTCAGATGATTGGCAACTGGTTCATATTAATGACGGTTGCAATATCCCAGGGTCATGTGATCCGCTTTTGCAATCTTCTGACAAATAAACTCAATGTGGAAGCCAGATTCATTTAACAACCATATTATTAACAACTACAATGATTCACTTAACAATGGTGGCAAGAAAGGTCATAAAATGGGGCAAAACTCACTTAAAAAATGCCTCAGTTAGCAACAGTGAAATTTTGGGCTCAATTGTGGTCACAAGTAGAGGACTACCTGTCCATCTATATTTGTCTAGAAGGGCTTATATGCCATTCAAGCTTAAAACTTTACAACTCCTGTTGCAATACAAGCTTGCAGTAAAACAGGCATGTCATGATAATCAAACATCAAGACGACACTACACTACCTCACTTCCATATTCTCAATACCCCTTGCAACAACATCCAGAAATATTCATACTATGTAATTAGTATTTGGAGTGTGACAATTTTGTTCCTTCAACCTGAAACAACGTTGAAAGGCAGCATGCCAAGATTGTTGTACATATCATTAAAATATAATATGCTTTATTTCCATTTTTATTCATAATAATGGTCAGATAATATAATATAATACTAGTCTAGTGAAGAGAAGGACCAGGGGAGACATGATAGTTATCTTCCAATACTTGAGGGGCTGCCACAGAGAGGAAGGGGGTCAAGCTGTTTTCCAAAGCACCTGAAGGCCAGACAAGGGATAATGGATGGAAACTGACCAAGGAGAGATTCAACCTAGAAATGAGGAGGAACTTTCTGACAGTGAGAACAATCAACCAATGGAAGAGCTTGCCTTCGGAAGTTGTGGGAGCTTCATCACTTGAGACTTTAAAGAAAAGATTGGACTGCCATTTTGTCAGAAATGGTGTAGGGTCTCCTGCTTGAGGGGGAGGTTGAACTAGATGACCTATAAGGTCCCTTCCAATTCTGTTAATCTGTATCTGTATCAAGATCTGCCTCCATATGAACACCTATTGATGTGATTGTTAAGAATCAACATTAACTTTGTAGGACATAATCAACCCATCTGCCTTAATATATGTGCCTTGTTCAAAAAATGGTGAAGGGAGATGAAATTTTAAAAAGAGAAAGATTTTGCCACCTAGATTTCTCTCTTCCACGTTTTCTTGCTCATCTTCCTTTTTTTGCTTTGTTGTCACATGCTACAACTTTAAGGAGATGTAATTGCCTTTATCCACTAAATGAGTTGTTCTGGGATTAGGGAAAACCAAGTATAATATATAAAAAAAACGTTTATACAAGAACTTGTCTTTAAAAGTCAAACATAAATCTGTAATCCAAAGATAAATCTTTATTCGGAAAATTACCACTGGAAAGAGGAGGAAGAAGAGGGGAAGGAAAGGAGGGGGAGGAGGCCGAAGAAAAAGGCAGAGAGGAGGAGGAGGAGGAAGAAGAAGAAGGAATGGAGCAAAAGCGTGGTATGGAATAACTATGAGCAATTGGAAGAACTTTTTAGGACAGGGGTCTCCAACCTTGGCAACTTTTAGACTTGTGGACTTCAACTCCCAGAATTCCTCAGCCAGCTTTGCTGTCCCAGAATTCCTCAGCTTTGCTAGCTGAGGAACTCTGGGAGTTGAAGTCCACAAGTCTTAAAGCTGCCAAGATCGGAGACCCCTGTTTTAGGGGGGGGGGTTTCGAAAATAACAGCGCTCCCGTTGTTCAGCGCTCTCGAAAGTGGAACCCTCCGCAATCATAGAGACTAGAGACTATAATATAAAGACTAGAGACTATTATAGAGACTATAATAATGATAGTACAGAGCGCACCCAGACTTCCGGTGCCTTTTGTCGGAAACCTTGTCAAGCCGGATCTTCCGGCGTGAGTGTGACCATAGCGACGTCCGACATGGAAACCTCGGGGTTGTCAAAACCCTTATGGGCTTCTTCTTCTTCTTCCTCCATTGGGCTCATTTAAAGCGCCGCGTCCTTGGCCTTCCGCCCGTGGCTGCGGGCCGCGGAAGCCCAACGGGGGCGGCAGGCAGATCTCCGGGCGCGAAACTCAATCCGGCGCATTCCTTAGGGACACCAGCGAAGGGGGCGGGGGAGAGAGAGAGAGAGAGAGAGAGAGAGAGAGAGGGAGGGAGGACGCCGTACCATAGAGAGGAGCCGGCCTAGAACGCCCTCTCGGGCTTTCCCTTTCACTTCCGGCGTGAGTGGAAGTGGGGGGGGGAAGGGAGGAAGGTGATAGTTTTGATAGAGTTCGGTCGGTGGGGGACGGGCGGAAGGGCTGTCAGCCTGTCTCCGGCGGTTGTGACTCTTGAGGGAGAGTGAGGAGGAGGAGGGCGCGAGCTCTTGGGGAGCAGGGAGGGGGGGCCTCGCAGGACCGGCATATCCCGGGCTTGGCCGAGCAGGCTGCGGGGGCCGAAGAGAAGCGAGCGGGTGTGTCGTCGCCTCCTCCCGAGTATCTTTGCGGAGGGAACTTGCGGGCGGCGAGCAAGCAGGGAAGGGGGACTGGAAGCCCTGGTAGGGCCGAGGGAAACACTCGGCCTGTCGGCGTTTCTTCTAGTCGTTCGGGGCGTGGAGGCCTCATGGCAGCAGCAGTAGCAGCTGCGGGGGGCTCCGGCGGCCCTCCGAACCCTGTGGCGACCCTCCACGAGGAAGCCGTCTGTGCCATCTGCCTGGATTACTTCATAGACCCGGTGTCCATTGGATGCGGCCACAACTTTTGCCGCGTGTGCATCACTCAGCTTTGGGGTTCGGGTGACGACGAAGAAGGCGACGAAGTGGCAGCCTCTGGCTCGGAGGGGGAGGCGGATGATGCGGGGGGGATCGATGACCTGGGGCCCGAGGAAGACGGGGATTACGACGACAACGACCTGGAGGACAACGATTATTTAGGCGATGATATGGGCGACGAGGAAGAGGATGAGGATGAGGATGATGATGCATCCAGGGAGGAGGAGTACGACGATGAAGATGACGATGCCTGGGAGGATGATGACAGAGAGTACTGGGACCAGGATATCTGGGATGCTATGGAGAATGATTTGTTTTTTGATAATTACGATGAGGATGAGGAAGTGATGGATGAAGAGCCAGAAGAAGAGGCGGAATATACAGTGCCGGCAACTCCACCTACTCCGCAACGGCAGTCTTTCACTTGCCCTCAGTGCCGCAAAACTTTTCCTCACCGCAATTTCCGACCCAATCTTCAGCTGGCCAATATGGTGCAGATCATCCGACAGATGCATCCACAACCGCTGAAGCCTGCCATTACGTCAGCTGATGTGGTGGAGATGGCAGCAGCAGGGGATTCCTCCCAGGCGCCATCTACTTTAGCTGCAAGCCATGCTCCAAGAGCCCTATGTGAGAAACATCAGGAGCCACTTAAGCTCTTTTGTGAGGCAGATGAAGAGCCCATCTGTGTAGTGTGCAGAGAGTCACGAAGCCATAAACACCATAGTGTTATGCCACTAGAGGAAGTTGTGCAAGAATATAAGGTACGGAATGCAACCAGATGGTGTAAATGCTAGTGTGTAATCTTGTTAAGTTGGAGCCTTCTGTGTTATAAAAGCATTTATAGTATTATAAATTTTGCCAGGCTTTGACAAACGTTAGTGGTGTACTAGTATAAATATAGAGTCCCTGCTTTGCCTACAGAAAAACCCCTGGGTGATATGTTTATGCAAATACGTAAATATAAATAGATCAATAACAGATACTCTTTTGAAAATTCTCTTATTTAGCTGCCCTGTAATTTTCTGTCAAAAACAGTATATAGTTCATTTTCCCCTTTAACTATAGAAGCTACAAATTTAGGTCATTTAAGAGAGAGATGGGATTTTGTAGAAGCTGTATTGTAAAAATAGGAAATCTGTTTGCATCGGAGGTATCCAAATACAGTGTGGGAACTATGTTACCAGGACATGAGGATTTAATACTTATTTCTCTGAACATTGGATCTGAACTTCAAAAAAGTTTCTGCCAGCTGCTGTTTTTATGAATGTAGAACATAAATACAATTAAGTTGTGCCATTCTAGTTATTCTGGTTTTTTTTAAGGCTAAACTCCAGGGCCACTTGGATCCATTGAAAAAGAAACTGGAGTCAGTTCTGAAGCAGAAATCAAGTGAAGAGGAGAAGATAACAGATATCAAGGTAACTTCAATATTCCCTTAATTCTCTTACATTTCCAGTCAGTCTCTTGTTTGAAGGATCACCTTATTCTTAGTGTATATTTTTATTAATGAAGTTTGGTGAAGAGAAAATGTCTTGGTCTTAAGAACGGATGGTTGTCTTTGCATTAAGAAAATGATTCTTTTGGGATTATCCTGAAGTCAAGGATTTAGAGAAGTAGAAATCTCAGATTCCTAACTGACATACCCAGGATTCTATCTGAATTTTAGAGGCCTGGTTTTAACTATAAAGTATATAGATGGCTTTATCTGCCAGTCATAAGAATTGTGCAATCCCATTCTTCTAAATATATCTCAGAGGATCTGCTGATATTACCTCTCAGTCTGAGGATATATGGGTCAATCAGTATTAGAATTGGTCTCGTCTTCTAATTTCTTTAGTATTCTTCTTGGTCTAAACAGAGATGACGTTAAGTAGAATTTCAGGTTCTGCCTAGGACAATGCTTAAAATAGTTGAAATCAGCAGAGCTCTCTGCAGAGTCATTTTTATTTCTTTTCTTGTAAACTGTATAATGATTGGGATTGTTTTATTGATTTAAAATATTCATACAACATTTATGGAGAAAGGATTTTAATGAATTCAGTGAGGGTTGAATTATTTCTTGTGATTTTGCCTCAAGCATGAGTTTAAAAGTGGGAAAAGATTTTCTGTCTTTCCACCACAGATGGGTACAGATACACATTTGCCAGTTGTATAGATTGGTATGATTGCTGTTGTTTATAAAACCAGGCAGGATTGTCTGGTCCTGCTGCCTGCTAAAGAAGCTGACATAGATTTAATGTTCTGTGCCATAAAGTGGCACAGTCCCAAATCTTGGCTGTGTACCCTCTCAGTATTGCCTTCTTGTTCCTTTCTTCATCTGCCCCAGAACAAGATGAAACTTGATATGAAAGAGTTTGAGTCAGACTTTGAGCGGCTGCATCAGTTCCTGGTTGGAGAGCAAGCTATGCTGCTTCACCAATTGGAAGATCGCTATGAGATACTACTGGCCAGCCAGAGTAGCAACATCTGTCACCTGGAGGAGCAAGGTGCTGCCCTAAGCCGTCTTATTGCAGAAGCAGAAGACAAGAGCAAGCAAGATGGTCTGCAGCTGCTCAAGGTAAAATCTCTTTCCCCAGTTGCCCGGATTCCTTTTTGTGACTGGTCCCAAGCACACCTGCTTGTTATATATAATTATAATAATTAAGAACAAACACAAAGATATAAGCCCTCGGATTGCTTGATCTGTTAAAAATAAGAATTTACCCTGTGGAATATACATTGCTTTAAAACCTATCTGGCTTGTTATCTAAATCAAGCATGATTTTAACAATCCTGATGATAGAATACGAGCATAGCAATGATCTAAAAGACATGCCTAAAGAACAGCAATGTTGACATTTAGCCTTGAGAGACTCAGAGAGTAGATTTTGAACTTAGAACCCTCAGATTGCATTATTGACATTTGGCAGCTGAATTTTGGCAGCCTGATTTCCAATTGCTTATCAGAGATAGTTAAGGGTAGTAGCGAGAGTAATTTGTTTTCCAAAAATGTCCCACTTCCATTATTTCTAGCCTAACGAAAGGGCCCAAAATATGGCATAATTAAATAGCCTTTACAGAAAATCCGACCTCTCGGTATTTCCCATCTTTATTTCAGGAGCATGTCTGGGCATCTTATCAACATCTCTTACTGTATTTGAACACTCAACTGTTTAGTAGGAAATGGTCTATAACATGAATACTAAAATGCCTGTGGATTTTAAGGAATTTTTTTCAATTGTGTAGGACAATTTCCTACAATGATTGTTTCTCAAGTTGCAAATGTGTTGAATTTAGTACATGTGATACATTATATGTTTGAAAACTGGAGTCCCAAATGAATAATATATTTGGGGTTTGTAGATATTCAGATATTCACTTTGGAAGGGGATTTGACTAATATTCTGTTCAACTGGACAGAACTGGAACTCGGAAATCTGTTCGGATCATTGCATTGAATTAGATGCCCCACACATTAGTTTGTATGATTTGGATGGTATTACACACATGTAGAAATGGCTTTTTTTTTTTAGATCTGTGTTTGAATCAAAACAGGTTGGTTAGGAGGCGAGAGCTATTAAATGTGGGAGATAACAAAAAATCATTTCCATGCTAATTCATAGAGCAAGTAAGTCTTTTCCAAAGCTGGAGCAGTTCTGGTAAAAGAAGAGGGCTGAGAGCCATAAAGATTTTCGGGGATCCTCTCAGCCTTCCATAAGGCCTTAAAGAAATGGGGGGTCCAGAGGTGTAACCGAGCCTATGCATTTGTTATGCTGATTTATGATTTGAATTTCTTTTTATCCTGTCTGCTGCTTCTGGGTGTTTTTCTGTTCTTTTTGTTTCTTATTCTTTCTTTTCATATTGTCAGCTACCAAATTTGAGATGAGCAGCCATAGAGAGAAAGAAAGAAAGACTGGCTGGCTGGGTCCCCATGATTTATTGATTAATACCTATAAGTCTTATAAGAAGTTCATAAACGATGCTCAAAGTGTGCAGGCCAGTTTCCCAGGGGAGGGCAGGAATGCTGATTATGTCAACAGTCTACTGCTTCTGAGCACCATGAGAAGCACTAAGTTAGGTGTCTGTTAAGCTTAGGAAAGGTGGAAAGAGAAATTCTAGATTACAGTTTGTAGGAGGTATTTATTTAAATAATTTATACTTAATCCTCTCACCAAAGACATGATGGATGACATATAAAGATTTTATTTTTTTTAAAAAAATCGCCAAATTCACAGTTTATAAAATCAGGATATAGTATAAGGAGAGCACTTAAGATATGGCTTTTTCCCAAGTGTTGGGATAGTATGAGGTTAAAGTGGAAGATAACGTGTGGATTACCTCAGGGAAGTATGGCAGTAGCATGTTTTTTCTATTTTTTGATGGTTGGTTTTATTCTTTTTTATTTCCATTATGTACATGTTGTTTTATGTTTGATTATAAGCCACCCAGAATTTGATTTAGGACGGGGGTCTGCAACCTTAAGTACTCAAAGAGCCATTTGGACCCGTTTCCCACAGAAAAGCAAACACCGGGAGCCACAAAACCTGGGTGGGCATGGCCAATTCGATGTCACACACTTCCACCAATCACATGACATCCCCCCCCCCCAGTCATGTCTACCCAGCCGGTCATTAGGGCAGAGAACCAGTTGTTAAAAAACACCGGGAACCACAAAACTCTTTTGACATATCTCTCTCCCCTCCCTCCCTCCCTCCCTCCCACTCTCTCTGTATCTCTCTATCTCTGCCCTGGCCGCTTCTCCATCCCCCGTCGCCCTTACCTTCTCAGGCCAGGCAAGGAGTGACGGGGAGGGGAGGGCGAGGGGCGGGGCCAGCTAGTGGTGGGATCACCTGACAGGGAGCCACAGCAGAGGGCCCAAAGAGCTACATGAGCTACAGCAGTTTCATACTAAGAAGGCAATCACCTGTTTAAAGTGAATCATCCTGATAAGCAATATATCTAGCCATACAGCCATAAGGATCTGGGTAGCGTCAGTCACATTCAAGCCAGGAAGGCTGAAAAGTAGTATTTATTCAAGGAAAGCTTTTTGACAACAAACACAAGATTTGGAACCCCAAGAAATCATACACACATATCCAGAAAACCCTTTCCAGAAAAAGCCCACAGGAAATTGTACAGAAAATTGGTTGTCTTCTTTCAATCTATTTGTGCTGTTTTATAACATTTGGTGTACGAGCATCCTAACCTCTTTTCTTCTTTTTCCCTAGGATTTCAAAGGCACTTTAGTCAGGTTGGTTGAATTTCTTTTGGTTATTTCTGGTTTACATTCCTGAAATTTGTGCTTCACTGTTAGCCAGGTTGTATCTGAAAGTCTCTTTAGAATTTAAGGGCTTTTCACAAATACCTTTGAGCCAATTCTGCAAATGACAGGTTGAATACAGAATATCTGGAAATCTCATCATATTGTCTTGTCACTTGGTTTGAGTTAGTATTAGTTGAGGGATTTGTACTAATTTCCCATCAACAGAAAGACACACACCTCAAAAAAATGGTATGGAAACTTGGGATAGATCAACTTGTTTGAAGTTAAATAGCACTGAGGTTGCTTAATGCATGTATGGCAGTTTGCCTGGGAAACCTAGATCCATTTATTTATGCTTGGTCATGAGAGAAAAGTATATGTGGCAGTATCTTAATAGTTTCAGCTCAAAAGATTGTGTAACTGGTAACATGCAGCTATAATTATTTTACTGAGTCTAGCTGCTGTATCTATTAGACTACATTAAAACATCATTAGCAAAGTTAATTTAAGAAGCTAAAACTGGCTTTCCAAAGATTTTGTTAGAATATTTACTGGAAACCTGCTCACTTATATCTTTTCTGTAAGTAAGGACCATCCAGAGAATGCCTAGCTAATCTAGGATCCAGGGGAATTGCAGTGTTTCGGTACTGCTCTCTATTGTGGTCAAGGGTGGTATTTGTGGCTGGTTTGTTAATGTGGTTTGTTAATGTGATACACCTGACAGTAGCCTGCTAATCAACTAATCACAGTCCTTTCTGACTCTTATTGGGAACAGAATAAGTAGGTCCAGTGAAAAATCTTCATATGCATGTGACCAGAATGGCTTCATCCTGTAGCAATAGCAATAGCAAAGGAACTTAAGACTTATCTACTACTCCATAATTCTTTACAGCACTCTGGAGGGTTTACAATGTCAGCATATTGCCCCCAACAATCTGTGTCTTCATTTTACTGACCTCAGCAGGATGGAAGGTTTAAGCCCTGTCAAGATTGAACTTCAAGCGTTGGGCAGAGTTTGAATGCAATACTGCAAATAGATTTGATGAGGGCCAACAAATCTTCCCCATGTTTTTTTTTATTATTCTCCTACCATTTTAATGAATTAATATGCTTGCTTCTTGTCCATTTCTGTGTGAAAATAATATGGAGAACTTACACAAAGAAGAGGGAGTCAAACTATTCTCCAAAGCACCTGAGGGTAGAACAATAGCAATGGGTAGAAACTAATCAAGGAGAGAAGCAACTTAGAACTAAGGAGAAATTTCCTGACAGTTAGAACAATTAATAAGTGGAACAACTTGCCTCCAGAAATTGTGAATGCTCCAACACTGAAAATTTTTAAGAAGATGTTGGATAACCATTTGTCTGAAGTGGTGTAGGGTTTCCTGCCTAAGCAAGGGGTTGGACTAAAAGACCTCCAAAGTCCCTTCCAACTCTGTTATTCTATTCTGTTCTAAATAGAGAAGTACTGCTGTAGCAGCAGAGTTACCCTAGGAATAGACTTAGGTCCCACCTAGTATGTTGCATTTTCTGTTCTTACTCAATGCTTTTCTTGCTGGTTGCCATTTATCTCGTCTTATATGTTTGCTCTCTATATGGTCCCTTTGTCAGGTGTGAGAACATCACATTCCAAGATCCAGAAATGGTGCCAGTGGACACAGGAAAGAAATACCGGAACTACTTCCTTATAGATGTTTTAATGAGGAAGATGGAGAAGGTCTTTAGCAAAGCACCTCAAGGTAAGGAGGTAACTGAGCTGATTTTCTCCTGCAGTTAGACATGCAGAGAAAAATACATTTGATCCTAGCCATGTTGTAAGGACTTGCCTCTCCTCTCTCTTCAAGAAAGCAGAACTATCACGCCCTCGTTGGAGTCTGAATCTGCAGCAGAAGATGAGCTGGAACAAAAACTGACAGCAAATGAGAGGGCAGCTCCGTTGACCTTGGAGGAAACTGGGGAAGGGCAGAGTCAGTCCAGGCAAGGCTGTTCGGAATTAGTTAGGCCTGCAGGCAGGGAGGAGAGGCAGAGCTCAAGATGGGAACAAACGCTGAGTTCCTGAAGTTTTGTATGCCAACATTTGAACTTGCCAAGAGTCCTTGCATTCCTTGTTGGTGTTTTAGGCCAGGGGTGGGCAATTGTGGCTCTTTTACAACCTGTAAGCAAGCAAGCAAGCAAGCAAGACAGCTTGACTGTCTCAGGAATTCTGGGAGTTGAAGTCCACAGGTTGTAAAAGAGCCACAATTGCCTACTCCTGTTCTAGACTAATTATCTGGATCTTTTGCTCCCTGAACTCCTTGCTTGGCTCTTGTTTTGCCAAATACATTTGGGATTTATAGCCATGCAGCCTTGATGCAAACAGTGCTGGGCTGGACTAATTGCAGGCAGAGACTGCTTGAGGTTTGTGTGGGGGTTTGTTTTCACTGTCAGGGTTCCAAATAACACCCCCAACGAAAGAAGACTGAGGCTTGAAGTTCCTCAAAGTTCCATTTTATTAGAGATGTCATATTGACACATCTGGGAAAACCCGAATCTGAATGCTTCCAGGTTTTCCCCACCCAAAAGAAAGTCCAAGTCCCTTCCCCTGCACCCACATGTCCATCACATGATCCAATCAATGCACCATCCCAACTGGAGATGCCTCTCAGTCATGCCACTCCAGGTGCAGGCTGAACGTCCTTGATTCCCAGAGAAAAGAATGTTATTATGGCTAGATATCTCTACAACTCCATGCAATCCCCCTTCCCAGTTTCCCACAGCACTAATTGTGATAGCCCTGAAGATCCAAAGAAAAAGAAGGCTTCCAGGGCTGACAGGCTGCCCCCCCCACAACCAATGATCGTGTCCTGCAACGAGAGTAACATGAATTAATTCAATAGTTCCTAACCACCTCTCTCTATTTCCCCCCCCCCCACCCCCAGAGGACCCTTTGGCTTATCAGGTAATTTGTCATGGAATTGCTTCACTAATCTGTCGGTCTTTACATCCCAGCTTTTAACCCAAGTAGCCTCAAACAAAGGGTACCCTTTCCAATGAACTAGGTACTGTAACTGACCTCTATACAATCTAGAGTCTAGGATTTTCTTAACCTCATAATGGGTTTCCCTTTGCACCACTATAGGCTTGGGCGCCGGTCGGGTCTGTGGCCTCAACCTTGAACCGACTGCTGGCTTTAGCAAACTGCAGTGAAAGACAGGATGCACTTTCCCTAGTATGCATGGGAGGTTAAGCTGAACTGTCACTGGGTTAATTACTTTCACTATTGGAAAAGGTCCTAGAAACTTAGGTCCCAGCTTTTTATTGGGCAACTTCAATTTTATGTATTTAGTTGATAGGTAAATTCGATCTCCCACACAGAAGGGGGACTGGAGAGATCAGTGTTTGTCCGTTTGTTTTTTATACGCCTCAGTGGCTTCCCTCAGCGCTTTTTTGGTGTCTTCCCATCCCTTCTTTAGCGACTCCATTTAGCTAGAGTCATGGAGGAAGGTGGTTCTCTGGGTAGCTCGGGCATGTACTGCGTTGTTGTAAGCCACTTCTGCGAACAGCAGCAGGTCCGCCCAGTTCTTTTGCTGGTAATCCACATAACATCTTATATATTGCTCCACCATTGCGTTCGCTCGTTCCACAGCTCCATTTGTACTCAGAAAGCCAAGCTAAGTCCCTGAGTAGACCCGACCGATTTCAGGAACTCACTCCAGAACTTAGTGGTAAATTGGACGCCTTGCTCTGAGATTATCCGGTGGGGCACCCCGTGCAGCTGGTAAATCTGCTTGATAGACATTTTTGCCAGTTTCTTGCTGAGGGTAATCCCGAGCAAGCAATAAAGTGGGCTTGCTTGGAAAACAAGTTGATTACCGTCCAAATGACTGTATTCCCTCCACTCTCTGGGAGCTCCACTATAAAGTCCATTGTGATTTCTTCCCAGGGCCAGCTGGGGTTAGCCACTTGTTGTAGGAGTCCAGGAGGTTTCCCTGGTCTCATCTTCATGGTTGCGCAAGTGGCACAGCGTTTTACGCAGTCCTCTAAGTCAGCCTTTATCATTGGCCACCAAAACTGTCTTTTGGGCAGGTGCAGAGTTTTCAAGAAGCCAAAATGGCCTGCCAGTCGTGAGTCATGGCTGCGCTGTAAGACTTCCAGCCTCAAGTTGGTAGGAACATATAGTTTAGAGTAGACCCTTTCCAAGCTAGTCCATCTCTCATGGTTAAAACATCTTTGTTGTCTGTAAGCCATTGGTCGGCTGGGAGCGCTGATTTCAGTGCAGCTGTCAGTTTGTCTTGCATGGGATCGGGTTGGCGTCTGGCTTGGCCCTTAATGGTGACTTGCGCTGCTTGTTGTAAGTGGGGGATGATGGCGTGGATGACTTCTTCCCTCTGACTATCGACTTCCCAGAAACATGGGAGCATTTGGGGAGCTTTTGGAGCAATAAAGAGGTTGTTTGAACTGCCAGCTGTTTGTGTTATCTCTGTGCCAGGCCCTGAGCCATCACAAGAACTCTTGAAGCAGGCATTATTTCAAAAGGAAACTTATTGAGAGAAAGTGATAGCAAGTAAAGCAAGGCAGGATCTGAAGTTCCCGCTTAAAACCATTAGGAAGGGGTTTTCTGCAATGTTTAACCAGACCATTCCCACCCTATTGGCCTTCTGAAAAGCGGTGAAGACCTGGCTTTTCCGGCAGGCCTGTGACCGTTGATCTCGCTCTTGCGATCCGGCGAGATCCGGCCATGAATGGTGTGGATGAGTTTAATGTTTTTAATGTTTTTAATTTTTAAATGTTTTTTATAATGATTTTAAATGCATTGTGAGCCGCCCTGAGTCTTCGGAGAGGGGTAGCATACAAATTGAATTAATAAATTGAATTAATAAATAATAATAATAAATTAATAAACCTATGTCCAGTCTAGATGAGCCAATCTACAGGTGCGAAGTTGTGAGAACAACTCAAGCTGAGAAGGTTATAAGCTGTTCTCAGGTGCCTGCTTTGCCCATTCTTTCGGAGCTGAGACAAAACAAATGGCCCCAGGCCAATCCCTCCTCCTCCCTTTCACAAGCAGGTACATCAAAGTGACAGGTAGACCAGAAACAGGAAAGAGTTTTGTAAAGGAGTATCCAGGGCTCTCCTCCCTGCCAGAATGGCAGTGTCCCAATAGGGATCTAAGGGACCTGACAGATGTATACATCCATTGTGCAATGGAAGCTAAGAATTTATTTATTGTAAAAATGTCATTAGAAGAGGAATAGAAACTGTGCAGAAATAGCAATTCATATAATTCATGCTGTGAAAGCCTTTTCTTTTTATAGACTTCTACCCCAGGGTTTTGCAGGAGTTCAAATAGATGAGTGTTTCTCAAACTTGGCAAATGCTGGCTGGGGAATTTTGGGAGTTGAAATCCATATATCTTCAAACTTTGAATAACACTGTTACACAGACCAAAGTTTTGCTCCCTACTTAAACTGTTTTTGTCTTTTTTCTCTTACAGCGGATTTGACTCTGGACCCTGAAACAGCTCATCCACGGCTCACACTTTCCTCAGACTGTCACAGCGTCCGACTTGGGGAACGTTGGCGGGATCTTCCGGATAACCCAAAACGCTTCGATTCCGACTACTGTGTGTTGGCCTTGCAGGGTTTTTCGTACGGTCGCCACTACTGGGAAGTGGAGGTGGGGGGCCGGCGAGGGTGGGCTGTAGGGGCAGCCCGCGAATCGGCCCGACGAAAAGAGAAGTCCAGCAGTGGTTCCCACCAGAAACGGGAGATCTGGTGTGTAGGAACCAATGGTAAGAAGTACCAGGCTTTGACTACCACGGAGCAGACATCCCTCTGTCCAGCTGAGAAATTACGGCGCTTTTGTGTCTACCTGGACTACGAACGAGGCCAGCTAGGATTCTACAATGCTGAAAACATGGCTCATATTCACACCTTTAATGCTTCATTTCGCGAGCGCATCTTCCCCTTTTTCCGCATTCTGTCTAAGGGGACCCGCATAAAAATCTGCAATTGATGCCATTGCAGCTGTTGCGCATAGCTGAATTTATCCCTTGAGGCTTCTGCTTCATCCCATCCCCACACCTAATTATGCTTGATAAGAGTTTCTCATCCTCCTTGGACTTTGGTGGATTCCTTATCTAGCTCTTATTTTGGATTCCTTTTGACAGGGATTCTTCCCTTCGGTGAATTCAGTTTTGCACAGTTCTACTTCTCTGGTGCTTGACCAGGTCATGGATCTGACTTTATCTTAAATGGGTTCAGATCCATTTTAGCAAAAAAAAAAAAAAAAGTGCTTTCTCTTGCTCTTTCCTTATACCTTTGGGGTATGCTCACATGCCAGCTGATTATACTGTTCTCAGATAGCTGAGCCCCTGACCTTCAGAAGAGAAATTAGACCTTATTGAGCATGCAATTATAATGGTTGGTGGGACCTCCCATGGCTTTTTGACTTGGGTTGAGCAATCCAAGACTTGTTTTTGACTTTCCTAAGGATATCTAAAACTTTCTAGTCAGGCTTTGACAACTTAAAATATAGACCTATGTGTGGTAACTTTTCTCTGTTTTGAATTCCCCTGATCAGACAAGTTGACTGTTCCAATATGTTCTTGGGGTTGAATCAAAGTCCATGCTTTAAGCTGGGATGAAGAACATGTGGCCCTCCATATGTTACTGAACGACAGTTTCTAAAAGCCCCAGCAATCATAGCCTATGTTGAAGGATACAGGAATTGTGGTCCAGTAACATCTGGAAAATGAATAGCCCCAGTGTTAATGTCTGTGCTGCTTTTACCAGAGCCCGGATTCCTGTAGCATTCACAATAGCTTTGTATTTTAAAGTAACGATATGGAAATATTTTGACGGATTCCTAATGCTATTATTCCTCTTCAATTGCTCCAATGCCTGTATTCTGATTTCCTGTTTTTGCAATTTACTAATAACATTTAAAAAGAAAACACAAATGCAAGTTCTGTCCCATGTTCCTCTTTACACTGGTTTCATGTGATGTTCCATTTGAAATGTCTCTTAATCTTTGATGCTCTTTTCTATCTCTCCTGCCATTTATCTATTCTAAAATGTCATATGCTGGCCATTTGGAGCAATGACAGTACCAAGTGCTGTTGAGCTGTTGAATGTCAGTCATGATTGTAGATGTGTGTGCTATCCCATCAGATGCTAAGATCCCATTATTGCTGTCTTACTCACCCTCTCTTTCTCTGCCTTCCCACCATCTGCTTTAAATAACTTAGTTTAGTCATTCACTAGTTTTAGCCTTCACGGTGGAGTCTTGAACTTCTGAAGGCTTTACCTATTCCAATCATATGTGGTTTTCTAAAAATTCTTTTTGGCTTGACAGAGCTGCTTCTGAACTATTTTTTGCTAAAAATATTAAAAGGAAATCTAGTTTTTTGGGAAAAGGTTGAGAGATAAATAAATGATTACATGTTAAAAAGCTTTGTGTTGTGGTTTATTTGAATACTGAAAATGAGAGGATTATTTGAAATTATTTAATGAAGCGGTTCAGGGTTGTTGCTTTTTAATGATATGAAGAATTCTTAGAATATTCTTCTGGAAGGACTTCATAAGCCAATAGTTTCAGTTAAAATCAAGCCTAAGGTCTAGAGTAGAACACTGTAAATCTTGTTAACAATCCTATGATGTAGAGCTGAGTCTCTGCAACAGGTTTGATCATTCACCTATCGGGCAAATCCCAGACAAGGGCAAATATTTTTTCAATTGCACCGAGCAAAATATCGACTAGAATGGTCCTTGGAGGCCTTCTAGTCCAACCTCCTGCCCAAGGCAGGAGTCCTTACTCCATCCTGGACAATTGGTTGTCCAATCTTTTCTTGAAAATTTCTCTGCTCCATTGATTGATTGTTCTGTCAGGAAATTCCTCCTTATTTCTAGTCTACATGTAAATCCGATCCACTCATTGAATGTATGAATCTCAAAATACACACAGTTGTTTATGGTGTTAAATGTGATCAGTGTTAGGTTGTCTCACAAGTAAATCCGTATCTCTTTAATGAAGCCATCAAATATTTTGATATGTTGGACAGTGTATTAAGTTCAAAACTCATATCCTAAATCTAATCAGAAAGTATTCATATCACCATTATATGCTTTATAAAAAAGGATTGGGACATACATTTACCATGAAGATTTTCTGTAATAGAAAATCCTCCCACCTGCCCCTATGTGGAAAGAGGACTCACTTCCATAGTTTTATGTAAGTGCAGAGAACTCCATAGGTGAAAAGAACAAGGCCAAACTGATAGGTCCTTTGTCACTGCATTGTAGTTATTTATTCCAATGTTCTTTCAGCAGTTGCTCCAAAGGCTTTCTGCATATTTTTTTGCTCACTGCTAATTTCAGTGCAGTGTAGTCTTGTTGTGACCTAGGCTCACTAAGTCATTACAAGACACAATTAGTCTCAAACCTACAGTTGCAAGAAAAAGTATGTGAACCCCTTGGGATTACGTGGAGTTTTGCATGAATTGGTCATAAAATGTGCTCTGAACTTCATCTAAGTCACAACAATAGAAAAACCTTTCCCAAGACCCTTTGCTGCTCTTTTAAGCCTTATGGGAGGAGCCAATCATCTCCTGGCCTTACTTCTGAGTCGCCCCTTTTGCTTTAGCTGCTCTTGCCTTCTGGCAGCTCTGCGCATGCGTGCGCTAGGAACAGGCTCTTCCTCTTCCTCTACCTCTGCTGTCCGATTCTGCTGGTCCCATCTCTGCCTCCGACACAGAGCCCTCGTCCAGGCCTTCCCCAGACTCCAGGAGTGGCCCATGGTCCTCCCTCACTCCGACTCCAGCTCCGCAGGTTGCTAGTGGACCACAACACTTCTCTTCCTGTGTATTCAAGATAACCCCAGGGAGCCCCTTGAAGTAGCCTTTTGGGAAGATGCGCTACCTTAGCAAACTTTTGAGAGGGAATGTTTTGTTCACAAGTTTACAAAACACCCCTTGGAATTTAATTTCATGATTGCATGTGTCCTCTTGAAGAGTCAGGATCTGGCTCTTGTAATGGAAGTGAGCTACTAGTTTCATTACCCTCGCCCATACTCGTCAGGGATTGGTAGATTTGCACACTCGAGTGCAACTGTTTATTGGATTCTTTTTATTAGGATGATGTAGTTAAAGATTTTTTGACTATTATTTTATATCAAAAAGATTAAATGGGGGGGGGAGAAATGGACTGTAAAGTGGACTACAAAAAATATGGCTTTATATAAGAGAAAATAGAAATAATGGAATCTGGATCAAATAAGCCGTTAGGAGACAAATGGGCACTGCTGTAATGATTTCTGGGGGGTGGGGGAGTGAAGAGTAGTAGTGGGAAATGTACAAATATATGAAAAAGAAAACTGGAATAGAAGGGAAGCAGAAAAGTCAATGTGAAGGATTACTGAGCTGATTTCAGCCTTGCACTGCCCCCCACCCAGGAAAGAAATTCAGTGGGTTTAGGCTCTTGTACTTTGGATTGATATCCCGAGGGCTCGAATCCTCCTGGAGTCAGGGGGATCCTGACATTCTGGCCATTGAACCGAAGCCCCCGGAAGTTAATCATTTGGCTCAAAAGACTCTCCAATCCCTGCTTGAAATGAAAGGGAGGCCTCCTTATTCCCAGGGAATGGGTGCTACCATTAAATGGCCCTTATTATTAAGGAGCTTTTCTCAATGTTAAAAAAACAAAACAAAAACTGCATCGGGGTGGGCATCGGATGGCATCAGAGCAAGCAGCCAACATTCTGGTTCTGGTTTTTTCCTTGGAGAAACTGCCTGCATGGGAGGAACTGGCGGGTCCTTGGGCATTTGCAGGGACTCTACAGGCCTGACTGCAGGTCAGTGAGGGTTGCTTGGTTCAATTGGACCCCATCCCATGATTGTAGCCAGGATCCGATTGCAGCTACAGAAAAAGATGGGGAAAGGAGGGAAATCCTGTACCAAATTATCTATGCATCCTCTCCAGCCACCAGTAGACTCCTTCAAGTCAAGCCTGATTCCTTTAGTCACAAGAATTTTCTTGTTTAATACATAAGATTTGCTACTGCTGCCGTCTGCATTTCCCAACCTTCCAACCCCTGCCAACTTCGTATTCTAGCTTACCACTTTGTATCATCCTGGTACTTGGCCAGTACCAATCCTAATTTTATGATTACCCAAGGTTAACTACATTTCATCTGCTAATAGAACATTTGTAGCTCAAGTTTGAACTGTGGGGTCCTTGGTGCTCTCTGGTTTTCTAGGTGACATCAACAGTTTCGTCTAATCGGCCCCAGCTTGTGTGGGGAGAAGTGAGAAAAGCAGTGGAGCTCTGAACAGTATCTGCTATCAAAGCAACCTTTCTCTTTTAGCAGGAACAGATGTTACTTCTCTTTAGCAGGGTAGGTAGGTAGTAGCAGTTATTGTTGGAGGCCTTCTGCTCTTATAAAAAACACCTTGGAGAAAAAGTGCACCCAAGCCCTTAGGATGTATCTTCTCAGATTGCAATTGCTTTTAAAAGCACTGAAAATGTGAGAGTATGACATGTCTAGAAAAATCAAGGCTATTTGTCCACTTATCCTCTGTAATAGATACTATTTCCTAATAGTATCTAGGATGGCTTAGAGGTGAAGATGCTCACCTCCTACTCATAAGGTTGAGAGTTCAGTCCTAGGTAGTCCTGGCAGATGTTTCTCAGGCAGCAAAGAGAAAATAAACTGCTATGGACTCCCCATGGGCATCAGGAAGGACATCTGGTCAGTAAACGCTGAATTCCATTCAGTTGCCCCCAACTCCACCCCAAATAAAGGAATTAAAGGATTGTAAAATGATTTTTTTCCCCTAATTATATCTAAACAGAGTCCTTTGCCCTTTTTAAACTGCTGTTACATTCATTTATTTTGCTGAACTTTTTACATTAGCTTGGAGCTTGAACACTCTTTAAAAGATTTGAGGGTTGTCTCCCCAACTGTAGGGATAACAATGGTGGTGAATAAAGGTGTCTGTACAATCCCAACACTTTCATAAAATGGCAAAATGATTGTCATTCTTTTTGTATGTGTGTGAGAAACCAAACACATATAAAAAGCGGGCAGACCTCTGTCTTGCAGATCTGGTTTTACCATTCATGCCTTTCAGGAGAACTGCAATAGTAAATACAAAGCCTTATTCAAGCAAACATTAATACAGTGGATTATGTGCCATCAAGTCAGTTATCAAATTTTGGGGAAGACATGGAATTTCCTCCATGATGATCTGTCCCTATTGATCCTTCAGATCTTCCAAAATACAGTAAGGATCAGCCAAAAAAACTACCTCTGCGGGGAAAAAGGAAATAAATGTTGGATGTGAAGTTCCCTATTAAAAGCACGTCACTTCCAGCACACAAATCCTTGTTTCTTTTTAATTGAATGCTTTGTACATAATAGTTTATGTCTTGTGGGTCAAAAACTGCGCTCTCTCATCTGGTCCCAATAGTGACTTGCCAGACACGAACCAGGTTATCTGTGTAGCCAGCAAATAGAGTCTGAAAGGAGAGGGAAAGAGAAAAAAAACCAATGTTAACGAAAGGATAAGGAGGAAGAAGGTTAAATGATGAAATGAAGGGCTGATTTAGCATCCCTGTGGTACACAGCAACGTTAAATCCCTTTTCATGCAGATGTTGTGCATCAACTGCTTGTGCTAAGCCCAGCAAAATGAGTCAGAGAATACACTAGGACACATTATTTAAACCTGAAAGAAGTGACTTCAGTTTTGGTTTTTTGTTTTAAATTTGATTTATATACCGCCCTTCTCCGGAGACTCAGGGCGGCTTACAATGTGCTCAGCAATAGCCTTCATCCTTTTGTATATTTATACAAAGTCAGCTTATTGCCCCCACAACTGGGACCTCAATTTACCTACCTTAGAAAGGATGGAAGGCTGAGTCAACTTTGAGCCTTGGCAAGATTCGAACCTGCAGTAATTGCAGGCAGCTGGTCTTAATAACCAGCTTAATAACAGGGTGCCTTAGACCGCTGTACTACCAAGGCTCAGTTTGAAGGAAGGATTTTGGGGGGAATAAAAGTGCAATCCTTCCTCTTTCTTAAGAAGAGTTGAAAGTGAGAATAAAAACAAACACATCCTGTAATCTGCATCCTGTGTGTTAAACGCTCCTGTGGATTGGCAGCCTACAATATCCTGGATGTTTCTTGAGGTCTAGCTCCCCCACTCATCTCTTAAAACATAACGCATCCAAAACTAAGGGAAACACTAAAACTGCCCATTTGTCTACCTCAGGGATGGGGACCGATGGCCCTTTTATGACTTGTGGACTACAATTCCCAGAATTCCTGAGCCAGCCATGCTTGTGGACTTGCTGGCGCAGGAATTCTGGGAGTTGAAGTCCACAAGTCATAAAGGAGACATTTTCCCCCACCTCTCATCTACATCAACAGCTGCATGCTGTTAGTGCTCTCAGTTATTCCTGACATTTGCAATTCCCTCCCAATAAGACAAGACATTCTAACCAAAGCACTCTGCTCTAGCATCTTCCTGGGTAACGAAGTTTTTGCATACAAGGTAAGCATGCTCATGATTTCAATCCTTGCTCAATGATAAACTCAATGATTTTATTTACTTAATCATAGAAAGCATACCAATGATTTAGGAATGCAGAGACCAAGCATCTGGGATTTTTATTCCCAACAACACCCTGTCCCTTGAATGATTCCCTTTCAAAGAGAACCATGCTGCAAGATCCTTGCGTGCAAGTTCCCAACTCAAAGGTCCAGCTGTTGGTCAAGCCTCGCCTAGTGGAGAAGGCAATTAGATGGTTCCCCAGAGGCTGCTGGGATTCTCATATCTTACCTGCCCATCAGCAGACCAGGCCAATGAGGTGCACTGAGGGGGTTCTGCCTTGCTGCTGGTGGTGATCACTTCCTGTTTGAGCTCATCCACAATGATTTTACCTTCCAGATCCTGTGAGAAAATAAGAATGGAGACAGATATCAAAGATAGGAAACCCTGGCCTCCCTCAATTTCCAACTATACTGAGAGCAACGGGCTCAGAAACAGCCTCTGGTTTTCCACATGGGAAGTAATGTCAGATGGCATTGTGTGTTTCATCACAGCAAAAATACAACTCCTTGCCCTTAAGCTACTGAACAGACAACATAGTTACATAGATAGGTCAGAAACATACAATGCTAACTCAAGAGATGGCTTTCCCCATCATCAACAAAAATTAAGTATCTATTCTGGTATGCCCATGTCCTCTGATAATCCTTCCTTCCCATTCTTCTCTAGTTGTTCCCACTATGTGTCCAATTTCTAAGCCTGGGACAAAATTTACAACACTCTTGGAACTGGTATGACAAATAAAAGTCTACAGACATCGGAGAGAGACATAGATATCTCTCTGAATATGACACTAAGTGTTCCAGAAGGAAAAATCTTCTATTAATGTTAAAATTAAAGTTCCAACAGGATTTTTTTGACCTTCTGCTTTGTATTTATTACTTTGAAATATTGACCAGGAGTTGTCGTAACTGTTCTTTTCACAGCATTTAGAACATTTTGGCTGTTTCAACATACCCATATCTTGATGCTGGGACCAGTGGCAGCACACAGCCAGTAGCGGTTTGGGCTGAAGCATAAGGCATTGATGATGTCCCCACCATCCAGTGTGTAAAGGTGCTTGCCTTCGTTCAAGTCCCACAGCATTGCCTGCCCATCCTAGAATGGAGAAAAAAGTCAAGAGATAGAGCCCACTTCAACTAATCGTTCTTCTTCCTTCTTTATAAACTTTCTAATGCTTCTCTAAAATTTAACCATCATATAATCCATTTAAAGATTCAAAACGTACGTTCAGAAATAAAGCTGTTCACCACACATCATATAATCCCCCTTCATAATACAATAACCCTTGAAAAATTCCCTCTGATGCTAAGAGGGAATTTGGGCAGCTCAGAAACAAGAGTGTGGATTATCTGCATGGGAGTCAGATGGCGCTCGTGTGTTTCATCACAGCTGAGCCAGATTTCCTGTAACCCTCAACCACCAAGAAAACAGCTAGGATGAAAAATGACAGAGACTTTGCAAATCACTAATTCCCAGCCTTCCCCCTGCCCTCTTAAAGACAAGGTACCCTATACTCAAAATATCCCTTTCTAAGAAAATCATTACCAAAGAAGAACCCAAGAAACTAGTTTTGATCCCTCACTATTCTTAGCTAGGAGGTGGTTCTCGCTGCTCATTCTAAGACCACTATCATACTAAAAATAATTATTCACAAGAATTAAAATGTGATGGCAGACTGAGCTACATCAATGAGGATTCCTCTTTCTTTGTTAAGGGAAAGAAATGAATTGGTCCAAGTGAAGACCTAAATCTCTCTCTTAAGGGATTCAGCGTCTAAGCCAATAATTGCAGACATCTATTCTAAGGATGCAATTAAAAATATTGGGAGGAATACTTTCTCCTTACATTTCCAGAGTCAAAGAGGAACAGGCTGTCAGTTCTAGCCAGATTCTTCTTCTCTGCAGAAAGTATCTGTCTAACCAAATTGCATTACAATTCCCATTTTTAAAAATTGGAAAAAAGGAGAAAACAAGATGGTCTTTTAAATCACCAGACTCACTTACCTTGCCACCGGAAGCACACAACGACCCATCAGGAGAGACAGTCACTGTGTTCAGGTAACCAGTGTGCCCAATGTGGTTAGTCTTCAGCTTGCAATTGGCCAAGTTCCAGACCTACAGGTTGGAGCAAATATAAGGAAGGTTTATTCATATTTCAAGGCATAAAGTGCAAATGCTAGATAACAGACATGACGTATATTTTCAACCTTTATTAATTTTAATCATTCTGCATTGTCTTTTTAATATTTTGTAAGCCACCCAGAGTTGCTGCAACAATACAATGGGTAGCATATGCATTTAAGAAATAAAATATAAATGCCTGTCAGTAGGTAAAAAACATTTTGGAGATGCCCTAGTTGTGTCTTCATGAAAAAAAATGCAGCATTTTCCAAGATAATTTTCAAGTGATGAAAATTGCACCCCAAAAATAGTTTCAAATCTATTTAAGGTTAACAAAAAAGGGAGAATCTGTAAATATTTACTGCTGGAGGATAATGGAACATGCTATTATTTTTAAATGTTTGCTTTTTTCAAGAGTCCCTCTTCAACAGATCTGATAGATTTATAAGATCATTGTACTCTCCCACCTGTTTGTTTCCAGCCTCCCTTCTCTGATATATAACAGATGAAGTTAAGAAATTCTACATTGTTTATAAATCTGCAAGGAATCTCTCTCTTTCACGATTTCATGGGTTGGACAGGGGATACCCCCAATAAAAGGAGTACTGGCTGAAGATCCGAGGCAAAAATTCCCCTCACCTTAACCAACTTGTCCCAGCCACAGGAAACAATGATGGGGTTGCTGCTGTTGGGGGAGAAGCGTACACAAGACACCCACTCAGAGTGGCTTTCGTCCTATGGGAGAGAGAAAAAGAACAGGATGGAAAAAACAATCCTTTGGTGCTAGTTCACTAGCAATGTAACAAAGCTATCATTTTTAAAATAACTCCACCTGTTTCATTATTTTAAACTATATGTCTTATCATATCCCGGTTGGACTATTGTAATGCTCTCTACATGGGGCTCCCCTTGAAGAGCACTCGGAGGCTCCAACTGGTCCAGAATGCGGCCGCACGGGTGGTTATGGGGCAACCCGTTGTGCCCACGTGACACCCCTCCTGCGCGAGCTGCACTGGCTCCCAGTGGTCTTCCGGGCGCGATTCAAGGTGTTGGTTACCACCTTTAAAGCGCTCCATGGCATAGGACCCGGGTAGCTTCGAGACCGTCTTCTGCCACCAATAGCCTCCCACAGGCCAGTCCGCTCCCACAGAGAGGGTCTCCTCCGGGTGCCATCGGCCAAGTTATGTCGGCTGGCGACACCCAGGGAACGGGCCTTCTCTGTGGGAGCCCCAGCCCTGTGGAATGAACTGCCCCCGGAAATACGTAAGATCTCCGACCTCCAGGTGTTTCGCTGCACACTGAAGACCCTGTTGTTCCGCCAGGCCGGACTATCAACATAATAGTTTTAAATTGGGGTATTTAAATTTTTTGGGGTTTTAAATCTGAGCCAATTTATTTAATTATTTTAAATTTTACATTGCTGTTTTGTCTGTGTTTTTAAATAGGCTGTACACCGCCCTGAGTCCTTCAGGAGAAGGGCGGTATAGAAATAAAATAATAATAATAATAATAATTATTATTATTATTATTATTATTATTATTATTATTATTATTATTATTATTATTAAATTATATTTCCACATTCTCTTCCCATTACATTTATCCCTGCAAATTCCTACCTTCTCTGTGTGGTAGAAATTTATAACACATACATTCCTCGAGTAGTAACACGTCTTTACCTATAAAATTCTAGTGAATATAGCACTACTGAAATATTAACTAAAAGATGACTGAAAATTAACCGAAAGCATCACACTTCTTCTCCAAAAACAACCCACTTAAATGCCAGTGAAATTTCTCCTCCCTAGGATATATTGCAGAGAACCAAAGCTGCCTTTGAGGCGACTTCGCTTGGTTGATCTTGCATTGAATAGATTTGTTTCTATTAATAGCTTTTCTTTTTTTTCTTTTTTGGTGCTTTACAGGTCAGACATGGTCATGAGCCAATAGTAAATGTATCTAAGACCAACTTCAGTGTCACCTAATTTAAAGACTGTCACATTAAGTGAGCGTTAAGAGCATCCAATCCAAGAACTGGAAGAAGAGGCTTACTTGCACAGTGTACTTGCAGACACCTAGGGTGTTCCAGAGTTTGATGGTTTTGTCCCTGGAACCTGAGACGATCTGGCGGTTGTCAGAAGAGAAGGCCACACTCAGTACGTCCTTGGTATGGCCCACAAAACGACGAGTGGTTGTGCCTCTGAAAGGAAGTCGATTTGACACTTTTATTTCCTTGCACCGGAATGTGCTAGAAGAGGAGCTCTTGATACACAAAACTTCTTTCTGTTCTTCACCATTTCGCTGTTAAGAGCAAACCTGTCCTAAGTGAACTCATCCCTAGGGGTTTTAATTTATTATCATTACATTGGACCAGTATTCATTTCAGGCTACTTAGCACTTGAATTATGCAACATATATAGTCTTCAAAACAAACCGAAATCATTTTTTCCTATTTCTACAATGGCAAAATATATCAGTGAAGCTGAATGGAGTCTTTAGATATGTACTATCAGATTTAATCACTGGGAGTGCAGGAAGCAATCAGAAAATAGAAATCAAGAAGTTCACAAGAAGCAAATTATCCCCTCCTGAAACACAGAAGCCATTTTTATTTACAACTTGCACTCACGTAGTAAGATCCCAGAGGCGCAGGGTGCCATCCCAAGAGCCGGAGAGGGCAAACTGCCCATCTGAAGAGATGACCACATCACTGACAAAGTGAGAGTGGCCTCGTAGGGCTCGCTGAGGAATCCCATAGTTAGTTTCGTCTCTTGTTAACTTCCACATGATGATGGTCTTATCTGTAAGAGGACACAAGAGGTTACTCCTTATATTAAATCTCAAACCAGGAAAATGCCCACAAAAGCAAAACAACTGATTCCCACCCCACAACCTTCTGCATCTACAGTCCTGAATGCCATCCTGTTCCCAAGCTTAATTTTCAGGGTAGTGACAAAGCCCATGTGAACTCCACAGCTCAAGTTGCTAGTACAGCGGTTTTAGTTGATTAAGAGTTCCCCCTTGATCAGCAAAGGATTTTTCCTTCCACACATTGCTAGTAGAAGGCTAGTTAAAAACAATTTTCAACCCATTGAAGGGGAAGTTAACCCTTTGATGTAGAAGTATATTCTACATATATGATAAGTCATCACACAACATATTTTACACCAGTCTTTCTCAGCCTTGATGTGTGGAGTTCAGCTTCCAGAATTGGTTTGGGGCATGGTTGGCTGGGGAGTTGAAATCCACAAATCCTAAAATGGGCAAGGTTGATAAAACACAAGACATCTGCCAAAATTTTCCTTCTAAAAATAAGCATCTTCAACTAAAAATGGTGTCACTTTAACCATTTAGGAATTTTCTAAATAGAGCTATCCTGATCGCATTTTCAACATCAATTAATCAAGGACTTTCATATTCAAAAGTCTTTGCACATCCCTACTTATTCAATCAGCAAACTTAACATCCAGGACAGAAGAAACTCTCATCCCTTACACTGCAGCGTAAGTGTCCCCTTTTTCATCATCTACTTGTGCATTATAAAAACAGACTTCCATCGTTGCAGGTTTCTAAACTTGTTACTTTATTTTTATCCAGCTTTTTGAAATATACAACTTAAGGTGGCAACCCATCTAATTTTTCCAGCAACCTATTTTCTCCACAACAAACCCATGGGGTGCGTTGAGCTGAGAGAGTGACTGTCCCAAAATCACTGAGCAAGGTTTGATGCTTAAGGGGGTTATGAATAATTATCATCTCTGCTTCTTGGGCACTATAACAGAGTGATTACTCAACCATGTCAACTTCAAAAATGTGTGGATCAGTCAATTCCCATCATTCCCCAGCCTGGAGAATTCTGGGAGTTGAAGTCCACACATTTTCAAGCCATCAAGGCTGAGAAACACTGCTATAACCTAATGTCAAAGAGGCTAGAGTCCTTTTGTTGGTGGAGAGGCATCAATATCATAAATCCTCCAAGGATGTAATTTCAGCTGCTCTCAAGCGAGAAATGAGTTACCCTAAAATGGAGTTGCCTAATATGAAATACTCACTGGAGTTTTCCTGTAATCCAGGACAGGACAATAGACACGGTGAGCTCAGTAAACACTTGTGATCCCAGTTGTTTGATAATTGCTAGAACTGGAAAATAAAGCTTTCTATAGCAAACCACTAAGAAAGTTACTATATAAGACTTGGGTTTTTTTGGGGGGGGGGACATCTGGAACAGATTTGTCCATGAAAATCGTTGTTGGTACAGTTCTGCACATGATCACAAATTACTAGGTCTAAGCACATGCTCAGGCTTACCTGGCTCACCATTTCACATCCGGATTTTGCTGATACCCCTTGGAATTCCAACTTTAAAAAATGCTTTGTAAGTCCGAAATCTTTGCTCCCTGCACTAATGCACAAAACCTAAGATTTCTAACAGCCACATCTTCCTGAATTGTGGGCCACTGCTAGAGTTTAAGCATGCTGCTTTGAATGTTGAGCGAACAAAACCCTAACAAAAACTTCCATTTTCTTTCTTGATCCTCTCCTGTCCCATCATAATTGCAGGACGTGTCTTCAGATCTCATTGAAAAGATCAGTAGACAATGTCAGATGTAATCATTGGGACGGATGTCTCTTCCCTAAGGTTTTGCAACCATCCCGCATTTTGAACTCAACCCCCTCCAATAATTATTCAAATATTGTTGTAATCCTCTTCCTATCTTCCCATTCTTAAGACACCATGATTTCTCCTCTAAATTGCCTCTACCCGACCCCGAACAGTTTTCTCCAAAAAGAAAACCGATTCACCAAGTCATGCAATCCATATTGGCCTCGCTGATCGCCCATGCAAAAAAAAAAGAGTATCTTTCACGGTTTCTTCCCCGTCATGGTTTCTCCCAGTCTATTCTTTGGGCCACCCCCCCCCTCTGCCCCACCAAGTGGACTGGCCCGTCTTGCTCCACCTTACCGCGTGAGGCGGAGAGGATCATGTCTGGAAATTGTGGGGTGGTGGCGATCTGAGTCACCCAGCCGTTGTGGCCCTTTAGGGTACCACGCAGGGTCATCTGCTCCGTCATGGCGGCGGCTGAGAGACCTCGAGCTCCCGCGGCGGACGGAGGATGGCGTCGGATTCAGCGGAGGCCCTTCGCCAGGACCTGCCAACTCGCCCAGGCCTAGAGAGAGAAAGGAAGAAGCCGCGTCTTCCGGAAGCGGAAATGGTTTCTTTTCACGCGCTCCGGCTGCCGGGACCGTACAATATGGCTGCCTCCAGAGATCGCCTGCATATTTAAGCTGGAAAATTTTATAAAAACAGTTTCTAAGAGATACTTCATTATTAGCGAAAAAAACCAATGCTTCACAATTAGTCAAAAATGTGTACGTCAGTATATTTGATTTATCAACCGGTAGCGGTTGACTTGATTTCCTATAAAGCCTATAAAAGTCGCTGTCGGATACTTAGCGCGCGAGAATCTCACTTATCGCGATGTTTGAGGAAGAATTTCTCTGCCTGTGGCGAGATTTTGATCGCCTCTTAGGAACCCTTAACAGTATAAAATACTGTAATTGTAACTGGAAGGCAAAACTTCGGGAAACTTCCTGCTGCAGAAAAAGTTATTGTTTGTTCCTTCCCAGTTTAGGGACAGAAATTTAGGAGGGCTAATTTTGAAGAGGGTTCTCCATTGGGGCAGGGAGACAAAGCTTCTCAAAAAGTTCATCTCTTCAAATAGCATTGTTTATTTATTTATTTATTTTTATTTTCGTCAAGCATGTATTAGATAACAGATGTAAGTATAAACATAACTATGAATACATGAAATGGATACGGATAAAAGGGAACATTAGGACAGGGATGGTAGGCACGCTGGTGCGCTTATGCCCGCCCCTAAAGGATTATGTCAGAAATGGGATTTGAACCCACGCCTCCATTTGGAGGCCAGAACACCCAACACTGGTTCGAATCTCTAGTGTTGCATAACGGGGTGAGCTCCCGTTACTTGTCCCAGCTTCTGCCAACCTAGCAGTTCGAAAGCACGTAAAAAATGCAAGTAGAAAAATAGGGACCACCTTTGGTGGGAAGGTAACAGCGTTCCGTGTGCCTTTGGTGTTTAGTCATGCCTGCCACATGACAACGGAGACGTCTTCGGACAGTGCTGGCTCTTTGGCTTTGAAACGGAGATAAGCACCACCCCCTAGAGTCAGGAACGACTAGCACACATGCGCTAGGGGAACCTTTACCTTATAGATTTAATCTATGTTGGTTCAGAAGTAATGCTCAAAGAGGATTTGCAATCTAGTCTAAGGTCATTAAAATCCACAGGTACCTTCAAACATAAAATAGCTGACAGACTTTCTGATGGTGGCACCCAGGGGTGAAATCTACTTACCTTCCTTACCGGTTCGGAAGTGCACATGCATGTGTGTCACGTGCACAAGCAGACCTGTGCATGCACATGTGCAGAAGGTAAAAAAAAAACTTCCTGGTTTAAACCAGGAAGTAATGACACCTGGGCGGGTAGGCGGAGTTTTGCTCCGCCATCACTACCAGATCGCTGAACCAACGACCAAGATCGCTACTGGACTGGGCAATCTGGCCCGATCTGGGAGCATTTCACCCCTGGTGGAATCCCACATTCTGTTATTAAACTGTCTACCATGGACCTCACCCCATTCCTAAGAAGTCCATAAGGAGGCGTGTATAAGCGCACCAGCGTGCCTACCGTCCTTGTCCCACTGTCCCATTTATTTGTACTCATTACCTGTACTCATATCCATGTTTATAGTTATACAATATATATATCTTTTTTTCGTAGAAGAAAAAAAGCCCAGAAACTAGTGAATTGTGATTTCACTGAACTAGGGCTGCATAATATCTTGGTTTACGTAGGTAGAACCTGGCTAAAGAGAAATACACATAAAACCTACGAAAAAGAAAGAAAAACAAATATTGTACCTTTACAGGGAGGATACATGAGATGAGGGTGTGGCTAACTGATAAGGCCTTATAAGGCCGAAATAGATCTATCTTAGTCTCCCAATGGGCAGCAAAGGGTCTGCTGGCTGTCAGAAAAAAAAAAGCCCAGAAACTAGTGAATTGTGATTTCATTGAACTAGGGCTGCATAATATCTTGGTTTACATAGGTAGAACCTGGCTAAAGAGAAATACACATAAAACCTACGAAAAATAAAGAAAAACAAATAAAACAACAAAGATATACATACATACATACATACATACATACATACATACATACATACATACATATATATATATATAAAATATTGTATTTGTAGGTCTTTGGTTATTCGGGTTTTCTCCTGCGTAAAATTGGAAGTGTCTTGGCGATGTTTTGACGAAGTCTCATTCGTCATCTTCAGGCTGGTGTTTTCGGCTTCATGCTTCTAGGAGCAATGTGTGATCGCAGCTGTTTCTTCCTTTTAACTGCCAGTGGGGGTGTTATATTTTTTGTTGTTAATAAAACTTTCCTCCAGAAGTTGTGAATGCTCCAACACTGGTAGTTTTTAAGAAGAGATTGGACAGCCATTTGTCTGAAATGGTGTAGGGTTTCCTGCCTGAGCAGGAGGTTGGACTAGAAGACCTCCAAGGTCCCTTCCAACTCTGTTATTATGTAACGTTTTTGAAGTATAGTCGAGGAAAACTATTTGGTCTCTAAGAGTTGACACCCACTTGCACATAATTTACTTTATAACCTTGCTTATAATTCATTTATTTTACCCTAATTTTATTTTTTTACAACTCAAGGTGGCCTACATACATAATACACCTTCCTCTTCCTATTTTCACAACAATCCTGAGGTGAAAAAAAATCAAAACAATAGCAATATTAATAAAGGAAAATATAACACCGAATTGAAATGAGGAGTCCTTGGTTCTGAAGTTGGGGTTTTGGTTTTTTTTGGTAGACGTTTCATTACCCAAACTAGGTAACATCAGTGCTAAACACTGACATTTTTATTAATGGAGTAGACCTGTTTCCACTACTTTTTAAAACCGGTAACAGGCAGATTAGAAATTTTTCATTATAAATTGCCTATGCCTGCTAAAATAGATTTATCTACCTTGGTATATGTGGAAAACAGGCAGCAGCACCCCTGTCTTAAATTTGGGAGCTTGTTGTCCATTATTGAAGTTTGACTTGGGAGGGGAAGGCCTGGGCTTCTGCACAAGCCTGAAAAGCAGATGCTCTTTTTAAGAAATTCACTGATTGAAGTTAAGGTGTCCAGGCTTTTGTTCCTCAGCCTGAAAAGGGTTATGCTGCTCCAGAGAAGAAGTGGAGAGAGGTGCCATCAGACTTGGGTGGAATCTCAACTGTTTCTTCCAAATTATTTTCAAAGTACCCACTACTCAGTACAGCATTCCTGTGAGCATCCACCACTGTAGCTCTGGTAAAGTGATTCAGTTCAAGAAAACTTCTGTTGTGGGATTTCTTCCATGCTCTTCTTATCAGCCAGAGCAGCTCACCACACACAGCATTGAGTTTCTGTAGTGTAGCAGTTCACCCAGCAGTGAAATCTGACCGAATCTATCCGGCTCGTGTGAACCGGTAGCACCGGCGGCGGGAGGCTCTGTCTACCTGCCGGGATATTACGTCCCATTTTTGACCCTCTGCGCATGCGCAGAAGAGGTGTGCGGGCTCACATTCCCGAATAGGTAGCCAAGGTAAGTGCATTTCACTGCTGAGTTCAGCTCACAAACAAAAGATCCCTTGTTTGAACTCAGGCATATGTGTATATACCCAAGAGTGTAATGCAGTGTAAGAATTGATCTACAAAAAGATGTGCTAGGTATTTAAGCTTCCATTTATTATTTCTTATGGTCAAATGTAATTAAAAACTTAGGGTGTATTTATATATCATATATTCATTTCTCATAATTTTGTTTGGGAAAGTATAAGTCTGCAATCTTATACCCACCTTGGAGTAAATGCTACAAAATTTGAAATCAGTAGGAATGTATGGAGTTGAAATAACATGCTAGTAGATTTTAGATTTTAAGTTTCAATTAAAACATTTCCAGAATGATGTCAGTTGTAGTCCAACAGTATTTAGAGATCCATGTTTGTGAAGAAGTCGAATATGAGTTTAGTTCTAGTCAGACTTAGGCTATTATTTTGGGGTCCCTTTTTGTTCAAAACATCTTTCTATTTTGTTTAATCATAGTTTTTGAAATGATGCCCATTATGTTTAGACATTTCATTATCTGAAAATCTAGAAAAACTAATGTTGAGCTTATAGAATATAGAGCTTTCAAACACTATGGTTGACATTAGACTGACAGATGACTTCATTTTAACAAGAGAAAATGATTTGCAAGGGGTAAAAGAGTTGGAAATAGTAAGGGAAAACAGACACATAAGACTTTTGTCATTGTATAACAACATAAACCGAGGGACAGATACTTGGGCTTTATTTAAGGTTATTATTTTCAATCTTTCAATCTTCCTTTTGAAACATAACTTCATATCATCACTGAAATATTTTGGAATAGATCAGAGTTTGTTTGAATATTGGTTAAAAAGAATAAATGTATGTTTGCGCTCTTGGGTATCAGCATTATATACTATAGGTCTGAAATAAAATTGTGCTACTCAAAAATGTCTAATTACCCTTTTGAATGTTGATGTTAATTTCCTGCATATTTACTCAATATTAATTTTTATGCATTGTTATTTTATGTCAGTGTCATTTAATAGCATTCAAAGGAATGTCTGCTCTTCCAAAATTAGGCATTATCAATGTCATTTTGTAAAAACCAAGAGAGAAATATATTGGTAGTCAGAACTGAAGAAGCTTCTTGGATGAGAAAGTAAACATTTTAAAGGAAAAACAAAAAGTCCAGTTGTCTCTTGAAAAAGCACCTTCGGGACAATCATGACCTGGATGACTGAGACTCTCCATAGACATATAGTGGTAGTAGCAACTCAGATATCAGATTTTGTTAAGTGGATATACTTAGGCACCAAATAAAAATGAGTTAGCCATTAGTTTAAAACATTATTTTTAGGTATTTTATATTTTTTCATATTTAGTTTATTGAGTTTGAGGCTGCACAAATTAAAACTTTCGGTTAAAAACTGCTTCATTAATTTTTCTGTAATTAAAACTGTCATTACTGATAAAATACAGAATATGAATATTTTAATCTATCTTCTCCCTCTGAGCAGAGGACGTTAAACTATCATTAACATGCTAATCTGTGATTTAAGCATGTTTACTGGATAAACTGCAATTATCAAAATACTGATTATAAAACAGCAACTGGGTCCACAGAAAAGGCTAAGTCACAAATAAGCCACTTTACTGTATGTTTTCCTGTCACAAATGGATCTGACTTTCTGGATCATCTCAATAAATTGTAGTATAAATTGTCCTCTGCAGAAAATGGGATAAAATGCTGCTTTTAAAACATAGAAGTGTGTCCAATACCATGCGATCTTCTCTACAATTTATGCAGAATGTGTGAAATATTAGAAAATACTTTTAGCGCTAATTTACCTAAATGGGAGGCTAATGCCTCCTACTAAGGCAGCATTTAACATCCAGCTGCCTGCAATTACTGCCAGTTCAATTCTCACCAGGCTCAAGGTCGACTCAGCCTTCCATCCTTTCTAAGGTGGGTAAAATGAGGACCCAGTTTGTGGGGGCAATAAGCTGACTTTGTATAAAAATATACAGAAGTATGAAGGCTTAACGCATTGTAAGCCGCCCTAAGTCTCTGGAGAAGGGCGGCATATAAAAATAAATTAAAAAAAATAAGAATAAGCTCCAGACTGCAGTGAAGTATAGAGAATTATGCTCTTAGGTGTCAAGCCTGTACCCATAGTAGGATCTGATCCTTAAATACACATGGATCTGTTAGATTACAACCCTATGCAACTCACTATTCTTGAAAATTGTTCTTTTACCAAACAGGACCATTCTCACTGAGGAGAAAACCGCAGGAGGGTGAGATTAGCGATACGAAGAACAAAACATAAAACGTAATCTCCCTATCCTATTTTCTCCATAGTGAGACAGACAGAATGAGTCTGCCTTTCAAGTTCCGTGACAATTCTAGCCGTCCAATAGTGACGTAAACTAACTGGCTGAATATTACCGCCGCCACCAAGTGCAACGTACCTCCTCTTTACTTACACCTGGGAGAGAAAAGCAGAAGGCGGTGGAACCCGCAAATTTCTAAACCTCGGGTAGCCTTTCGAAACAAGCGAATAGATAGCAATGGTATCAAACGTTATTTTTTAAAGACGGCATGAAAGCTATTGGTTGTTGGATATGCTGAGGAGAAGTGGACCTGAATGAAAACTGACTTCACGAGGTCCTCTCCTACGGTGCGACAGTTACCTCAGGAAACAGAAAAGAGCAGCGGCGTTCTATGTCGTTACGTCAGACCGAGGGCTGTATATATTTACAGCTCCTGCCCAACAGTTTTCAGTACGGGCTTTCGGTGCCTAGCGTGAGAATGGTTCACGAAAAGCGGCAGGGAACTGCTGCTGAAACTTCTACCGCAAGTACTTCGACGAAGGAGACGGAGAAAAAGAAACGTGTTTCGGGCTCTCTCTCGCAATTGATTCTTCAGGTTTTAGAAGCTTGCAATTCCCGAAAAGGTATCTCGCTGGCTGCTCTCAAAAAGGCTCTGATCGAAGCTGGGTATAATCTGACTAAGAACAACGTCCGCCTCAAAAGGGAGCTGCGCAATTTGGTCTCCAATGGGGTGGTGATCCGTGTCACCGGCAGTGGTGTTTCTGGCTCCTTCAAGTTCGGCAAGAATCAGCCGCCGAAGTCGAAAAAAGCGACTGTCAAAACGGCCAAGGGGAAAAAGGAGCCTAAAAAGACCCGAAAGAAACAACCGGCAGTTCATAAACCTAAAGGTCTCCAGGGTCGTAAACCTTCCAACTCTGGAAGGAAACGTCAGGTGAACAAACGTCCTGCAGGGAAAGCTCGTTAACGAGGTCCTCGCTTTTGCTAACTACACAAAGCTGTACAAAAGGCTCTTTTAAGAGCCACTCCGGAATCGCTGAAAGAGCTAATGACATTTTCGGATCAGGTTTTTTTGCAGAGTACCAGTAAACGACACTCTTTTTGAATGATCTCGGCTTAATAGTAGTTTAGTGTACTCGAAAAAATCGAGAGGTTTAAAAAAAATTAGTAGCCTTTGGTTATGCAAAGGAAACTTGTGTCAAATGACAATTACGGTTCTTTTTTTTTCCTCGGAAGCCTCGCTATTTTCTTATAATGCCAGGTAAAAATAGGTGAAGGATTTTATGATTACAATATAACTCAAGCATGTTAAATAGAATTTATAATACAGGAATGGAACTTAAAAATAATAGTTACTGGCTGATTAATAAGGTAGGTTGAATACTAAAATTATTGCAATGAGTAAATGTATTTGCTAGCAGCAAAGCTTATTTTTATGAATGTAGTATTAATATGGGAGAGCATTTTTTGGGAGTGTAGTCAAGTGAATTTTTTTCTCACCAATATCAAAGGAAAAATAACTCGGTTTCATTCTTTCTAAATCGAGATCTTATTTCAATGATTTTGGTATCTAAAGTTAAGCATATTTTATTCCTCTAAAACACATTTGGCCCGTTCATGTTTAATATAGGTTGCTTTCTTTGTTTAGATACCTGGTTAAAGATTATGAAGTAATTAAAATGGATTATATTAGAGGACAAACAAAATAACGTTGCCATATTTGAGGCACTTTATTCCAATAGCCCCTTATTGACGCCTTTTCTGTCAGTTTAAAAATTGGCAGCCCTTTTAACACAAATTTTAGTTCCAAAATCCTTGAAGACACGATTTTGCAGATGGAGCTTAAGAACGTTAACTAGGGTTAAATATGAGAAACGATTCTCAATGTAGCTTAAAATATTTTAGTTAACAGTCTGTCAAAGTAAAACGCGAGCCGCCATTGACACAATTCCAAGGAAGGTGGACGAAACGGATTTGCTGAAGACACTATAAAAAATTAATTCTATCCGCCTTCAGATTGGCAGAACGGCTTTTTATTATCTATTCAGAAAGCGGAAATTACTAATCGAAACCCACAAACCAGATTTCTAGTCATAATTAATGAGCCTTGGTAGTACAGTGGTCTAAAGCACCCTGTTATTAAGACCAGCTGCCTGCAATTACTGCAGGTTCGAATCTCACCAGGCTCAAGGTTGACTCAGCCTTCCATCTTTTCTAAGGTAGGTAAATTGAGGACCCAGTTTGTGGGGGCAATAAGCTGACTTTGTATAAATATGCAAAAGTATGAAGGCTATTGCTTAGCGCATTGTAAGCCGCCCTGAGTCTCCGGAGAAGGGCGGCATATAAATCAAATTAAAAAAAAAAAAAAAATTAAGCAACTTTATTATTCCCTCTTCGGTTATTGAAACATGGCTCTAAAAAGAACCTTTTATGCCACAAGAAGACCTTTTAAGCGCTTGGGGCTGTAGCCATCGCTCCCTCTTGGCCAAAGCAGTATTTTGATTTCGTCACACTTTCAGGCCGTCCAATTTCCAGGGCTGTTTTTGGCGTGGATTTGCTGCCTAGGTCCCGCTATGGGAGGAGACGAGAGCTCCCGGTCTAGCAGGAAAACGCAGATCTGCATGTAACTGGAAGTTGTAGTTTATTCGACGAATTTTCTTGTCCCGGGCTTTTTTGACAGCTCTTAGATTCAAAACCTGGGCGCTCCTCTTCCGATTCACTTGGTACAGTCCCTTTTCGGAAAGGATTTTCTCCCCCCTCCCCGCCCCAAATTTACAACGGCGCCTTCTAGAGCCAACTTTACGCGCCCATTTTCCCTCCAATTTTCACCACTTCCAGGCAAAACAGCTCTCCTTTCTACAACTAACGGCACAATGCAAAAATAAAGCTTCCTTGAATGTCATTGGTTAAAGCCTTCTGAACGGGAAGCTATTTTATCCAATAAGAAGCAAGGCCCATTTATTGTTTCTGAGGGACGAAGAGCGGAAATTAAGGCGAATATAAGTGTCCCAGGATAATAATGCAGGATCCAATCTGTCTCAGTCACCGAACCTGTAAATTAGTCTACCATATCGAAGGTTAAAAACAATTCTGTATTAATTTTCCTCCTTCCATGGAAGATTTGGTCATATCCAAAACACTGTGCAGTAAAGCCAAATTAGTGAGGCTAAATAAAACAATTTTTTGTCTAAAACCAGAATAAAGGTGTGATGTCACATCAGAACAAATACCATTCCTTTTAAACCCATTATCTATCTCATTCAAAATCCCAAAGGTGCTTTTTCAAAAGGCATCTGGACTTTCTTTGTTTTCCTTGAAGACACTTCATTTGTCATCCAGGTCTGACTCAGAACTAAACAGACAATCATGATGTGAATGACTGAGAATCTCCATAAACATCTAATTCAAAATCATTTCACAAGTCCACTGTTAACCCTATACAAGGAAAGCATTTTTATCCCACATTCCTATCAAGCAAGATCTAGTCGTTTGAGTCATTCCCAAGAACAGAGGAAAATGTCTTACATCAGAGTTTGCACCATGAAAATTCTGGGACTTAAGTGTCTACATCTGGAAGTTGCAAAGGTTGAGATGCAAAAGTTTTATCACTTCAGTCAGCTGTATTATGTATTACTATTTGGATTTAGTAAACAAAAAGTGGCTTAGGCTTGGCTTAGCATAATTAATTCACTCATTATAGCTACAAACCAGGGTTTATGAATTAGTATCATTCAAAGCCAAGAAACTATGATTTATTCAATAAATCATAATTAAATATTGACTCATGGAATGCATAACCATAATCAGTTTCCAGTAGAAGTTCTCCAACAGTCACAGTCAGGATTTCCCCCCTCACCCCCCACCCCCGAGAAATTTAGGATCATATGTATTGTTCCACTCTGAGATACATTATTTTGTTCAAGATCCCTTTCTCACAATATACATGCAATCACCAAGCAGGCTATACCCAATACAGATATCTCTCCCTCTATCTCTATCTCTATCTCTATCTCTATCTCTATCTCTATCTCTATCATCTCTGTCTCTGTCTCTGTCTCTGTCTCTGTCTCTATCTCTATCTATCTATCTATCTATCTATCTATCTATCTATCTATCTATCTATCTATCTATCTATCTTTCTTTCTTTCTTTCTTTCTTTCTTCTTTCCTTTGATCCCTGCAGTTTTTCCCCTTGCCCAATACCCAATTTTCCTGCTTTCTTGTCCCATTCAATTCCCCCACCATGAACCCTCCCACTGAACAAATAATTAGAGGATACATTTTTTTTCTGCCCCACCTGAGTGTCTTGGAGGAGCTGAGTTCACAGAAAACCTCTTGGATTCCAGGTATGTAACTTTCTTTTCTAACAATAAGTTCTATCAAACAACTTTACCCAGCATTTGTAACTCTACACACCCGCCTCCTACATACATTTGACAGCATAGTCAAATGACCTCCTAGGGCAGTGTTTCTCAACCTTGGTAGCTTGAAGATGGGTGGACTTCAACTTCCAGAATCCCCCAGCCAGCAGCGCTGAAGTCCACCCATCTTCAAGCTACCAAAGTTGAGAAACACTGTCCTAGGCCTAAAAGAACCTGCTTCTATGCGTCCTCTTTAAAACTGCCCCCCACTTCTGCCACATAATAAATTCATGAGCTGCCAACATTATTCAGTGTTTTTAGTTTTCATTTTCTGCCGGAGCCTCTGTCTTCTCCTTCCATTTCCATTGTATGCTGCCCAGTTTGGGTAGAGCCCTCAGAAGGACTAATTTTGCAGGTGCGTCACATAAGCAGGATTTATTGAGATAACACTCTCTGGGGCTTGCAGACTGGGTTAAATTTCTGCCTTTCAGAACAGTGGAAATTCTGGAAGGGAGAGTTATAAATTCAGGAACAAAGTTGAAAGAGAGTGAGCGAGCACTGATTGGCTGGCATTCTCAGAATTTGGCCACTATAACTGAAGGGCCTACAAATTCAACATCATGGTATTTGTGGATGATGAGGGCATGTGCAAAAACTGGGTTTGGTTTTAGGATGCCAGGAATATTGTAATTTACAGAGGGAATTCACATCTATACAGCAGAGCAAAACATTCCAAGGAGGACAAAAGAATGCAATAGCTAGAGCTAACTTTTCCTTTTAAGTACGGTAGCTCCTAAATGAAATGCAGATTTTAAAACACTTTTGTAGGCCACTTTGTATGTCCTCCAAATTATAGACCCTAGCTTGTAATTATGAAATAAGAGCTGTGGTGGTGCAGTGGTTATAATGCAGTACTGCAGGCTAATTCAGCTGACTGCCAGCTTCCAGCAGTTGGGCAGTTTGAATCTCACGGGTTCAAGGTTGACTCAGCCTTCCATCCTTCCGAGATCAGTAAAATGAGGACCCAGGTTGTTGGAAATATGCTGACTCTGCTTAGAAAGGGATGTAAAGCACTGTGAAGCGATATATAAGTCTAAATTCTATTGCTATTACCATGAAATCATCCATTATGAATGGAAGTTGAGGCCTTAGTTACCTTTATTGAATGTTTTGTGGTTCTAATAGATACAAAGAAGACATTTACTTTGAAGGCCTCCATCCTTGAGGGTTGGTTCTGTTATCTTCTCAGGACTTTTTCTGAATTGAATGAGGTCCTCCTTGGTGGGTGAAATGCAGCTCTGATCCGGCGACGGTTTTGTCGTTTAGTAGAGTAGGTCTTCACCCTTCTACAATGGGGTTTTTGCTTTGCAAGGACGTTGTCCTTGTAGTAAGGGCTGACTTGCACTTTTACTGGAGGAGGAAGCCCTTTCTTTGAAGGCCTGCATCTTTTAGGAGCACTTTCGTCAAGAGAACTTTGAGCTGTCTTGAAAAAAGATGCAGCCGTGTTCTTGCAGTTTCTGCTGGATCTCCTTAAAACGGAAGCAGATCCCTGATTGGATTGGTGTGATTCTCGAAAAGCAGAATTACTTTTGCTACCAGCAGAACTTGATTTTTTAGCAGCAGAAAGGGCTCGTTGACAGAGATTTGGTGTTCTTTCAACAGATTTACTTTGGCTGGTGGATCGCCTTGATGACTTTTGTCCTGCTTTTATTTTCCGATGGGATCTCTTGGGCCTTCTTCTAATTTTTCCAGCCTTCCAGCTCAAACTCTTTGCTTCTTCGGCTTTTCCCTTTATCTTTTCAGAAGCACACATCCCTGCCTTCTTTATCCTTGCAGCTTTCTCCAAGTTTCTGGATATTTTGGTGATCTTTTCCTGGTACTTTCTGACTACAAAAAAACTTGAGCCATTGCCACATGTCATACGCACCAGGGCACCTTTAGACACCAAGGACTGTAGCTTCCTCTTAATTCTAGGATAGTGCCTCCTCACATCGTATCCCTTTGTACCGAGCACTTCCTTCAGCTCTGCAAAAGTGAGGCCATTGTGTGACTTACAGGATGCGATTGCTTCAATAATAAGCCCTGAGATGCTGGGCAGGGAATCAATGGATTTCCAAGGAATCAAGCTTTTCTTATTTTGCACTGAGTTTGCTACCATCAGGGTCTTTGTGGTGAAATTAGCAGTTTCTTTCTTTCTGTGACTGGACATCTTTCTTCTAGGAACTGGTGCCTGCATTCCTATAGGCATCATGTTCTCCTGGGTCATCATCTTTCTCATGGGACTTGTGCGTGCCTGCCTGCTGTTTCTCTGTGCCAAGCCTCTGCTGAGACAGAATCTTGTACTTGGTGTCTTAACTATATGTACAGCAAAATCTGACACAATGGAAATACTTCATCTGGCTTCTGTTCCTAGCAACCAATCACAATGCTTGCTTCTATCCTTGAGAACTCACCTTTCATAAACATTCCCTGCCCACCCTCACATTTTCATCCTATTCAAAAGTAGTTTAGACAGGGAAGCACTTTTCTACATGCCACTGTATGATAGCAGAAAGCCTTTCTTTTTTTGCAATAGCTTTTAGTTGATCACGTGAAGGAATGAAGAGCATGAAACTTTCCTGTTAATCATGGTGGGAGGGCTGCATAGGTCTCACTCACACCATAAGTAAAGACCCATCAGGCTACATTCTTTCAGCAGAAGCAGTGTTACACAAAGCACAGAAAAGGATCATAGTAAGACAAAGAAATTAAAAGTCTAAGGCAGGGGTGTCAAACTCTATTTCATTGAGGGCTGCATCAGGGTTGTGTTTGACCTCGGTGTGTGTGTGTGTGGGGGGGTGTAGCCAGGGTGGGCATGGCCAGTTCAAAGTCACTTGTGTTGGCGCCTATGGTGGCCTGAGCACTCTGCCAGTGAAAACGGCTTCCCAAGCTCAGCTTTCAGCTGCGACGGCCTCCTGCAACCCTCTGCCAGCGAAAACGGAGCTCGGGAGGGCCGTCCACGAACCTCGCGAGCTTTGTTTTCGCTGGCAGAGGCACCGTGGGCTGGTCCTTTGCTGTTTCCAGGGTGGCCCCGCGGGCCAGATCTAAGAACCCTGTGGGCCGGATCCGGCCCCCGGGCCTTGAGTTTGACACCCCTGGTCTAAGGCAAAGAAAGGAAACATAGCTAAAACCAGTTTGTGGTTTGTGCCTTCAATTTAGTCTTGATTGCTGGTGACTGCCTGGGCCAGTCCCTGCAGTTTTCTTGCCAAGATTTCTGGAAGTGGCTTATCCTGTTATCTGTAGTCTCCTGTTTCCTAGGGCTAAGAGAAGACCGGCCCAAGATCACCAAGCTGGGTTCATGCCTAAGGCTTGACTAAAACTCACAGGTCTCCTGGTTTCTCATCTGGTGCCATAACCACTACTAGACCAAACTGACTCTCTAAAACCAGTTTATCCGAACACAATTCATGATACTTCTCCATATCTTTTTATTCTTGTAAACCATCCTTGCTTCTCCCCTGTGGATATGTGAATTCATTCCTTGTCCTTAAAAAAACCCCACCTTCTCAACTCTCTTCCTGAGGATCTCATCAGTTCTGTCTTTACCTTCGCCATCCTTCAGATGCATTTTTTCTTCCTCATATGTTTTTAGAATAGAATAGAATTCTTTATTGGCCAAGTGTGATTGGACACACAAGGAATTTGTCTTTGGTGTATATGCTCTCAGTGTACATAAGGAGAATAAAATACATTCATCAAGAATAAAAAGATACAACACTTAGTGATAGTCAAGGTTACTAATAAGCTATCAAAATGTACTAGGAAACAAGTAAAAACAATATAAATTGAAAGATACAAGCAACATGGTTATAGTAATAAGTGGGAAGAGATAGATACTAGTAAGGAAGAGAAGAATAATAGTAATACAGTCTTAATAAAATATTTGACAGTGTTGTGGGAATTAGTTTTTAAGCAGAGTGATGGCATTCGGCAAAAAACTGTCCTTGTGTCTAGTTGTTTTGGTAGCGTCTTTTTGAGGGTAGAAGTTGAAACAGTTTATGTCCAGGATGTGAGGGGTCTGTAGATATTTTCACAGCCCTTTTTTAGACTCGTGCAGTATACAGGTCCTCAATGGAAGGCAGTTTGGTAGTAATTGTTTTTTTTCTGCAGTTCTAATTATCTTCTGAAGTCTGTGTCTGTCTTGTTTGGTTGCAGAGCCAAACCAGACAGTTATAGAGGTGCAGATGACCGTCTCAATAATTCCTCTGTAAAACTGTATCAGCAGCTCTTTGGGCAGTTTGAGCTTTCTGAGTTTGTGCAATGTTTTTATTCAGTGTTTTTATATGTTTTTATTCTCACTATATGACCTCAACCTAATTAATTTGTACTGATTACTCACTTTTGTATTCAATTCATTCAGTTGGCTTAACGTGGTTGCCAAAGTATCCTATTTTCTGGATAATACATTCAACAATAAACTTGGCTGCATAGGCTGAAGTCATGCAAGCCAATGAAGAAAAAGCTGAGAAAACTAAGAGTAATGAAGTAAAAGTAACCAGGTTTAGCATGGTGTATCACTATAAGAGCTGGATTTTAATTGTCCGAATTACCAGTAGGTGAATTACATAAACCCAGGATCCCTGTAGAAGAACAAAATATGGATACCTGAGTAGTGGACAAAATCCTAATATTGTTATTCATGCAGATGATCTCATTTTGATCAGCCAAATAGAATGGTGATGATAAAGATTAAATGTTAAGTTAAAATACCGGAACAGGCTCATGAATTTCAGAAGAATTCTTTGTATTTAAGAATACTGATATTAGAAGTGAGGAACCTGTGAATCCCCAGCTGTTATTCTAAACAACAGTCCCTAACACCTTTCACAGTTGGCAATGCTGTTGGGAATTGTAGTTTAATGAACATTTGGAGGGCCATAGATTTTCTATGCTTGATATATGTCATCATAATGTGTCTTTGTCACAAGATTTTGTAAGGCAGGGGTGTCAAACTCAAGGCCTGGGGGCCGGATCCGACTCGCTGGGTGTTTAGACGTGGCCCGCAGGGCTACCCTGGAAACAGCAAAGGTGCAGCCTTCCCAAGCGTTGTTTTCATTGGCAGAGGCTGTTGCAGCCAAAAATGCAGCTCGGGAGGGTTGTGTGTGGCCCTCCCAAACTCTGTTTTCTGTGGGGGAGGGTTGCAGGAGGCCGTCGCACCTGAAAACGGAGTTTGGGAGCCCATTTTTGCTGGCAGAGCACTCGGGCCAGCACAGGCGCCCCCGACAAGAATAATGTCAAGCCGGCCATGCCCACCCTGGCCACACCCACTCTGGCCCCCAAGGTCAAACACAATCCTGATTCGGCCCTCAATGAAATAAAGTTTGACACCCCTGCTGTAAGGAATCAGCTGAACTTTAGAAACACCGCAAAATACTGAGTTTAGCTGGCCATTATCTATATCAATAGCCAAAGAACAGATACCATATTAAGATTCTACCAACTATCAATTCATTTGTTAACTTCATTTTCCCCCCAAAATTTCATTCAATTGTGTTCAAAATTTTATTCAATTATTCAATTTTGCCAATTCTAGCAAAATTTCAGAAACCGTGAGACTGGTCCTGCCTTAGGAACAAAGCCAGTTGGGTGACCTTGGGCCAGTCCCTCTCTCTCAGCCCTAGGAAAGAGGCAATGTAAAACCATTTATGAAATCTTGCCGTGAAAACTCCAGGGACTTATATACGCATATGCACAACCCAATCAGGTTTCCTTGCTTAGACAATAAGAAGTTACTGTTCCAAACACAAATATGGCAAACATAAAGCTATATTTTTGCTACCTGTACTTCAGCAGTGTGTTTGCTGTTATCTGGATAGAGGGGTTGACTGGAACTGTGCTAAGTGCAAACTAATCTGGAAATTACACAATTCACACGGTAATTTTATAACATAGTTGAGGCTGCAAAGTGACACAAACTACCTTGTCAAGGTAAATTAGGTTCTGTCTTTATCTCACTAAGGAATATCACTTTGGTTGTGGAGAATACCAAGCTTCTGTAAGGGGAATCAAAGTTACTCTGCATATGTTTAGGCTCATTTCCAGACTTATGAGGATAATGAAATGTTTTGATAGCCGTGGGTGATGACTTGAGTCAAGAGTCACACAAAACTAGTAAAGATCTAGATAGAAGCTTGCTTGTTTTTGGAGGGTAATAACCATAAATTGGAAGCAAATCATATTTAAATAATGAAAGTAATAAAATTGAGACTTTATTAGCAGTACACATACAATTCCTTTTGTCCAATTGATTAAACAGATTTGGTATATTACTGGGACGACCTTCAATGTGGCCTTGCCATAATTCCCTTCAAGAAACTTTTATGTCTCTAAGGGGAAAAGGATGCAATATTGTTTATGCAAAGGAGTGTAAAGTGTATGGCAACAAACCCTTCTAAAGTTTGGAATTTAAATGCTGTTGGCAGTTTGGGGATGGGGAGGGACATATGATACAGGTAGTCCTCGACTTATGAGCACAATTGAGCCCCAAATTTCTGTTGTTAAGCGAGACAGTTGTTAAGTGAGTTTTGCCTGATTTTTATGGCCTTTCTAGTCACAGTTGTTAAGTGAATCACTGCAGTTGTTAAGTTAGTAACACAGTTGTTAAGTGAGTCTGGCTTCCCCACTGATTTTGCTTCTCAGAAGGTCACAAAAGCTGATCACATGACCCTGGGCACTGCAACGGTCATAAATATGAGGCTGTTGTCAAGTGACTGTTTTTTGATCACGTGAATGGTGCAAGTCGTAAGTGTGAAAAACATCCATAAGTTATATTTTTGCAGTGCTGTTGTAACTTCAGTCATTAAACCAACTGTTGTAAATTGAGGATTACCTGTATATGATTATTCTCCCAAAGCCAGAGATTATTAAATGCTTGAACAGGCATTGCAAAGGTTGTGTAGAGAGAAGTCCCTTGTTTTAATCAAGAATTGTAACTCCTTAAAGATTTGTGAGTGAAACACCTCCCCCTAAATAGTAAAAGGGTACAACTTCCTCCCTATTGAAATTGGCCTTGACGGTAGTGACTTCACCATTCAGGTTAAAAATTACTTTCCCCCCATTGTAATCCAAAAAGACAATAATCTTTCCAGAGCTGTTGTGAGGCTTGTCAGAATCCAGTCCCCGAAGCCACCAGAGACCTCTTTGCCAAATCCGTTCTTCGGGAACAAGTCTGAGATTTCGTTTTCTCTCCACAGACTTCCCGGCTATCCCAACAGCCCATTCCCTTTGTGTCCCATACTTCACTTCAAAGAAATGTTTCCCTGATTGGAATCCAGGAGACCCCAGTACACAGGGGCTGCTATTGAATCTCTCTGGATTGTCTGGCACAACTTGGGGGACACCCACATTTTCCACTGTCTTCTTGTCTGACGACACAACCAGTGATTCAAATGCTGTGTTTGAGTCAAACGTCACATCAGCTGCAAGAAGAAAGATAGTACATCAGAAGCCAAATCAAATTCTAGGTGAGTAACATCACTAAAAATGTCATTATCTGTAGGGAATTGGAGAATGACATCGGAAGCACACTGCTTCTGTTTCTGGTGTCATTGTATGGATGATCCTGGATGATCTCATTCCTGGATGATCTCATACTTGCTCTGCCCTGTGTTATCTGACCTTCTTCTGAGTGGAGGAAGAGGGAGGAGGATTGTCCAATTAGAACCCTGTTGCTGTCCTACCTTTTATCTGCCTGTGTAAAACTGTATAAAAATAAAAGCTCTCGGAGAGACATCTGGAGAGACATCTTGGAACAGAGCAAAAGCCTGGACCTCTGATTTACAACAATTATCCACCCACCCAGTGGTGAAATGTAAGATTTGTTACTTCCGGTTCTGTGGGTGTGGCTTGGTGGGGGGGTAATGTGACAGGGTGGGCATGGCCAACTTTTTTTTTTTTTACTTTTAAAAGCATTTTTTTCTGTAACAAAAATGCTTATAAAAGGCTCTGACGATCCCAGCTGAGTTGCCTGATCATCAGAGCCTTTTAAAAGCATTTTTTCTACAACCTCTAAGAGATTGTAAAAAAAATGCTTTTAAAAGGCTCTGATGATCCCAGCTGAGCCGCGCGATCATCAGAGGCTTTTTTTTTTTAATTTTTAAAATCATTTTTTCTTTCTTTTTTTTTAACGTTTTTTATTTTTATTTCTCATAAACAGATTTACATGTACAGTCGTTTTCACCATTTTTCATTCATCTTTTCTTTTAACTTTCATTTTTCATTTTTACTTTTTTGGGGCTGCTTTTTTACCCTTTATCTTTACTCCAAACTTTCTTCTTCTCCTCCCCTTCTCTTCCTTCCTGTTTCTCCTCCTACTTCCTTCATCCTTCCTTTCTTTCTCTTTCCTACTTCCCTTTCTCTTCCCCCACTTCTCTCTTCTTCCCCTTTTCTAATCTTCTCCTCTGCTCCTCTTTCCCCTCCCTTTTCTTCCTCTCATTTTCCCTTTCTTCTTTCTCCTCTCCTCTCTTCTCCCTTCCTCTCTCTCTACTCCTTCCCCTCTCTCCTGTTGTTTCCCTTTTCAATTCAATCTAAACTGGTATTTGAGCAGCCCCGATTTTCTAATTATTTTTATTCTCATTTCAATTTCTTATTCAATTATTAATTTTTATGTCATCATTTGCATACATTTTTATAATATCTCACTTTTTTCCCTTTTACCCCCCCTTCTCCTTTTACTTGACATCATCTGGGTATCTATTTTTTTCTAATTGTTTTCTCCCATCTATTCTCTATCTATTTTATCTCTATGTTCTTATTCATATTTCTTTTCTAATCATCATAACAATCATAAAATTTATCCCATGTCTTGAAATACATCTCCTCTTTATCTTTTATTTTCAATGTTAATCTATTCATTTCTGCACATTCTAAAATTTTCTTTATAATTTCTCCTTCCAGTGGGATTTTATCTGCTTTCCAGTTTTGTGCAAATACAATTCTAGCCACTGTTATTATATGAATAATCAAATATGTATCTTCTTTATTATAAGTCTCTGGTAAAATTCCCAATAAGAATATCTCTGATTTTAACTCTATTTGTTGCTGCAACATTCCCTCTAATCATGTTTGTATTTTCACTCAATATTTTTTTGCTTCTTTAGACAACCACCACATATGATAGTATGATCCCGGCAACTGGTGACATTTCTAACACTTAGCTGATTTATCTTTAAACATCTTAGCTAATCTTTCTGGTGGCATATGCCATCTATAAAACATCTTATACAAGTTTTCTTTATAGGCTGTTGTTAATTTATAGTTTCTTTCCCAAAGTTGTTGCCATTTCTCCAATTCTATGGTGTATCCAAAATTCTTTGCCCATGCTATCATTGTTTCTTTTACTTCTTCATCCTCTAGTCTAATACGCAATAAATAATTATATAATTTCTTAATCATTTTCTCATCTGTTTTGTCAATATTTCATCCAGTTCTGATTTCTCCAAGTTAAAGCCATATTGTCTACGATCTGCTTCATATCTTGATTGTATTTACAGTCTTGTATACCAATCTATCTCAATCCCTTGACTCTCTAGTTCTTGTTTTTGTTTCAGTTCTCCCAGATCTGTCAAAATGTCTTTATATCTAACAATAATCCCCATGTTCACAATATTTGGGTATGTCACTGCTTCTATTGTAGAAAGCCACATTGGAATATTCGAATAATGTTTTTCTTTCACTCTCTCCCACACTGATAACAAACCATTTCTTATATAATGTCTTTGGAAATATCCATGTATCAGGGATGAAATGCTCCCAGTTCAGACCGGATCACCCGATCCGGTAGTGATGGAGGCGGGTGGTTCGGAGAACCAGTAGCAAAAATCCCTGCTCCCCCCCCATGCCCAGCTGAGCCGCGGGATCATCAGAGGCTTTTTTTTTAATTTTTAAAAGCATTTTTTATACAACCTCTGGCAGAAAAAAATGCTTTTAAAAGTTAAAAAAAAAGCCTCTGATGATCGCACGGCTCAGCTGGGATCGTCAGAGGCTTTTAAAAACATTTTTTCTACAACCTCTTCGGCTGAAGAGGTTGTAAAAACAAATTCTTTTAAAAGCCTCTGACGATCCCAGCTGTGTTGCCTGATCAGCAGAGGCTTTTAAAAGTCTTTGCTGATCAGGCAAATTAGCTGGGATCGTCAGAGCCTTTTAAAAGCATTTTTTTAAACCTCTTCACCGAAGAGGTTGTAGAAAAAATGGTTTTAAAAGTTTTTTTAAAAAAAGAGTTGGCCCACCCAGTCACATTACCCCCTCACCAAGCCACGCCCACAGAACCAGTAGTAACAAATTTTAGATTTCCCCACTGCCATGTATCCTTTGTTTCCCGTACCATAAAAAGGCATACCAACCCAGTTGTAAATCACGACCCTCCAATGTCAATAGTCTTGTATTCCTTAATAAAATCCATTCTTTAATCCATTTTAATGCTGCCGCTTGATAATACAATTCCCAATTCAGAAGGCCAAACCCACCTCTAATTCTTGCATCTTGTAGCATTTTTATGTTGATCCTTGCTCTCTTTCCTTGCCACACATATTTCCACGTTATTTTCTTCAACTCTTCAAAATATTTTTTCTCCAGTTTTATTGGTATAGTTTGAAATAAAAATAATATTTTTGGTAATACATTCATTTTTATTAATGCTATTCTTCCCATTAGTGATAATTGCAAGTTTTTCCATTTCTCCAGGTCTATTTCAATTTGTTTTTTCAGTTTCTGATAATTGTCTTCCTTGAGCGTTGTACATCTTGATGTCAGATAGATGCCCAAATATTTCATTTTCTTCACAATTTGGATGTCCAGTTTCTTCATCATCTCCTCCTTTTGCTTTTCTCTCATATTTTTAACTAGTATTTTTGTCTTATCTTTATTGATTTTCAGACTTGCTACTTTCCCATATTCTTCTATTTGCTCTTATAGTTTTGGCACTGTCTCTATTGGGTCTTCCATGATAAACATCGAATCATCCGCAAATGCTTGTAGTTTATATTCTTCTTTTTTGATTCTCATTCCTTTTATTTCCTTTTCATGTCTCACTTTTCTATTTAAAATCTCTAATGTCAATATAAATAATAATGGAGATAAAGGGCATCCTTGTCTTGTTCCTTTTCTAATATCTATTTTCTCTGTCATTTCACCATTTACCATCACCTTTGCCGCTTGGTCTCTATATATAGTTTGGATCATATTTATAAATCTGTCTCCAAAATCCATCATTTTCAACTGTTTTATCATAAATTGCCAATTCACATTGTCAAACGCCTTTTGTGCATCTAAAAATAACAACACTATTTGTTTCTCTGAGTGTAATTCATAATATTCTAATGTGTTTAATATAGTTTGTATATTATCTCTAATTTGTCTTTTTGGTAAGAAGCCATTTTGGTCCAAATGTATAAACTCGTTTAATAATTTTTGAAATCTTTCAGCCATAATTGATGCAAAAATCTTATAATCCGCATTTAATAAAGATTTCGGTCTATAATTCTTTATCTGTTACAGATCTGTCTCTTCTTTTGGTATTAAAGTTATATATGCCTCCATTTTCTTCAGCCAAAAAGGTTTTAGAAAAAATGCTTTTAAAAGTAAAAAAAAAAAAAAAAGCCTCTGATGATTGCGCGGCTCAGCTGGGCATGGGCGGGGGGGGGGGCAGGGATTTTTGCTACCGGTTCTCCGAACCACCTGCTGCCATCGCTACCGGATAGGGAGTTCCGATCCAAACCAGGAGCATTTCACCCCTGTACCCACCCCAAATTAGAGGGCCAAGAAAGGCCACAAAATATCTCAGCTTCATTTCCCACTTTTCTCCTCAAAACTCACATTTATGAATAATGTATGTACAGCAGAGGTGGATTCTACTTACCTTTACTACCGGTTCGCAATGGGGCTGCGCATGCGCAGAAGCTTCCTGATGACGTCTGGGTCAATGGGCGGAGCCTCCCGCCGGTTTTACTACCAGTTCTTGCGAATCGGTCAGAACCGGGGGCAACCCACCAATGAGGTACAGTATGTAATGTATAATATTGTATGTTTAGGCACATATACACACATGTATGTGTGATATGAGCTGTGGTGGCGCAGTGGGTAGTGGAGTATTGTAGGCAAATTCTGCTCACAGCCTGGAGTTCGATTCTTACTGGTTCAAGATTGACTCAGGCTTCCATCCCTCTGAGGTCGGTAAAATGAGGACCCAGATGGTTGGAGGCAATCTGCTGACTCTGTAATTACTTACAGAGTAGTGTAAAGCGGTATATAAGTCTAAGTGTTATTGCTATTGCTATGACACAACAAATGCTGTGAGCCTCAGTTCTCCAATATGGCTCATTTTTACCACTACCCTCTTTTTGCAAGTAATTGATTACAGGCAGTTAGTTTTCAAGAATCATTGTCAAAAAGGCTTCTGGCACTCAAAAAGGAGACCTGGGCTGCCCACAGTTCTGGGGTCACTGTTGCACTGTTTCTTGTATTCTGCTAGCCCATTTAAGAAACTATTCTGCACACCAACTAGCAGAGGTTGAGAAACACTGCTCTAAGATGACAAAGCCTAGCAGATCTTATACCTCTCAAGGCCACGGTTGACTCTATTTATTTATTATTAGACTTCTATGCTACCCATCTCAAAAAGGTGACTCTAGGCAGCTTAGGTTGTCAGAATAAAGGAAAATGCCAGCACAACTCAAGTGGACTTAAGGTTGTCTCTTTTTTAGATTACTGGGAGTGAAAGCAAAATCACAGGAATACAGTACAAAAAAATGTTTCTGGGACAGGTTTGCACTATAGTGAGGTGCAAGCCGGGAAAGCCAATATTTGTTGTTTAAATTTTACATGACTCTGTTCTCTTTTCCCTTCAGAATAGATTTATTTATTTGATTTCTATAGCCGTCTCAACAAGAGACTCTGATGTTAGGAGTATTCTTGTTGGTCCATACGAAGGAGGCCAGGAAATATCTAGCAACCCAAACTTAATTGCAATGAGATTGTCTGGCATTATTGTTCACCTGACCCAACTGATCTTGGGGAAGGACACCTACCTTTCTTCTCATCCAAGATGCTTTAAATTTCAGCAATATTTACCCTTTTCCCCCTCTTGCCAATCTTATTTAACTCATCTCTTACCTTTGTTCCATCTTCCAGGGGGTGAAGCCAGAGCCTTTCCACCATTTTCCTGATCAGCAAAAAGGCATAGTGTGAACAGGAGCATGCAACAGAGTCCTAAACATGGACAGAACCCAAAAGCAAGAATAGGTAAGGCATTGTTTATACTGTCTTATAGATGATAACATTTGCTTTACAGAAAAACTGGGCATAATTTAGGACTTGCTGTCATGTGTACCGTATAGATAGTCCTCAACTTACAATGGATTCCAAAACAGCTACTTACTACCTGGATTTGAAGTACCAACATCTGGATCCACCCCATCCTGTGGGCCAGATCCACAACTCTGCCCATGGTCATATGAGTGCATTTTGATGACCTTTTGCTATGACCCGTCATCACGTGACCACAATTTATGGCATTTTTAACAAAAATCAACATATACTTCCAGCTCCTGGCAAAAAAGTCTCCATAACAAACAATGGGTTTGCTTAACAACTGTGGCATTTAGTTTAGTTTAGTTTAGTTTATTTGATTTGTATACCGCCCTACTCCCGAAGGACTCAGGGCGGTGAACAGCCAAGCAATAAAATACATAAATACACAAAATTTAAAAACCAGATAAAATCAAATTAAATCATTTTGGCCCGGACAGATGAAAACACCCCAATAATTTAAAAACAGATTAAAATTTACATATTAAAAGAGGGAGGAGATTAGGCCAAGCCCGCTTGATGGAATAAAAAGGTCTTCACAGCGCGGCGGAAGGTGCGCAGATCCGGGATCCTCCGTATCTCTGGGGGGAGCTCATTCCAGATGGTAGGTGACCCCACAGAGAAGGCTCTCCCCCTAGGGGCCGCCAGACGACACTGTTTGGCTGACGGCACCCAGAGGAGTCCCTCTCTATGAGAGCGTACTGGCCGGTGGGAGGCTATTGGTGGTAGTAGGCAGTCCCGTAAATAACCAGGTCCTAAGCCATGGAGCGTTTTAAAGGTGGTAACCAAAACCTTGATTTGCTTAACAACCATGGTGTTCTTTTTACAATCACTACGTAAGCCTTATGATTGCTACAAAAAAGGTAAGAAAATCGGGTGTAGTCACATGATGACCCGTTTAATGACCGTCATGACTTACAACTGAAATTGTGGGTTCAATTATGGACATAGGTCAAGAGCCGTGGTGGTGCAGTGTTTAGAATACAGCATTGCAGGTTAGTTCTGCTGACTGCCAGCAGTTCAATTCTCACCGGCTCGTGGCTGACTCAACCTTCCATCCTTCTGAGGTCGGTAAAATGAGAACTCTGATAGTTGGGGAAAATATACTGACTCTGTAAATACTTAAGAGAGGGCTGTAAAGCACTGTGAAGCAGTATATAAGTCTGTGCTATTGCTTATACTTAAAATGTCTTGCAGGTCTTGGGAATGTTCTAACTTCTGTTTCTTGGTTAGTATATATAATATATATATTACAATATATAATAAATATATTATTCTGTTTCATTTGTTTGGAGGAGATATTTAGAGAAGACTGACTGATAAATGCACAATGGAATGTATTTCCTTTTCCCTTCTAAGATAAATCTGTCTCTTCCAGCAATCTATAACAATCATAAGCCGAGGTGGCGCAGTGGTTAGAGTGCAGTACTGCAGCTACTTCAGCTGACTGCTAGTTCAGCGGATCAAATCTCACCGGCTCAAGGTTGACTCAGCCTTCCATCCTTCCGAGGTGGGTAAAATGAGAACCCAGATTGTTGGGGGCAATATGCTATTTAGTATACTGTCTTTGGTGTAAGCCGCGCAGAGTCCTCGGAGAATGGGCGACATAGAAATATGACTAATAATAATAATAATAATCACGCCTTTGTCAATACATGAACAAAACATGACAAAAACCATATAGTTACTGTATATACTATGGCTCAGTGATGACCAAAGCAGAAGAAAATGTTTTGCAACATATGAAGGCATTATCTTTATATTTTTATCCCATGTTTTAAAAAATATATAACTGAAGGCACCAAACATACCTAACGGAAGAGGAGTGTTTGATCACACTGGGGAAAAGTGTGCACCATATGATCAAAGGGGACACTGGAGTTGCCAGTGGAGTTTGCACAAAAGAGAGCTGAACGTGTTGAAAGACCAAAAGCAAACCACAATCACAGGATTTTTTTTCCCCTTTTACCTGTGAGCTTCCGCAGGATTTTCTTTGCTTGTAGGAAGTTCAAACTAAATTGGAAGCCAGCAGAAAGAGACATGACCATTATAAACTCTTGTTCCCTACAGAAGGAATAGAGAAAATGAGTAAATAGTTAAATGGATTTAAAACTTAGTTCAAGTGAATCCAGAGAATGACATACAATGTCATCATTTTTTTTATTCTGAAGTTTTGCTGTGAGTGATCAGACACAGTTCGTTCTCAGATTTGGCAGATGACCAATAAATAATATTGTGAAGACTTCTGTGAACTACAAAAGGATTAAAATCCAAAACTGCCCTTCTGTTTTTCAATGAGTTGGTTGAACACTCAACCAACATTTCAAGAAGGATTGCAGCACAGGTTTTCACAGAAGGACATGCAAAGGGTTGCACAATTCCACACGACAGGTTCCAAAAAAACCTTGTGTAACAGTTTATGAAGTCTCCTGCTAGAATTTTATCTGCTTGAGTGCAGGCAGTCCCCCATTTAAGAACGTCTGACTTTTAAAGACAACCTTTGGATATTAATGGGCTTGCCTGTTTCAAAATGGCAGACGACCGACTTATTACAGTACTTAAAATGGCAGATGACTGACTGGTAACATGAACTCACATAAAATGGCAGATGACATTCTCCTTCCTTGAGCCCACAAACCAATGAACCAATGCAATGCTTTCAGGAGCGTCATAAAGTAGTGTGTGTATTTTTTTAGTACCATATATAGCCTGTTTTCTATGGTTTGTGGAAGCATAGTGCAGCTTCCGCAGTTTGATAGGTCTTGGAAGACGAATGTCTTTTGCCACTTTAAGTTGGATAGCTTTGAGTTCAGGATGGTGAGAGATTGAATTCCAGTGGGTTCTCTTTGGATTGGGTTTTCCTTGCTAGAAGTCTGTTTCCTACATAACTTAGTTTTAAGGTGTAAAACAAAGTAATAAGTTTAAACTTAAAAAAGCAGCTTTATTGTTGTTTAGCTCTGTGGTTTTATAAATTCTAATTAGCATTTCCTCATTTCTCCACCTTTTTAGGGGAAAGTAATGAATATGCCAATAGGAAATAGGAAAACAATAGGGGGAAAATTGGCATTGTTCAGAGTTTATTTTAATCACTCAAAATTTAAGCCACAACTTGTGACTACCAGTCCCAAGTTCCCAATTCCACTATCCCAACTTGTTGATGAGTACTGCTTCTACAGATAGTTCTCAACTTATAACCATAATTGGAATCGAAATTTCAGTCACTAAGTAAATGCAGTTGCTAAGCAAATCATGTGACTGAACCCATTTTATGATCAATTTTACTGTGGTCATTAATAGCAATAGGAATAGCACTTAGACCTATATACCATTTCACAGTGTTTTACAGTCCTCTCTAAGCGGTTTACAGAGTTAGCATATTGTCCCCAACAACCTGGGTCCTCATTTTACTGACCTTGGAAGGATGGAAGGATGAGTCAACCTTCAGCGAGTGACAATCAAACTGCTGGCAGCCGGCAGACATCAGAAGTAGCCTGCAGTACTGCATTCTAACCACTGTGCCACCACGGCTCTTAAATAAACCTCCTCATTTGTCAAGCAAATTACGTGGTCATTAAATGAATCACATGTTCATTAAGCAAATCTGGCTTCCCCAATCGATTTTGCTTGTCTGAAGCTGGCTGAGAAGATTGCAAATCATAGTCATGTGATTGCAAGACATAGCAACCTCTTAAATGCAAGCTGGTTGCCAAATGCCCAAATTCTAATCACATGAACACAGGAGTGGTATGACAGTCATAACTTCAACTTCATAAGTCACTTTTTTTTAGTGCCAGCATAACTTTAAGCAAACGATCATAAGCTGAGGTCTACCTTTATTCAAATTTTCTCTTGAATAATTTTTCCTTAGGAAGATAAGACAAAACTTTTGTGCAGGATTATGCCTGAAAATGATCTGGCATCTACACACCAACAGCTGAAGCAATTAGTCGCCAATCTCTACAAGGTTCACTTCACAAACGAATAGTTGAGCTGATGGGCAAATGAATAATGCTCCAGCCTTTTTCTTCAATCGTTTCTCTAGGATGGATGTCTCCGAACTTGGCAACTTTAAGACTTGTGGACTTCAACTCCCAGAATTCCCCAGGGAGTTGGCTAGGTGGGGGAATTCTGGGAGTTGAAGTCCACAAGTCTTAAAGTTGCCGAGTTTGGAGACCCTTGCTCTAGGAATTAACAAGGTAAAAGGCATAAATGCTCCCAGTTTACTTCAAAAATTTAAATTGTAATAAAATGCAGAGCTTTGTGTGTCAACAGCCGCAAAAAGCTATTTGAGCCCTTGGGAAATAAACGATCCTTTCCACATTCTATCTCCAGTCGAAGCTATTATGGGATTCACAAGCAATGGTAAGTAATCAGCATTTCTGGAAGAAAGCTGTATTGTAAGATCTTACCTTCTTTTCTCTTATGAGTCCTGGAAACTCTGTCTTCTTTGGATCGAATGATGTCAGCCCTTTCACTGAAGTCTCTTAAATACTCTCTCTGTCAAGGATATAGTTTCCTGTTCCTCCTTTTTTCAAACCAAGCCATGCAGCCTGTTCTTCAGCATTTTTGAACTGGGCATGCTGTATAGGAGGAAGAGGGGACCAGAGAGGTTGGCAGTTTGATCAGAGGTCTTAGATGATGCAATTCCAGGAGATGTTTCATGCTCACGTCAGGTTTCATAATCTTGAACACAGTTTAGCTGTTTAAGTATCTCACAGCAAAAATTAGTCTTTAAAGGTCAGAGCACTCTGAACTCTTAATTCTTAAAGTTCTCTGGCTTTTAAAGACTAATACTTTTTTTTTTTTTTGCTTTAAGAGGCCCTAAAGATCTTACTTGTTTTTATCTTAAATAACAGAAGGTAGTTCATTCAGCTAGTCTAGTACCTAATGATAGTATTTTTGCATATTCCGCATTTCTATGCTGGCTGTCTGGATGCCTTTAGAAGATAAAATATTAAGATTTAAGATATTTCATCTATATCGAATAGTATCTATCTATCTATCTATCTATCTATCTATCTATCTATCTATCTATCTATCTATCTATCTATCTATATCTATCATCTCTCTCTCTCCCTCCCTCCCTCCCTCTCTATCTATCATATCTATCTGTCTATCTATCTATCTATCTATCTATCTATCTATCTATCTATCTATCATCTCTCCCTCCCTCCCTCCCTCCCTCCCTATCTATCATATCTATCTGTCTGTCTGTCTATCTATCTATCTATCTATCTATCTATCTATCTATCTATCTATCTATCTATCTATCTATCTATCTAATGTATCTATCATCTATCTATCTATCTATCTATCTATCTATCTATCTATCTATCTATCTATCTATCTATCTATCCATCCATCCATCCATCCATCCATCTATCATTGTTCTCCAACCTAGTGTTCTCAATCTATATTAGATAATATCTCCCATTTTTTTTTCAACCAAACCAATTGTCCACAATGACTGAGGTTGATGGGAGGAACGTAACAAAGTGGTGATTTAAGTGTTCTAAGTTATAGTTTCTACGTTCATTGGCTGCTTTTAACTTTTTCCCACTTGTTTTCAAATGAGTTTTCTTTAACTTAGACTTCTCCAGCTGCTGCTCACTATGTTGGGCTGCATCTGCAGAACAACTGGTTGAAACGTGGAATTTTGGGATCTGAAGTCCCAACACATCTGGAAACAACCAGCTTGGGAAAGATTGTTGCTTACATACAGGCATATAACTCCAATTCAACTAGCTCAAGGAAAATTGTTGGCGACTTAACTGGATCCTCAACTTTTAAGTAAAGTATTACTTAATACTTTACTTAAAAGTGGTTTGCTAGATATCGTTGAGGCTTCGTCAATAATCAAACATATTTTTAGGTTTTTTTCAACAGTTTTAGTAAATAATTGTTTTCTAATGTCTTTTGCAATGAAATCAATTATTTTCACTGCACTTTTACGTGAATGCAATCCTATTCCCAGATCTACTCCATTTTTAATTTGAGATTCTATGTCACTTTCTATATCAGAAAACGGTCTGCAGTTTTGTGCCAGATTGTAAACTATATTGAATTCTCAACTACCTAGTACTACCTAAATTCTTTTCTGTCATCTTGTCCAGTCCTTTGCACCCTGCTCACACTGCTTCAACTTCTCTTGCAAAAGATGTAAGCTTTGGATAAGAAGTGCTCTTTCATCTTTTTCCCAATAGAGGCCTGTTGCACCTCTTTACTTTTCCCAGCAGCCTCTATTTCGAAATGTTTCCACTCCTTAGCTATGTGAACGCTTTTTTTCTGATGCTCTAATGTCAAATTTTTCACAATACTTGCAACCTATTTTTTTTTAAAAAAAACTGCCAATCTGTCGTATTTCTCCCTAAAGTTGGTGTATTGCTGCAATGTCCAGCAGTCAGGGAGATTATTTGCAATGTCCGAGTTATCGGAAGTAGTTGCTGTGCTCGTGCTGCTTTCGGAAGTAGTTGCTGTGCTCATGCTGCTTTCTCCAAGTTGGTGTGCTTGAGGTGGTTGTGACTCTGTTGGATCTTCCACTCTTGTTTTCTTTCCAAAATAAGAGGTCAAACTCTGTTGTCTTTTCATCCTGTTAGTGTTAGGCTACTGCAAAACAAACAAACAAACAAAAAAACCCAATGATGTAGTTTGGACTCGACTGTGGTTGTAAGTTGAGGACTACAGGTAACGGAAGGGATCCGATCTGTTTTCACCCAACATTGTACAGTCTGTTTTCATCCATTGCTGTGGACAATTTGTAATGTACAAATACAAATTGTCTGAAATGGTATAGCAGGGTTTCCCACCTGAGCAGGAGGTTGGACTAAGATGGTCCCTTCCAACTCTGGGTCTACTGCTGGGTGCATCCCTTGGGTCTTCTAGTCCAACTCCCTGTCCAGTTTCTTCTTGAAACCCTCCACTGATGGAGCACTTTCCACTGATTACAGGTAGTTCTCAGTTTATGATCCCATTGGATTATTGTTTGATACCTCAGAATTATTAACTTTGGTGGGTTGGCGCTGCCGGCGGGCACAGGGCTTTTCGTGGGTAAGCTAGCTGTGCGAGGCTGGGGATGGAGGGGGGGGAAGTAGGTAGCTAGCTCATGTGTGCCACATGCTCCACGGCAGTGGGAGCTGCTGCCGGCGGGCCCGGGGCTTTTCGTGGCTTAGTTACCTACGCGAGGTTGATGTTGGAGGAGGGGTACTAGCTAGGCAAGGCCAGGGATGTGGGGGGGGGGGCAGCACAGCGGCGGCAGGCTAGGCCGGCCCGGGAGTCAAATCGACCGGGGCTTGCAGGCTTACCTGGAGGGAGATCAGGGCCGTGGCAGAAGGCAGGCTGCAATAGCGAAGTCAGGCAGGAAGGGTGGGTGAAGACGTCAGGCAGCAATAGTGAAGTCAGGCAACAATGTTATGGTGGGCGAAGTCAGAATGGCACGGCGAGCAGGCAAGATGAGGAGTGACTGGACGGGAAGGGGCAGGAAAAGGCAGAATCAGCTGGTGGTGCGATTCCTCCGGAAGGAGGCAGGCAGCCAGGCAGAAATGGCGGGTGAGCAGGTGAGATGACTGGATGGAGCAGGTGGAAAGGAGGGGGGCCAGGCAGAAGTCAGTTTTACTGGTTCGGCAAAACTGGCCAGACTCATAACAATCGGTTCGCCCAAACCGGTCCAAACCAATAGAATCCCACTCCTGGGCTGCTGCAACGGTTGTAAGCGTGAACAATGGTCATACATCACTTTTTTTCAGTTATTTTGTAACTTCGAAGGTCACTAAACAAATGGTCGAAAGTTGAAGATTACTTGCACTACACTAAGTCCAATAGAATGGACTTCTGTTCAGGTTCTTCTGTTCAAAACTTTAAAAGAGGATTTCTGGTTAGTTCCCATTCAGAAAACATATCAAGTGCCTTGACTATTTATTGAGTAATTAGTTTAAGAAACAAAATTGTCTGCAACAGTCAAAACACCAATTATCAGCCGCATTCTCTGGTCATGAAGCAAGCCAGAATAATCATTAACAGCCAAACAATACAACTTGTTCCGAGGGTGTGTACTCATTAGATTTAAAGAATTTGAAGCATTACCCATGAGCTTTTTGGAGTGATGGGAAAGCTGAAAAAGGTGAATTGCACCTCCAAGTCCCATATGAAACAATTGGATACCATACTGAGTTGTCATGTTGAGATGCCTGTACACCGTCAGCAGAATTATGCAGGTAAACAATTCAGGCAGCATGGTGTCGTCATCATCGTCATCATCTATACTACAATCTATTATAATGTGAGACACTGTTTCTCAAGCCTGGCAACTTCTAGTTACATGGATTTCAACTCTCAGAATTCCCCAACCAACATGGTCTTTGCTGAGAATCTGGAAGATGAAATCTGTAAATATGGAAATTGTCCAGGTTGGAAACATTGATTTGGGGTATAGATCTATTCTGGAAAATCGGCCACTATAGCTGTAATGGGAACCTATGGCACACGTGTCACAAGTGGACGTGTAGCCATATCAGTGGGCACGTGAGCTCAGTTCCACCAGTTGATTTTCGGGCCTTCTGGTCCCACCAGATGTAGGGAAACAAGCTGTTTCCTGCCTCTGGAGGGCCTTGGGGGGGTGGGGGGAAGGCCGTTTTTTTGCTGTCCCCAGCCTCCAGAGCCTTTCTAGGAGTCTGGGGAGGGCAAAAACGGCCTTTCCCACCCCACGGAGGCCAGAAACAGCCCGTTTGCCAACTTCCAATGGGACTCCAGAGAGATTAGAGAGGACATAGTACAAACTGGTCCTGATGTAAATTGGCATCCTAAAGAGGAGCAGCAGTGTGTGTGTGTGTGTGTGTGTGTGAGAGAGAGAGAGAGAGAGAGTGAGTAAGTAACATAGCTAACTAGAGGGAGTGTGACAAATTCCTATTTTCTTTCTGCATAGCACAACAGTTCCCTCTAAATAAGAAGACCAAGCATCCTGATTAAGAGCCACGGGATTTTCTTTCACTATTGTCATGTACGAATGATTATAGTAATGTATTGTCATGTATTGTCATGTTATTAATCCTCTGATAACTGCCCACCATTAGACATTCACCCCCACTTTCTGAAATCAACCAACAAATGTAGAGTTGGAATGACTGAGATTGGTGGCCTATTGCAACTGCCATACCAGGGAGTGATGAAAAGCAGGGGTGGGTTCTAAATTTTTTTACTATCGGTTCTGTGGGTGTGGCTTATTTTGTGGGTGTGGCTTGATGGGGGAAAATGTAACTGGGTGGGCATGGCCAACTTTTTTTTTTTTACTTTTACTTTTAAAAGCATTTTTTCTACAACCTTAAGAGGTTGCAGAAAAAAATGCTTTTAAAAGCCTCTGACAATCAGGCAACTCAGCTGGGATCGCCAGAGGCTTTTAAAGGCATTTTTTTTCCTATAATCTCTTCGGCCAAAGCGGTTGCAGAAAAAAATGCTTTTAGAAGCCTCTGACGATCCCAGCTGAGCCGCGCAATCATCAGATGCTTTTTTTTTAACTTTTAAAAGCATTTTTTCGGCCGAAGAGGTTGTAGAAAAAATGCTTTTAAAAATTAAAAAAAAAAAGCCTTTGATGAGGTGGGCGGGGTAAGTGAGTGGCGACCGGTTCGGGGGCGTGGCCAGCCAATGTTATTACTGGTTCTCCAAACTACTACAAATTTTTGCTACCGGTTCTTGCGAACCGGTGCGAACCAGGGGCAACTCACCACTGATGAAAAGTCACTAAAAACTTACTGGATCTCTGGTTCCTTCTTTCTACAGCTTCCTTGTAAACTCCCCTGGGCCTTTCCTGGAAAATGTTATGAGATATAAGAAAGGGAGCAAAAGAAAAGTTGAATTCTAGCTCTTAATGACTCAAGGTATGTGGTCAATTCGATAGATGTTTCAGGAACTCTGTGACAAGATCTTCAAGAGTAAAAACAGGACATAAAGGTGTATATAAATGTATCTATTTATTATATAAAAACAGGACTTATTTATGTATTTACCTATTTATATAGCACCAGTTTGGTCTAGGGCACCAGGCCAGAAGGTTTTATCATGGGTTTTATTTCCACCTCAGCATGACAACCTGGGTGATTTTGGTCCAGTTACTCTCTCTCTCAATCCAACCCACCTCACAGGGTTGTTGTTGTGGGGACAATAGGAGGAGGAAGGTGGGTTGGATATGTTCAGCACCTTATTTGTAAAAGTAATAGAGGTGGGATACAAATAAATAAATAAATCAAATCTAGCCAAGAAACAGAGCCTGCTGGCTGGAGAATTCTGGGAATTGAAGTCCACACATCTTAAAAGTTGCCAAAAGAATGAGAAATACTGCTCTAGTATGCGCATAAAAGGTTTAAAGCTGGAACAGTGAAAAGCTGCTGAAATTTGATAATTGCCTACAGTATTGTTTCCAGTGACCCTGAGAAATTCTATGTCCTTTTAATAGGCATATCGGTCATATAAATTCCTGCTTGTTGTTCATGTCTCTCTCCCCTGCTTTTGCCTGCTCCTTATCCCTTGTTTGCTAGTTAATGTTTTGATGTTTAAAAAAAACAGACATTAAATTATGTTATTGAATATAGCTTTTATGTTATATCGGGAGCAAACTAAACTGTAACCCGAAAGGTGCTTTTTTAGGAAGCAACTGGACTTTGTTTTTTCTTCGAAGACGTTTTGCTTCTCATCGGGGTGGGTTCTACTTACCTTCGCTACCGGTTCGCAATGGGAGCGCACATACACGCTTCTGCGCATGTGCAGATTGTCTGTGTTGACATCCGGCCGGGTGGGCAGAGCCTCCCGCAGCCGTTACTACCAGTTCGCAAGAACCGGACCGAACCGGGAGCAACCCACCACTGCTTCTCATCCAAGAAGCTTCTTCAGAGCAGAAGAAACAGAAGAAAAACCAGGAAGTCCAGTTGCCTCTTGAAAAAGCACTTTTGGGATAACCATGACCTGGATGACTGAGAATCTCCATAGACAACAAAACTGGAAATTACTCATAGCCATTTTTCAATACCTGTAATGAAAAATCATTTGTAAAGCAAACAAAACCAGCAAAGAAAAGATTGAAAATGAGAGTAGCCAGGAAGGGAAGATAGACCATGGATTATGGAAATCAACAGGGACAGCCAATGTTGGATTTGACCCAAAATTCAAATTTTGGCTCAAGTAGGAAATACCTGGAGATCTTGAGCCAATAACATTCACTTTCCTTAGAGGGATAGCTTGAGAATAAATACGGACAATGCACATGTAAGTAACCCTTTCTCCAGGAATAGTGAGGGGACTTCACTAGAGAAGAACAATTATATGGTTTTTTTAGTCTTTTCAGAAGGACAGGACAGGATGAATGGTTTGATGAAAGATCTCTAGCTTGAAGCCTGGTCACTAGTAAAAAAAAGTTGCTCCCAGACCAATAATATAAGCAACCCCCTGAGCAGTGGTGGGTTCCTCCCGGTTTGGTCCGGTTCAGCCGAGCCAGTAGCGGTGATGATATGACATCACCAAACCGGTTCTCCTCCCCCGCCCCCCCCCATGTTATTCTTACCTTTTATTTGGCCCCACCCCCAATCAATTGCTGCCTCCTGAGTCCCAGCTTATGACTAGAGGGGAAAAAAACTGTTTAAACTCTTGCCCCCGGGCTTCAAAGGGCCGTCCTACAGCTGATCAGTGTTAAAAGCAAACAAATGAGTCAGGTCGTAAGTGCGAGGACTGGTCGTAAGTGCGAGGACCTTCCAGAAATGACTCTGACCAGCTAGCCACGCCCACCTAGTCACATGACCTCCAAGCCACACCCACAAAATAAGCCACGTCCACAGAACCGGTAGTAAAAAAATTTAGAACCCGCCCCTGCCCCTGAGCATATGGTAACCTGCCTATATTATTTCCTGCTTAGGAGGGAACATACTGTATTGTTCAGAGTATAAGACGCACCTTTTCCCCCCTAAGAGGCTGAAAATTTGGGTGCGTCTTATACTCCGAATGTAGCTTTTTCGAAGCTTTTTTTAGCCCTAACGAGGCGCTAACGAGCGATCTTCCCAGCTTTGCCTGCTCCCTCCACTCTCCGCTGTGCTTTAACGAGGCGCTAGGAGTGAAGCGATCTCCATGCTTTGCTCCGACTCTCAGCTGTTCTTTAGAAGCTTTTTTTAGCCCTAACTAGGCGCTAGCCGAGTGAAGGGATCTTCCCCCACCTTTGCCTGCTTTTCACATTGCTGCTTCCTCTCAGCTGTGCCTTAGAAGCTGTTTTCTTATCCCCAAGCAAGGAATAAAAACCCAGCAAACTAGTGTGCTGAAGCTGACCAGACTAAGGACTCTAGCCAGATGAATACCTGGTAGGCAGGTTTTTTTTTTTCCTATTTTCCTCCCTGAAAACTAAGTTGCGTCTTATACTCCCCAAAATACGGTAGGTAGTTGCTTACATTAAGTCCTTTCAATTGAGAAGTACCGTAACTTGATTCCTTTTGCAACCCCCCCCCACCCCTTATAATCATCATCTTCCCACACTGCAGATCTCTAAAAGTATCTCACTGCTGATGCTGATGCCACATCAGTAAACATTATGACTGGCCTGCCTGTTGGTGATTAGCTGAAGATGACGTTGGTTTAAAACCTGGCCTCTTTCCCATTTTCTTGTGCCTTCTGCTGTCTACTGATAAGGCAATGATAAGCGCAAGAGAAGTAGCTTAACAAGAAGATTTTGAGAAATGAGATCTTTGCAGACAAATTTCCTCCCTCTTTGCTCCACCATCCCCAAAACTCCTTCAAGCCAAGTGTGGGCTGGGTGGCGTCTGTCTGTTGAAAGAATATCTAGATCACCTCCCAGTCCTCTCATTTTTCCATTGCTAATTGTCAATGAAGGAAAAATGCGCCTACGGTAAGGAGGAAACATGTGCAGTTTACTTTTCTTCTAAGGAAGTACAATTTGGATGTGATCTAATGAGTGTTCTTCATTAATGAGGTAAGAGTAAGTACAACAACTGTTGACTAAATGTGTATCTGTGTGTATTTTAACATGTGTGTTGGATTCAGTTTGCCTTCCGTGTGAGAATATTTTGTTTCATGGATTGTCATACTTCAGTTCTAATACGTTAAGGTATTTATGGCCATTTTGAAAAATTGAATAGTTAAGCTTATAGTCTGTCAGAAAAAAAGCAACAGTTGCTTAAAATTTCTATCCAGTTTTACATTTCTTAATTTTTTACCTGACAGGAAGTTCCACACGCACTCTTTCATTGAAACTATTTCCTGACGATGAGGATGAAAAGATTGTATGCTAGTTTGATCCTAGGTATCCTAGTGATCCCAAACCATAATTGAGTATTTTAACATTTTCACTAATAAATTTAATTGAAAAGTTACATTATTCGGCATCTTTTGCCTAAATCAGCTGTTAAAAACCATTTGCCAGCATTTTGAACTATGCAATGTTATCTAAAGAAAAAGAGAATCATACTAACAAAATACAATACTAAGAATATTTCTTTTGTTTGTTTGTTTGTTTTCTAATAGTTCCTACATGTCTTGAAGACCAGAATAAGAAAACAAGGGAAGTGAAAACCTTCAGTTGTGTTTCCAAAATGAATTATTTCCTGTTTATTTTCACCACTTTCTTAGTTATTCTACTTGTTAACAATGGCAATCCAAGTAAGAACTTTGTGTGTTACTGTATTTTCTAAGAAATGTAATTGTTTTTATGTATTATATATTAAGAAGCATTTTACACACATACATACACACACACACACACAAAAACACCGAGAGAGAAAGAGAGAGCAAGCGCTAAACATAACATCCCGCTATAACCTCACATTAAAACAAAGAGACAGTGTGGTGTAGCAGTTAAAGGGTTGGAGTGGCACTGGAGACACCCAGATTCCAGTCTGCCTTTAACTATGGGAGCTCAAATGGGCCGAAGATGCCATAGATATGCTTCCTTGAGTTCTTGAATGAAAGATGGCAAAGATGGGTGCCATACCTAAGAAATATATAAATATAACATTATAAAAATGTAGAAATAATTTAATGAATCAACATGGGTAAGGAATCCATTACATGTATATTGGGGGTTGTATTAATATTGATCTAATGAAAAAAGGAAGGCTGATCAATACAAGGATGCCCTGCTAACAGAGAGGTTAGGAAATGAATATAGGAAGCTGACATACAAAGTCAGACCCTTCGTCCATCTAACTTGGCATTGGGTTCTATCACACCAGTGGTGCAGATCTATCTCTAGTGTTAGATCTCTCACACACACACCTCTCCAGTTCTTACAATTACATTACTCAATTGTGCAGTGCGCTGTGCCCCTGCTCAATTCTGAAGAAAACCAGGACCTGGCATTAGATCCTTAATGAGAGTTCCAGTCAATGGTTTTGATGGAACTCAAGTTTGTGTCCTGTGTGGATATGAAAATATACTACAATGATCATTATCTGGGGTGATTGGCATCCATTCGCACAAGAGTCTTCTCAGCCTACCTGGAAATGTTAAGGATTCCATTTGTGTGTGTGTGCATATGTGTAAAGCAAGTATTATACTATTGAGCTATCCCACCCCTGTCCAATTTTTTTCTCTATCTGAGTTTGAATATGAGCTGAATGATTATCCAAGAGAAACTCAACCCACTGTATTTAAGTGATGGATTAATAGTTCAGCCAACTATCAGTTGCTATTTGACATGATTAGATAAATTGCCTATATAATGTTGCTCCTTCAGTTGATTTGGCCATTTATAATTTTTATGCATTTGGTACATTTCACAGTACAGCTGACATTGCTTGGACCACATCACCCAATCACTGCCTCTCTGAGAGAGACGATTGTGCTACACTGTCATCTGTCCCCCAGAACAAATGTCCAGAATATGGAGATTACTTGGTTCCGCTCCCAAAATTCTTCCTATGTACACCTTTATCGCAGTGGCAAAGATCATCTGGAACAGCAGCAGCCAGAATACCAAGGAAGAACAGAATTTCTAAAAGATGGCATTGGGGATGGAAAGATTGGGTTGAAGATTTTTAACATTAGCCTATTTGATGAGGGACACTACCACTGCTCTGTTAAGAATGGGAGTTTCCAACAGGAAGCCACATTAGATATGAAAGTGACTGGTAAGTAAAGGGCAAATCTTTTTTAATAGAAATGTGTAATCAAAGTTGGCTCTAAAACCTCTGCAGTCATCAACCTTTCAATATGTTCTTAGATTGTGAGAAAACCAGGGCTATTCATGTTTCTCCCCCAAAAATCTTTCAACCTACTTAATCTGTTTTTCTTGATGTTTAGAAGGAATAAGGGTTACTGTTCCATAATGTCAAGGTGGGTAACCATTTTTCTTCCAGTGGCCATTCATTTCATATTCACTTCCTTGACATGGGGACCAGAAAGTATGATTGGTTGAAACACTTAGCTTTTCCTTTTTCAATGTCAGCATTAAAAAAAACAAGCAAGCACAACATAATTGAATTTTCCAGATGTTTGAAGAGAAAATGGGAGAGGGGGCTAAATCATGCCACCAAAAATTGCCATTTTACTACCAATTTTAGACTCTGGGACATATGCAGGTCTGGACTGCTGCATGGGAAATCAGAAATCCAGGCAGTTCAAATGAATATAAAGGTTTATTGCAAGCTTATGCTGTCTACAAGAATCTGGACTACTAATAAAGGAGAGTATTTGTAGCTCAGGAGTGAAATGAGCAGTCCTTGGTGCTCTCTGAGCTTGCTTGTTTTCTTGAAAACCTTTCATTACCCTAACTAGATAACATCATCAGTGCTGGAGTGTTAGTACTGATGATGTTACCTAATTAGGGTAATGAAACGTTTGCAAAAAAACAAAACAAAAAACCAAGCAAGTTCAGAGAGCATCAAGGACCCCTGAATCTGAACTACTAACAGTTGAAGAAAGTAGGCGGTAGATAAGAGTCAGAGGAATTCAAGGTGGGTTGGGCTTAGATCTCTTGTGGGCACGAAGGGACTTAAGACATGTGATGCATTTGATTTCTCCCTTGGGCTCAGTCTGGTCATCTCCTACAGCTGCATATTTGAGGGTTGATGTTTCCCCATCTGCTATAAAGCAAATTCAGGCAGCTACTTTTGTTAATAACTGCTGCCCTTATCACTCCTTGAGCTTCTTCAATTAAGTGACATCCCAAATATTTACCACCATTCAAAGCCTGAAATCTGGTCCTTTAAAGGTATGCAACCCCACTGATGACTGGCTGTACACCTGTGATACCTGATTGGGACATCCATATTCAGGTGCAATATGCTTCTAATAGTGAATGCTGAGAAGAATTGAGACGTACTGTACTGTTGACTGCATGCTCTGTTTGTAGGCTTACTAGAAATATCTGAAATGCTACTGCTGGAAGTTTTATCAGACCTGGAAGGTCTCATTTCATGTTCTTATGATAGCAGTGTCTGGAACTGATTCAATCCACCATTCATCTTATGTTGGAAGGAAAGGGTAGGATCGTTTTGACAGGAGGAGGAGGAGGAGGAAAAATCACGCTTACTTCTTTGCCTTAAGAGGTAAAAAAAAAATAGAGGCAGACAAATCGGGAAGTTGTCAATACTCATCATAATCCAGACATTAAAACGTCTCCGGAATAATAGTTCTAGTGTATGTTTTGCCTTTTATGCCTCATCTGACACCCAAAGACACCTGTTATACAGTATGCCAGCTTCCTATTGCAGAATTTAGGTTTTATACCTGGATTGGGGATGAGGAGGGAGATGGGGTGATGATTTTAAAAAAATCTAAATTATTACAGGATGAAGATTAGACTGGACAATCTTCTGATCCTACGGTATTTTTTAAAAAACAAATATTCTTTTATCCCTCAGTGTTGGATATCTTTCTGTTATTTTCATTATTATTATTATTATTATTATTATTACTATTATTATTATTATTATTATTATTATTACTATTATTATTATTATTATTATTATTATTATTATTATTATTATTATTATTATTATTATTATTAAGACTTCTATACCGCTTCATAGTGCTTTACAGCCCTCTCTAAGCGGTTTACAAAGTTAGCATATAGCATATTGCATATTAGCATTAGCATGTTGCCCCCAACAATCTGGGTCCTCATTTTACCCACCTCGGAAGGATGGAAGGCTGAGTAAACCTTGAGCCGGTGAGATTTGATCTGCTGATCTGAACTAGCAGTCAGCTGAAGTAGCTGCAGTACTGCACTCTAACCACTGCGCCACCTCAGCTCTTTTTTTTTTTTTTTAATTTGATTTATATGCCGCCCTTCTCCAGAGACTCGGGGCGGCTTACAATGCATTAAGCAATAGCCTTCATACTTTTGTATATTTTTTTACAAAGTCAGCTTATTGCTCCCACAAACTGGGTCCTCAATTTACCAATCTTAGAAAGGATGGAAGGCTGAGTCAACCTTGAGCCTGGCAAGGTTCGAACTTATTAATTGCAGACAGCTGGAGTTAAATTACAATGCATTAGTCTGCTGAGCTATCCAGGCTCCTTGAACTGACTCCATAACTATTTGAACAAAGTAGAAGAGGAACAACTTCTGGGGGCCAAGAACCTGATTTAATATTTGGGCTGGGGCTGAAAGACAGAATAAATGGGACAATAACTCAAAGTGAATAGCACCTCATTACATGGATACAAATGAGGTTTTAATTTTCCTCAAATTTCTTCCCTCTTTTTGAAGATTTTTCTCTTTAAAAAAAAAACTTATTTTATTGCTTATATTATGGGATTTTGTGTGTGTTTATATCTCACAATGGCAGGAAGGCATTCCTCAGTTTTTCCAGCAATTGAAGCCAGAATGTCAACTTAGGGGTTTGGAGGTTGCAGATTTCCCTGGCTCTGCAGGATACCCATCTTTGGAACAGCCTGAAAACGCTTAAAATATGCATGTTTGTCCCACATCTAGCATTAGGGCCTGCTCCTCTCCTTTCCATTGAAGGTTATCAGGACAGAGGGATCCGAGTGGTTTGTCGCTCCAGTGGCTGGTATCCAAAGCCTGAAGTCCTGTGGAGAGAGCTCAATGGGAGACTTCTATCTTCGTTGGCAAAAAAAGATTCACAAAGAAATGATGGGACGTTCGATGTACAAGCTGACATCATTCTAAAAGGAAGTTCAAACTTGACTTGTGTCATTAGAAACAGCCTCCTTGATCTGGAAAAGGAGTCAACCATCCACATAACAAGTGAGTCAATAAACACTGTTAATGGCCATTCTGTATTTTAGAAACTAGGCTTTGCAGTAATATGAGTTTGAAATTATGAATTCAATTAGACAAATTGGCAGCTGGTGCCCATGTCTTGATTAGGGCAAACTCAAGCTCAATGAAGAGTTATACAAGACATCTTTCCAAGAAGAAAATCTCAAATGAGGCCATGTAATATATTTCTTTGCATTCTCCTTCTTTTTTTTTTTTTACTCTTGAGGACCAAAAGTTTGGGGAAATGTATTTATCTGAATCAGTGGGCATTGTGTGAATTTTGGGTGTATGATTAAGGCATGTTTCTGAAACATTCATGAATCATAGCAGAAGGGATAGGAAAGAGAAAAGCAGAGCATTTTCCAATATTTCAGGATTGCTTTAAAATGCATTCATCGATACTTCTTTCATTTTTCAGATCACTTCTTCCCCAAAATATCATCCTGGATAGTAGCTCTATGTTTTTCCCTAATGGCTGTGGTTGGATTCGCTATATTTACTTTTTACCTACTGAACAAATACAGTGAGTACATAGGAAACTGCCCTTTAACTGGCATAAAAGTAGTGTTAATGCACAGTTAATTGAGAGATAGCTCTGAAGTTACAGTAATTGTGTCTGGTTGGAATCAGTGTTTCTTAATAGATTGGAACACTGGCTAATGTTTCTTCCAAGGATAAATCCATAAAATCTTCTTGCCTCAGTGCAAGGATGGCACACTACTCTTCTTGTGTCTTTGCTTGAAGCTTAGCATTCACCTGCCACTAAGAATGGTGTAAGATGCTCTGCTCCAGAAGTATTTTCTCTAATATTCTGCCTCAAGATGCTACATGCAGTCAGTATAGGGCATATTCAGGGAGGTAGCCTGAAATGATGTGTCCTATGCTGGCAATTTCAAGGTTCTTCTAATCTGCTTCTTTAATCTGTCCCTCACCCAGTGGTGGGATTGAACTGGTGTAACAACCAGTTCGCTGAGTGCACATGTGCCAAATGTGCGCTCTGTGCACACACGGTTTGTTTCCAAACCAGTCTAAAACTTATCTTCGACTGCAGGCCCACATGATCGTCGGAGCGAACCGGTTCACTCTCAACTGATCATTTATCATATTTGTGTAGTTGCCCATCTTACATGAAAACGACACTGGTTGACATACAGCACTTAATTAAAAAAAAATACAAAAGCAGTCACAGTTAAAAATAATTTTAAAAAGGTACACAAAACAGGAGAAAATGATATTAACCATAATGATATTAATGATATTAAAGGAGCCATCACAAAATTCCCTCCCCTTCTTATTCCTTACTTTCTTTACTCAGTTATGTTCTTAGGATAGTTTACAATTCCCAGAGGGATATTCAATTAATATTTACTTGAATTTCAGTTCCTCAACAACTGTATCTCAGCTGCATAAAATAGTTGACCACTAAATGGCAGCCAACAGCTATAAAAAACGCCTTACACTTTGCTGCCATCTAGTAGTAGATTGGTCATCCAATTCACCCATTGTTTGAAGCAGTGCTTTTTAGATTTTTTAATCAAAGAATCTTTTTGAACTTTTAATAATAATGGAAAACTCCAAAAGACCTTTGTTTGTATAGGTTATATTTATCAATATTTACCATACTAAAATTAAAATTAATGCCTTTGTAGAATATTTATTTATTGAATTGAGTAAAGAGAACATTAAACCCATTACATATTAACGTAAATGTATTTCATGAAAAAACCTACATTAAACATTCTCTATTGCCCCCAATTTTCCTTTTTTGTTTTAATTTTGTATTTTAACCTTTTATCTTTGAAATTTAATAAAAATTTCTTAAAATAAGAAAAAAAACATATTTTGTAACAAATAAAAGGCAATAATGAGAATGACTTTGTTTTAAAATTCTGCAAATATCTTCAATAATTGTCAAAGGGGATTCTTGGACCATATTTTAAAAGCCATTGGTTTAAAGGAATAACTCTCCCTTCCCCCCAAGATCAATCTATCAGCCGTATAACATGAAAGAAAAAAAATCTTTGCTAGCTCCTGATTAGTTTTCTATTATCTTATATATTGAATGATGATTACGTTTAGCTGTTATTTTGTTCCTTATTATTTCTCCAAAGACTTAGGGAATACCAGTTGGCTTTAATTACAGATAATGATGGCAAAGAACAGAACAGGGTATTCTTTATTGGCCAAGTGTGTTTGGACACACAAAGAATTTGTCTCCGGTGTATAAGCTCTCAGTGTACATACAAACAACAAAGTGATAAATCATAAATTGTAAATCGTAAATACAGTCATAAATCATAAGACAAAAAACAAAGTGATAAATCATAAGATACCAACAGGAGAAGGTAATAGGAAAGATGAGAAGGATAACATGGGTAAATATCCTTAGACATAAGACCGTGCTGTGGGAATTAGCAGAGTTTAGCAGAGTGATGGCATGGGGGGAAACTGTCTTTGTGTCTAGTTGTTTTGGCATGCAATGCCCTATAGTGGCATGCTGAGGGGAGGAGTTAAAACCACACATTCACGTTTTCTGCAGCAGTACAGTAATAAGATGTTTTTGTTTTCTTCTATTCTAGGAAAGCTGGTCACTGAACTGAGTAAGTGAGTTTCTTTTTCTTCTTCTGGTTTTTGAGAAAAACATTTGGGCCACAATCTAATACAGAAGTTATCAATCTCAATTCCAGTGAAATTAAGTATTCCTTAATATATAATATAGGTATTATAGGTGATTCGGTGTTGTGTCTTTCGTGGAAAAGGAAGAATATCAACTTAATTATATTTTTGTAAAATTGTCACTCTGTGTAACACAACAGAAAGGGACAAATAAAAACCCGTAGCAAAATATTTGCTGATAGGAACAAAGTGTGCACTTCAGAAAATTACCAACAAGCAAACCAATTATCTCAGTCATGCTGGTGTGACATTCAGCATTTTCCATGGTTTCAGATAAGAGTCTTAACAAAAGTCTAGTCCTGTTATCTAAAGGGATTAAATTTAGGGTTTCCAATGTACAAAGCATGTAATTCTATTCTTCAGCAATGATCACTCCTTTAAGTGAATGAAAAAAAATGTGTAATGCTTTAATTTTCAAACTCCTTCACATTTTTTTTAAGCGGAAACTTAAAAATAGAAATAGAAATATCGTAGGCATCAAAACTCCATTCTTCTTTCCTGGGACAGTTTCTCAACCTCCCTGACAAATTATAGTAGATAATTACTAAAAAGAAATAATCATTATTAAGGCAATCTTTATTGCTTTAATACCCCAAATATGACTCAGGTGCACCTAACAACATATTAAAACACAGGGGGGGAAAAAACCCAATAACAGCAGAAACATAAAACTTATAAAGAAGAAATGCAATAAATGCTCATCGAGAACAATCTTATCTCACATCTAGTTTCCCATTCTCCCTGCCCTGGAGCACACCCAGGTCTTCAGAACTTTCTGACAGGCTGATAGAGTTGGCTTTAATTTAATCTTGGGAGATAGGAGGTTCCAGAGGGAAGGTCAGAAATGATAAGACTTCCTAAGATGGCATTCTTTAATTGCAGGGACCTGGACAGTGTCTTTTCACTTGGACCTGATAGAAAGAACACGAGGTCCTGCAAATAATCCAACCCCATGCCATTGAAGGTTTTATAGGTGACAACCACATGTCTATGGAGATTCTCAATCATCCAGGTCATGGGTGTCCCAAGGGTGCTTTTTCCAAAAGGCAACTGTACTTCCCCCCCCCTCCCCCTTTGAAATAGTTCAACCACATCTTGAATTCCATTTGTAACCACATTGGAAATCAGTGGAACTCATAGAGATATAGCATGCATGTATTGAGGAAACACCCATAACTGCTCATACTGGCACATTTTGGACCAGTTGCAGCTTTTAGATGATCTTTCAAAGCAGGCCCACTTAATTTCAGTAATCCACTTGGGAGATGATCAAGATATGAGTGATATGAGCAGTGCCTCCAAGTCTAGGAAATGATGCACTGGTTCACAAAGTGGAGTTTGCAAAAGCCCTCCTGGCCAGTGCTGCCACCTCCTGTTCGAGCAGAAGCTGTGAGTTCAGGAGATCCCTGAAATTGTTGGGGGAAGGGGGAGCAGCAACCTCATTCAGAAGTGAAAGATAATGACAATGGTGATGATGATTTAAATTTGTATAGAAAAACATTGGATCCAGGAAGCCCTATTGGGCCTGCTATGTTCTAATGATGCAGAAAGAAAATTACTTTGTAGTGATTTTGAATAGTTTTTTTATTATTATTATTATTATTTTTTCAATATTAAACTGTTCCTTTGATTTATTTTAATCTTTAATCTTGTTTTTAGATTGGAGGAACATGGTGATACCAATCGAAAAAGGTTAGTGGCTGTCCTGCTTGTTATTACTCCAAAATGTAAATTCCATCATTGTTGTGCTAATCTCTGAAACTGAATGTTTTACATCAAGTTTTAATGAGGTTTTTACTCTATACTCCATAGAATTTTTTTCTAAATTCAAAAGTGTTGTCATGTGCTAAGTTAGGGTACTATCAGCCCAACTGCGTTTTTCAATGACAAATACAATACGCATTAGTGGAGATTTTGATATCATTCTTTTAAAAAATTCTATGGGGAAATTTCTTTTTTTTTTTTTAGCAGGGATTTACACAAGGAACTTCCATGTGGCAATATGTCAGTGAAGATTCTCAGTCATCCAGGTAGGATTGTCTGGAAGTTGAGTTATGGCAACTGGGCTCCTTTTTTTTCTTGCTGAGTCATGTTGTTTGCAGAGGGGGTATTCAGCCGGTTCGGAGTGGTTTGCGTGAACCGGTAATGGCGACCTGCAGGTGCCCCCCTCCCGCCCCAGCACTATGCCGTCCTATTTAGCTGTTTTCTAAGTCATGTGCGTGAGCAAAGCATATGCGTGGAAGGCTGCGTGCATGTGCGGAAGGCATGCACGCGAGCAAAGCGATCATGTATGTGCTCGCTCATATTTTTGGTGCGCGCCAAACTGGTGGTAAAATTATGTGAAACCCACCTCTGGTTGTTTCAATGACTCACCTTCCAGACAATTCTACCTGGATGGCTGAGAACCTTCATCAATATATGGTTAAAAGTACAATAAAAAGACTTCCAAAAATTAGGCAGTAAGTACAAAATATTATATCCTTACTTATCTACTTAGTATATATTTAGATATCAAATATATTGTTTGTATTTTATTTAAAATGAGATAACATTAGTCTATTCTGTTTAGGCATGAAAATACTACCTCCTTGTTTTACTGCACAATTTAGTCCAGGGAAGTGCCATTCATAACATTGACTAAATAGATCAAGGGAGAACTTGGTGCAGCCTTGGAAATGGGTCTTTTAATGGGATAAGCGTTAAAAGTTGTTTCAAAATAAGATATATGTGCTGATCAATTTCTTCCTCATTATAATTAATTGCAGCATTTTCTTTTAGGTTAACCTTTCATCCTCCCCTTCTTTCTCTTTTCTCACTTCTCCTTTTTCCTCTCAGCAAACATAGTTCTGGATCCAGAAACGGCCAGCCATGAACTGATCCTGTCTGGAGACCAGAAAACTGTCATACAGGGATTCATGTGGCAGAGCCTACCATACAGTCCTAAAAGATTTAATATGGAGCGCTGTGTCCTGGGAAAGGAGGGATTTTCCTCCGGGAAGCATTATTGGGAAGTAGAAGTTGGAGAGGATGGGTATTGGGCCTTGGGGGTGGCTAGAAATTCCATGAAGAGGAAGGGAAGCTCATCCTTGTCCCAGAAGAAGGAATCTGGGCAGTGGGAAAAGACCGGATCCAATACAAAGCTCTTACCCTACCCAAGACCCCTCTGACTCTGAAGAAAAAGCCCAGGAAACTGGGAGTTTACTTGGATTATGAGATGGAACTAGTTGCCTTTCATGACGTCAATCACCAAAAGCATATATTCACCTTCTTCTCTGCTGCATTCGATGGGGAAGTGGTCTTCCCCTTCTTATATGTAGGGGTAGGATGCTGGCTTAGACTGTGTCCTTGATGACTTTCCTTTAAGAGAGGTTCAATCAGAAAATTGAATGCAGTAGTTCATATTATATGGCACTAGACAGAGACAGGTAGTTCATTTTCCATATCACGCAAGGGCTGTAGATTGTCATATAGGGATCACTTCTTCTTACTGCAGCTTTACAGTCATGGAAAGGGAGAAACTTGTGAGGTCTTGACTAGGCAGAAGGATGTCACTCACCTCAAGCAAGAAAAAGTTGGAGGCCAGCCTTTTCTATATTTTACTTACCTGCTGCTGATTTACCTCAAGTTGTTTCCTCTATTTGACCCCCACAAAGTAGATCAGGAATGGAGAAACAACCTTGGAGCGATAGGCTAAGGTGGTACATATGTGTTATTATGTGTATTAAGTGAGGGGGGCAACATTTTTGGCAGTCAGGGATTATACTCTAAAAATATATTTTTTTCCTAGCTTCTATGAGAATGACATCTTAGGTCGAATATGGTAGTGACATAGTAAGGAGTGAGGGCTAAAATGTTACGCCTTTATTTTTATTTTTTCAGGTTTGCTTTTAAAATAGAATACTGTATTAATGCAATGGGAGGCTTAATGCACCTACCCTGTGGCTTGTGATTTTGTTTTTTTAATAAAAATATAAAAATCTTGTTCTTATAATTCAGCAAACTAGTGGTTTGTTTTACATCATTAACGTTGAATGGTCGCTAAACAAGGCAGTTGGTAAGCAAGGACTACCTGCACTGAAATGACAGAATAATTGCATGCATGCAAGCACATTGCCACGAGGCAGAAAATGTTCCTCCTCTCAAACAACTCCATCTTTTGGGCACTCCTTCTGTTAATGCCCCTTACCCTGCCCCAAGCTGGAGCTGAATGACAGCAGGAAACTATATGATTTACATCCTGAGTGCTGTTTTAGAGAAAAACAAGATTAAGCTTCAAGAGGAAAGGGGTATTCATAGAATGTTTTTTTATCCGATGAGTTGTGTCCTCCAAGGAGAATGTGAAGCAATATGGTGATGAAGTTCAAAATGGAATTTTTCTCCACAATTTTTAAAAGCAAGGGACTTCTGCGGAAGAAATGGTGAATTGAAGTTGGCTTCGTTTTCAGCAACGACTGCGGTAGAATAAAGAGCCAGTGAGTAGACCAGTTCTTCGTACTTCCTCTCTGGACAAAGAATGGATTTGAGATAGCCCACAAGTGCTCCGTACAATTGCTTCTTGTGAGAAGGCTGCAAGACAACAGTCTCTGGAGTGTTAGAGCTGTGGGAGATGCAGAAAAGCCAGTTTTGCTCAAACTGTGGTCATTGCCTTTAAAAGAACAGTGGGTTTGCATTGTTCCTTTTCAATTACTTTTGGAAATTGTTAACTGCTTTGTTGGGGGCAATATGCTGGCCCTGTAAACTGTTTAGAGAGGGCTGTAAAGCAGTGTAAAGCGCTATATAAGTCTAAATGCTATTAGGAACCTTTGGATCAGCAGGTTTTATAGCATTGGGTGAGTTTCCTTCAATCCTTAGAGAAAGTAGTTTTAAATACAAGCCTAAGAATTAAGTATTTTGGAATAAAAAAAGGGGGGGGGGTGACTGGAACTTTGATTTAGGAAAGTTACAAATTGACTAAGGGTTCGGAATGTTTAGAAATAAGATTTTGGAATTAATTATAAGAATTCTTCCTGTTGGAAAATGCTTTTTAAATTCTCTTAAAAACATGATAAACCAATAACAAAATAGAAGAGTCACCTGAATAACTTTTCTATATTGAATTTACAAAAGACTTATTAAAGTTTTGAAAAATTTTATGAAAAGGGAGAAAATAAAAATTAAAAGAAATCAACTTCTAGGACATTGTTTGACAGGACTAAAGATGGAGATTGTTAAAAGGAAGTTGGTTTATTTGATCAAGATTAAAACAGATTATTATTATTATCTCTGGTAACCTTTAATGAACTTATGCTGATCAAGACTGAAAGATGAGACATTAAAGAACTTGTTTATAGATAAGATATAGGAAGAAGAGAGCACTTGCTATATTTTAAGGGACGATGATAAGTTGTTAAAATTGTTCATACTTGTGATGAAGGAGGAAGCCACTTCTTTATTTATCTTTATTATATATTTTTTCTTTTCTTTTCAATCTAATTTTTTCTTTTTTTTTTACATATTCCTTAAATATATGCTTATTTTTTTCTTTTCAATATTTTTATTTTTTCCTTTTCTGCACTTCGTATTTTTCTTAATTCATTTCTTTTAATTTGTATCATTTTAATTTCTAATAAATTTATTACTTTTTTTAAAGCTAGCTACAAGGAGACTTATATACACCCACATAGGAATGGAAAATAGGTCACAAAAGATTGTTGCTATTTCAGTTGTTCCTCTCTTTGTTGACTTTTTAAGAAATAATAAATTAATAACTCAAAGAGAAAACTGTCCAAGTATGTTTGTGTGTATAGCTCTAAATGAAGTTTCATTCATTTGATATGCTCTGTCTTCATGTAAGTTTATACTCATAAAATATATTTTAAGTAAAAAAATGAACAAGACTTTTTCTTTTAAATGTAAATACTTCAAAAATACAGGCAAGAGGCTAGTGAAAAGGCCTTCTTTGGGGAAAAAATATTATTTGAATATAGCCAATTTTATACTATTAAGCTTACACATACTTGAGGGAGGTATAAATTAGTCAGGATGAAATATGATCCTGTGGTATCTGGGGTTTTGTTTTTTGTTATTCCAAAGAGCAGTCTCTGAGGAGAATCTGTCTCTTTTGCCAAAACAAGCATATTTTTCAAGAAAAGAAATGCGTTCAAAGTCTGTGAATGTGTAAACCGAACTGGGTGGGAGACGCTAAAATGAGGGGAAAATTGTGTTTGATTTCCCATCTATTTGTCCATTATAAAAACACACAATTCCTTGGAAATCAGCCAGATAAATAAAGAAGAGAAGCAACTGAGTACCTGAACTTTATTTAAGGTGGATGTGACAAGATCCATTTTAACACGGTATGGTTTGGAGAAGGCACTCCTTACAAACACGTCTCACAATATTTCTGAATGAAAACACTTGATATTTGAATAACCAAAATGGAGCAGTTTCTGAAGAAAATTCACATTTGTAGAAGGGGGAAACCCAGGTATTAACATTTGGCATGAGTTCTACTTTTTTACAATATTCTGGGAATGATGGGAGTGTGGATTATGTTAGTGGCAGAAAAATTAACTGGAAGATCCCACAGGTTCAATTTTCTGTTATATTACTTGTTGCAATAATATTTGCAATGTAGACTCACCGTGCAATTTTGCAAAGGGGCAGTACTTGTATCATGATGATGCAAAGCTGCTTTAAAATAGAAAAAAAATTTAAAGAGGCTATAAAATTTATTCTTACTTGCATGCAGTTCTGCTAATACAAAATATTTGCAAGAAATTGAACATTCCACTTTTATGACAGCATAATGAAAAAACAATTATTTATAATAACAAAAAGGTCTTACCCTATTCACAACTAATCAGAAGCACAATAATATAATCAAACCAGGAGAATACACTGGGCATTGCATATATGCAATAATTTTTATTATAGGATTATATTTTTTATGTTGAAATTATGTGCATAAGAAGGAAACTAAATAAAAGGCTACAAAAATAAACTAAAAGGCTGCACAATTTGCAAGCCTCTAGGCAGGATGCAGTTGGCATAGGTATGTAGAGCAAATTTAGGAATTAAAAATAAAGATAATATCAAGGCACAAGTAGATCAAGATATGACAAATAGAAAGCAAACATCAAAGGCAGGCTGTTTCTTGAGACTGCAATATCAACTGAAATGCAGTGTAAGGCACAACTTTGCACCAGAATAGGTCGCTAGAACAAATGTATGAGATACATTAAATTGCCTCTTTTTCTACTAAACAAGGTAGCAGAGAAGAGCCACTATTTTTTTTTCTCACAAAGGAACCTAAGCTGTAATCAAAATACATTTCAGACAGGTTTGAAACTAAGGTTACACAATCTTCATTTTATATGGAAGCTGCAATCCTACAGCTATCCATCTTTCTTTTCCACCAAGCTATCCCATGGAAGCGCTCTTAATACAGGTTATTTTTCTAATATTTCACTAAATTGCTTTCAAAAACCTTTCAAATAATTACTTAATAAACTTTTTCTCATAAAAAGAAAATGTGGCTTCAGGACATCATTTCATGATGAAATGGAAATACATTCCATTAAATGGAAATACATTACATCATCCCTCTTTGAAGGCAGCTGACGAGGTAAATGTCACTGGATGAGATAGTTGCTCTCATTGGGAGAACATAGTTCTCAAATAACTCAAGCAGGCTTCCCTCAGTTTTAGATGCAAGGTAATACCGTATATCCTCAGGGTACATACCCAGTTGATTGAACATGGAGCAAATCTGGAATCAGAAAGCCAGGGTTTTAACAGGCAGCCTGTCATATCTATGTTTATCAATTTCCACATCAAAATTAGTAGTCAGAGCCTCCTTAAAGATAAAGGAAGGTTGACCACACAGATCTTAGTGCCCTAATTTCCCCTGAAGCTATTAGCCCATTAACCTTTCAACTAATTTACCTCACAGGATTTTTTTAGTTAGTTTAAACTCTCTGGAGAAAGGGCAAGATTAAAATGTGCTACATTTTCTGTCAGAATTACTATTTTGCCCTCAGTATTGAATTCTATTTTGCCTTCATCTTGAAAAGAATATTTTAGAAAGGATTTCAGTTTCCGGAATCAAATAACAGTTGGGATTATAGCCTAGACAGAATAAAGTTCCACTCCTCAAAATTACAGCAAATAAAATGCACTTAGATTTGCAGTAAAATAGATGATGAATAAGCCTTTTCATATAGCATGAAGAATGCTCATTCTATTTTATTATTATTTCACCTTTATTATGTTTATAAATAACCCAAGGTGGCAAACATATAATACACCTTCCGCCTCCTATTTTCCCCACAACAACCCTGTGAGGTGATTTGGGCTGAGAGAGAATGACTGGTTCAAAATCACCCACTGCCTTTCATGGCTAAGGCAGGTTTCCAGCCTGGTGTACTTTATTCTGTAGATACATCTATTAAAACCCTATCTGTTGCTATCTCCTAGGAACCAATGAAGAAAAAAATGACACAAAACATATTAAGGCCATAATTTGTTTAAATATCATAAGGGATGCTGAGAAATTATAGACTGCAATGGAGAAATCATAAATGGCTATAAAATGACCAGAGCCAGCTATAGGATGGACATTGTGTTGTTTTTTTAATGTCTCCTGGAAAACATTCAGTTTTCAGTCAGGTCAGACATTTTCAATAATCTCACCCCTTTTCTTTGGAAGATTCTAACTGGTGAAAAACAGAAAGACCAGAAGACGTAATTCACATGAAACTGAATAATTCCAGTGAATTTTGTTCTCCAAGTTTGATAAATTAAAGTGGGCAAAGGTAAAAGAGGACAAGACTCTTAATGATTGCTGTGGGAGGACATATATATGAAAAAAATGAAGCTTCTCATGCAAATTGCAGTTAAATTAATTTATGCCCATTAATTCTCTTAATTCTCTGAAAACTACCTACTAGTAAACATGACCAAAAACCTATCTCTGTGAGAAGTTGGTTACCTTTTACAAAAGCTACTATGCATAAGGAAGTGAGCCAGTTTAGTCTAGTCATGAGACTGAGTTCTAGTCCTGCTTTAGGCATAAAAAAATAACTCCTATGCTTGAGGAAGTTACACATGCTATTCCAGGAAAAACTGCAATGAACTTTAATTTTTTATTCTGAAAAAGTGGTTTATGTTCTCCAGCTTGTCCAGTATTTTATGGTATGTGCATTAAATCCAATTTCTTCTCACATCCCTCTCAACATTATATAACAACACAGAATTGTGCATTTTCCCCAGATTGGTGTTTTGACCAACAGTTAATAAACGATACTGCAGGGCAATCTCATGTATGTTTTACTTAAAATTCAATCTTTTTTTCAAAGTTTTCTGTCAGGTCCGACTGTAAAGGGGCGGACTGTAAAGACTCATGACTGAAAAGTTAGTACCAACGGGTTTTCTCCTCAACCGCCCTAATCCAATTTAATCTTTGAATCAGAGGTAGTTTGTATTCCTGCGCCTAAATAGATGGGTTTACTAAACTGATTTGACCACACTTCCTGGTTTACTGTTCGTCCGATCTTTTTTCTTTTCTTTTTTTTACCGTTCAGGTTCTGCCTTCACTGTCCAATGCGGGAAGCAAGCAAAATCACCTACTTGTGATTTTTGTCTTAGGTTATTGGGGCTTTGAAGGGAAATAGAAATAACGTAATTTATCGAATGGAATGAAATGGAAATACTGTATGGAATTAGCTTAATAACAATACCTAGCCGCCCATTAGAAGGAAAAAAATAGCTTATAAATAGATCGTTGCAGCTACCGGTATATCTTCTCAAGTGCGACGGAAATAATGAATTTGTTTGGATTCGACGGAACTTTCTTAGCGCAGTTCTAGATTCAGCCACGGAGCCATCAGAATAGAGCTTTGTTTTTCTGTACGCTGATCAGTTACATTTGGGACTGATCCTAATAAACAAATTCTCCATGACGCTTTATTGTATGTTAAGGCGGAGGATGTTACCCATAACATAACATACTGATAACATAAGCACATTTGTCATTTCTTTCCCGCCCAATTCTTTCTAATCGCATTGGTCGGTACAGTATTCTGATGAAATCTAAAAATTCCGAGAGGCACATATAGTTTTGGGCCGGCATATTTTAGATCTCACGATGTTAATTAATTCGAAATAACTGGGATCCATATTTTCACTTGTGATCATGAAACTGTGGTGTGTGAATAAACACTTTAAAAATGAAAGCAAGTGAAGTGTTCTTAGGATGCGCCCACGGTATCATTAAGAATCGAGTTCGCCTCAAATGAGACATTCCAGTTCATATTAAACTTGGATTCTGGTGGTAAGTTCTAATTGGCTTACAGTCAGAAAAACTGACCAATGAGAGATATACGAAGAAAAGTACTGTAACAGCAAATGGTACTATGGCTAGCTTTAATAAGTATTGGTCAGAAAGTCTATATTAAGATTGTAATCCTACTTCACCGTCTGAGGGGAACAAAACCTCAAACAAGTCTTTCAAGAAACATTGTAGATTGTGTTGCATTTAATAAAACGGAATGCTTCAGGTTCATGTTTCAGTTCGGACTCATTTAATCATATGTATGACCTGCAGTTCCTAGTCAGACTAGCTTGCAAAATAACGTTTAACTGCGCTTATAAAAATGCTGATAAAGGAGAATATTTGTAGCTCAGGGTTGAAATGATGGATCCTTGGTGCTTTCGGAGCTTGTTTTCTTGCAGACATTTCATTACCTTGATGATGTTACCTAGTTTGGGTAATGAAATATCTGCAAGAAAATAACCAAGTTCAGAGAGCACAAGGACCGCTCACTTATAAAAATTTAGGATGAAAAGCAAAAATTTGGACATTAAACTTGGTGTATTTATTCAATTTGTACTGCCATCCATCTCCAGAATGTGAAGAGTTTTGACTAGATCTCCAGTATTTAGAATTTATCAAGAACCATAAGTTTTCTAGACATAGAGGTTTGATAAAGTAATCATACAAACTAGAAAGAGAAATATATTCTGTCAAACTGTCCTGCTTGTCAGCGTTTGATTTATAATAGGGATACGGCTGTTAAAGGCAAAGAAGGAATTTTTCAAAGTGATGTGGTCAAAGTGGTTGGAGTTCTAAATTTTCTCAGCCGTTTTTTCTTTCCCCATTATTATAATTATATATTCATTAAACAAATTTATATGGCCTCCCAACTTACCTGTCGCTGTCAACTCATGCACAAAACTTCGTATGATTTCATATGTAGGAAGGTTTTAATCAAATGGATCAATTCTAAATTGTATGGTACTATGAACAAGAGCAAACATTTATAAAATATGTCTAAATTTTAGTATGGTAAAGTAAATTACTTCTCTCGCATATAATTAACACTGGAGTAAAATTATACAAAGAACATCAGAAAGGTTTTTTTTTCTTAAAAAAAAAAGCCGTTATTTCGTTTTATTATATCGGTCTTTGACGATACTAGTCTCTTATTGGTTAAAATAGAACTCTTCCTATTGGTCTGCTCTTTTCAACCAATCGCAATAAGAGAAATGCGGTCAAGAAAGGTATAAAAGACCTTCAACGGCGATTGTTTGCTGCTGTTTCGTCTTGGGAGGCGGAAGAGTTTGAAGATGTCTGGCCGAGGTAAAACTGGAGGCAAGGCACGAGCGAAGGCGAAATCCCGCTCTTCCAGAGCCGGGTTGCAGTTTCCTGTGGGTCGAGTTCATCGGCTTCTACGCAAAGGCAATTACGCCGAGCGGATTGGAGGAGGAGCCCCGGTATATTTGGCTGCGGTGCTGGAGTACTTGAGCGCTGAGATTCTAGAGCTCGCTGGCAATGCCGCGAGGGACAACAAGAAGAGTCGGATCATCCCACGACACTTACAGTTGGCGGTGCGCAACGATGAAGAATTAAATAAGTTGCTGGGGGGAGTTACGATCGCTCAGGGTGGCGTTTTACCAAATATCCATGCGGTTTTATTGCCGAAGAAAACCGAAATTCTACATAGCGCTAGTAGCAGCAAGCCCACCACCAGCTTGAGTAAGTCTGCCAAAGTACCCAAAGTCGCAGTCAAACCGACGACCGCTCCTGTTGCTGTTCAGTGAAGACAAGATAACAACCCTGCCCCGGGGGACAATACTGAGACCCAAAGGCTCTTTTCAGAGCCACCCACAGGCTTTTTGGAAGAGCTTTTCGCTGCACTAAATAAATTCACAAAATTAAAATGTCCAAGAATGTTTTTAAATACCAATCTAAGGAATATTAAATGAGGAACCTGAACCCAATAGGAGCAGGCTTGTTAAGCTAGGTCTAATAGTTATCAAAGTTTAGTGGCAGTTTATAAAGTTGCAAATGGCCCTATTTTAAGCCTGGTCATGTGACCCAGAATGGCCCTGTTCTAAAACTACTGTATCAAGCTAGACAAGTTGATTATTGAACAGTAATAATCCTTCCACTGCTCAATAAATTTAGTACATAGGTTGCCAATATAATATTTCCTTTTGACAACTGGTAATTTCTTGGGATTGAGAAAATCAATGAGATAAAAAATTTAAATTGGTGTAAACATTTTATTTACAACTACATTCTAACAGCCAGTTACTGGTTAAGGCAGACTAGAAACCTGGTGTTTCTAGTCCTGCCTTAAGCATGAAAGTTAGCTGGGTGACTAGACCCATTGCTCTCAGCCCAATTTGCCTCATGGGGTGATTATGAGACAGAGGAGGGAGTATTAGGTATTGCTGCCTCGAGGTTTTATAAAGGTGGGGTAAAAAAAATCCACTTCCTTTGATTATCAAACGTACTCTAGTGATACATGCGCAAATGATACAAACTCAAGGTACAAACTTGATTGCAGAAAATATGACTTCAACTGGTCAACGCCTGGAATGCTTTACCCGACTCCATTGGTTACATCCTCTAACCCTCACAACTTCAACCTTAAATTGTCTACCGTGGACCTCGCCCCATTCCTAAGAGGTCTGTAAGGGGCGTGCATAAGCGCACCAACATGCCTACCATCCCTGTCCTACTGTCCCCATTTATTTGTATTTCCTTCATGTCCATGTTCATATTCATATCTGCTATCTTGTACATGCTTGACAAACAAATAAAATAATTGTATTCCTCTTCCTCAGCACACTCCTGTTCAACCAGGAGATCCTTGGTGCTGTCACAGGTCTGTGCTCCAAAAAAAAAGGGTTCTGACTTGCTCTTTTGACAGCAAGAAGAATGGGACAATCTTCTCTCCAGCAAAAGCAGCAGGTGAAAAAGTGTTAAGATGCTGTGATTGGGCATCAAACATGTTACTCACTCCTCAGAGTCTAAATAATACAGATATATCAAGCCTTGACCCTGTCAAGATATTAGTTCTCTCTTTGCAAAGCTCAGATTCCCTTCTCTGGACTAAGGGGGATCCCACCCTTCCATTTGACAGACTCCTTGGTAACATCCACTGCCCAGTTTTCTTCTGTGGCTTTTATTTCTACCTCCTAGGAATGTCTTCCTGAAGCAAATGCTCTCAAAAATACAAACACATAAGGAATGGAATCAAATTTCCCCGAAGCTGGAGATGTAGTTGAATCTGAAGGGTGGGTGTGTGAAAATCCCCAAACTTGAGATCCTCCAATACCCATAAAAACAAGTACACTAAATACATCTAAAGTTACTTTTGCAGATTAAATGCCCAGACAATATACAAGAAATGAGTCTGGGAACACCTCTTTCAACTATCACATTTTATTAAAAGGCATAAGCTTTTTTACGCTATTCGCTTAGACGACTATTTCAAATGGTATTAAAAATAAGGTATTAACGTACTTTTGATCATTTTTATTTCCAGAAACCAAAGGAAAACAGGCTCTCAAAATGTATTTATGGTGTTTCTTCTGATGTTTCAGTACCACAAAGTCAGGCAGAATGGAAAATGTTGTATTTATATTTCATATTTCTTAACCCTTCTCCCTCAGAGAGGGGCTCTGGCAGTGGTGGGTTGCCCCCAGTTTGCACCGGTTCTATAGAACCGGTAGTAAAACCGGCGGGAGGCTCTGCCCACCAACCCCGACGTCACCAAAATGCTTCTGCGCATGCGCAGAAGAGCACGTATGCGGCTCCGTTACGAATCGGTAGTAAAGGTAAGTAGAACCCACCCCTGAGCTCTGGGCAGTGTACAATATAATCAATAAAATCAATTTAAGGTTAAAAAGTTTTAAAATTGTAATAATATAAAAGTTTCCAAAGGTGGAAAATTCCAAGATGGTGGATTAGCAGTTGTTAATACAAGGGTGTGTGAGTGTGTGTGCGTGCACGAGTTTACATGGGGCCAGCCAGCCTCATGGTTGTGTAGGCCTCTGCCACCCCACCAGGCCTCACAGCTAAGTTTTCATCCCTTTACAGAAGGCTAAGAAATGGGCGGCTTTCCTCACCTCTGAGGGCACAATGTTCCACAATGCAGGGGCAGCAGCAGAAAAGGCCCTTCTAGACCCCGCCAGTCAAAATTCGAAAGAGTAAAATTTTATTTATTTTTAAAATCCAGGGACCAAGAGGCCTAATGGTTTGCCTACTACATGAATAAGGCTGCTGCTACATATGAATCAACTGCCATTGATTCGTGTAAGTAGAAATGTTTAACAAAGTGGTGTATCCAGTCATTTCTCCATGGTATATTTAGTATTATATTCAAACTACAGTCTCTGGTTTTCTGCTTTCTTAACAAAGTGGAATCTTAAAAAAAAAAAAAATTGCCATAAGGTAATGTGTTAGAGCAATAAACTGCATAAATCCTGACTGAATTACAAATTTCTTGAATTCTGTTTGCTTGAATTCTGGCGTTCCTGAAGATTGAATGCTTAGAATAAAGCTATTTCTTGTTGTTTTGGCATTTCCAAAAAAGTGTGGTTGCTGAGAAACCAGCATGATGCTATTGCTCATTTGAGAACTTCACTTACAGCCTTAAAATTCCAGCTATCGGTTTCAGTATACTTTTTAATTTATTAAATTTATATGCCACCCATCTCATTGTCAAATGAATCTGGGCAGCTCACATTTTCAATATTAAAGTGAACAGAAATTAAATAAGTTAAAAAACCAGCATATTGTGTGCTATCTGTCACTTTGAAAAAAACACGTCCATTTTTCTTTAGCCAGTTTAAACCTTCTGCATATAGTTAAAATTACTG